GAGCTGTGGCACGCTTGTGCTGGTCCTCTTGTCACGGTTCCTAGACAAGATGACCGAGTCTTCTATTTCCCTCAAGGACATATCGAGCAGGTAAGATTTTCTTCTTTGATTGCTAGTTTTGGCTAAATCTTTGAGTTTACCCCTCTCGGTTTCCTATCTATTGAGATATTTTCTAATGAAATTTGTCGGTTTCCATTGTGGATGGTTAGGTAGAGGCATCGACGAACCAGGCGGCAGAACAGCAGATGCCTCTCTATGATCTTCCATCAAAGCTTCTTTGTCGAGTTATTAATGTAGATTTAAAGGTAAGCTTCTTTCACTTCATAGTAAATGTTTATTTATGAGTCTTGAATTGTCTACTAACAAGAGATTTTGCTTTTGGTTTTACAGGCAGAGGCAGATACAGATGAAGTTTATGCGCAGATTACTCTTCTTCCTGAGGCTAACGTAAGTTTTTTTTCTTCTGATTTATTTGTTTGAGTTTTCAGGGTTGTTCAATGATCTTATTCTTTAAGCTACTGAAATCTAATCTTCCTTTCTTTCTTTTTTTAACACAGCAAGACGAGAATGCCATTGAGAAAGAAGCGCCTCCTCCTCCACCTCCTAGGTTCCAGGTGCACTCGTTCTGCAAAACCTTGACTGCATCTGACACAAGTACACATGGTGGATTTTCTGTTCTTAGGCGCCATGCGGATGAATGTCTCCCACCTCTGGTTGGTGTTTCATTTGCTTTTATTTTCTTTTCGCTGGCTTAATTTTTGCTTGAATTCTCTTACAGGATTGCCTTCAATCATTTTTTGTTTCTTTCCTCAGGATATGTCTCGACAACCTCCTACTCAAGAGTTAGTTGCAAAAGATTTGCATGCAAATGAGTGGCGATTCAGGCATATATTCCGAGGTATAGGAATCTGTATGAATAGTATTGTTTTCTGTTCCTCGACTCTGTGGCATCAACCTTAAGTTGTTACTGATGTCTGTTAAATGACCAGGTCAACCGCGGAGGCATTTGCTTCAGAGTGGATGGAGTGTGTTTGTTAGCTCCAAACGGCTAGTTGCAGGCGATGCGTTTATATTTCTAAGGTTTGTGGTTTTTTACATTCATTATTTTCTTGAGTTTTATCTGTTAGTTTCTATAATTTTAAATATCCAATTCTTCTACAGGGGTGAGAATGGAGAATTAAGGGTGGGCGTGAGGCGTGCAATGCGACAACAGGGGAATGTGCCATCTTCTGTTATATCTAGCCATAGCATGCATCTTGGAGTACTGGCTACCGCATGGCATGCCATTTCAACAGGGACTATGTTTACAGTCTACTACAAACCAAGGTTTGTCTTGGTATTAGCTCACTGAACAGCTTTCAGTTTGGAGCTCTTTGCTGTTTATGTTTCTAGTTGTCTGATGCCTGGCAGTGTTACTCTACTAAATGTTCATGCGTTGTTGTTTTGTTTGATACAGGACTAGCCCATCTGAGTTTATTGTTCCGTTTGACCAGTATATGGAGTCTGTGAAGAATAACTACTCCATCGGCATGAGATTTAAAATGAGATTTGAAGGTGAAGAGGCTCCGGAGCAGAGGTAAAAACTGTCTTTAATATAGTTTGGGCTTCGAGCCTTTGTTTCTCAGGGAATGACGAACCTGAGAAGTAATATTGTTTTATATTATTAGGTTTACTGGCACAATCGTTGGGACTGAAGAATCTGACCCTACTAGGTGGCCAAAATCAAAGTGGAGATCCCTCAAGGTATGACTTAGTTCCAAGAGGGGATCAAGACTATTGTTAAATAGAATGAATTCTGATTGTTGTTCAATTGTCATTCAGGTGAGATGGGATGAGACTTCTAGTATACCTCGACCTGATAGAGTGTCTCCGTGGAAAATAGAGCCAGCTCTTGCTCCTCCTGCTTTAAGTCCTGTTCCAATGCCTAGGCCTAAGAGGCCCAGATCTAATATTGCACCTTCATCTCCTGACTCTTCGATGCTTACTAAAGATGGTGAAGTCTCCCCTTTTGCTTCTGTGCATATAGGAGTCTGTCTGAAAAACTAAATTGAACTTTTCAGTGGGAAACTAATTCTTTGTACATGAAACAGGCACAGCTAAAGCAAACATGGACCCTTTACCGGCAAGCGGACTTTCAAGGGTCTTGCAAGGTCAAGAATACTCGACCTTGAGGACGAAACATATTGAGAATGTAGAGTGTGATGCTCCGGAGAATTCTGTTGTGTGGCAATCCTCAACGGATGATGATAAGGTTGACGTGGTTTCGGCTTCTAAAAGATATGGATCTGAGAACTGGATGTCCTCAGCCAGGCATGAACCTACTTACACCGATTTGCTTTCCGGCTTTGGCAATAACATTGATCCACCCCACGGTCAGCGGATACCTTTTTATGACCATTCATCGTCACCTTCTATGCCTGCAAAGAAAATATTGAGTGATCCGGAGGGCAAGTTTGATTATCTTGCTAACCAGTGGCAGATGATGCACTCTGGTCTTTCCTTGAAGTTACATGAATCTCCTAAGGCACCTGCAGCAAGTGATTCCTCTTTCCAAGGGCTAGGGAATGGTAAATACAGCGAATATCCGGTGCTTAATGGTCTATCAACTGAGAATGGTGGTGGTAACTGGCCAATACGCCCTCGTGCTTTGAATTATTTTGAGGAGGTGGTTCAGGCTCAGGCACAAGCTCAGGCTCAAGCCCAGGCACAAGCTCAGGCTCAAGCCCAGGCACAAGCCCAGGCAAGGGATCAAGTAACTAAACAACCCATGACGATACAAGAGGAGGGGGCGAAGTCAAGAGATGGGAACTGCAGGCTTTTTGGAATTCCTCTGATCAACAACATGAATGGGACAGATTCTTCAATGTCTCAGAGAAACAACTTAAACGATGCTGTGGGGTTTACACAGGTAGCATCGGCAAAGGTTCAGGACCTTTCTGATCAGTCGAAAGGGTCAAAAACGACAAACGACCATCGTGAACAGGGAAGACCATTGCCAACTAGTAATCCTCATCCGAAGGATGCTCAGACGAAAACAAACTCTAGTAGGAGTTGCACGAAGGTAAAAAATTTACTATTATATATCACACAGAGTATGAGGTTGTTAGAACCCTTGAATCACTATTCGACTAACACGTGACACATTGGTTTATAGGTTCACAAGCAGGGAATTGCACTTGGCCGTTCAGTGGATCTGTCAAAGTTCCAAAACTATGAGGAGTTAATCGCTGAGCTGGACAGGCTGTTTGAATTCAATGGAGAGTTGATGGCTCCTAAGAAAGATTGGTTGATAGTTTACACAGATGATGAGAATGATATGATGCTAGTTGGAGATGATCCTTGGCAGTAAGTTATTGCAGTGTTTCCACTTTTCACTACCTAACTTGATATCTCCATGTTAATGTTATTGGAAAACACTGACACAACGATGTTCCACAGGGAGTTTTGTTGCATGGTTCGCAAAATATTCATATACACCAAAGAGGAAGTGAGGAAGATGAACCCTGGAACTCTAAGCTGTAGGAGCGAGGAAGAAGTAGTTGTCGGGGAAGGATCCGATGCAAAGGATGCCAAGTCTGCATCAAATCCTTCATTGTCCAGCGCCGGAAACTCTTGAAAAAAAAACGACCAGTATCCCTTTTGCTACAAGCCAGGTATGAAAAAGCTATTGAAATACTAAGACACGCTCAAGTTGATTTCCTTACATAATAATACATATGACTGATGTTTGGTCTTTTATTTTTTGTAAAATCAGGAGGGAGGGTCGTTTGGTGGAGAGAATGGAGAGCAAAATGGGATGATGGGTTTATAAGATATGATATATTAAAAAATGCAATTTTTGAAGTATTTTGTTGGCCACTTAGATGATTAGCATCTTCCACCACCCTTATTATCTTATAATAATTATATATATATATATATATTATAAAGTAAAACATAAAAAGGTTACAGGTATTATATAGTAGAATATTGAAGGCTCTTTTATTAGTAGAAAATGTGGTGTGGAGTTGTAGATGGAGGCTGGTATCGGTTCTTATTTTCATGTATTTTTTCTTTTTCTTTTCTTTCATCGAAAGATCTTTTCAAGTCTTTTATTGTTTATATATATTAATCCAATGTACATAAGTTTTTAATTAGCCCTGCCTTTTTGAGAAGTAGTAGTACTCGTTTTACCGGTGTTATTGTCTTTGTTAGCATTTTGTAGCTTTTCGAATTTGTTATCATGATATGCACGAAAGAGTGATTTGTTCCATTGCAAATCCTTGTAGTTAAATTTCAATGATATTTCGATTTATAACTGAAAAAGTCCAACTACTTAATAAGCAAAACAATGAGGCCTTTGTCATAGCGTCTGCAGAAATAAACAGACATGGGAGCTAATGTTGTTGATATAAGAAAGAGAGAAAACATACTTGGGAGCTAATGTTGTTGCTATAAACGATGAGAAAAACAAAGATCAGGTTTAATGGGTTTTTGGTTTTTATTTTGTATCTCAGACATTAATAAGTCCCCATAAAAACTCTACATAAAACATTTCCTTCAGTTGTATTCTAAAGCTGACAGTTTCAATCTTCACATAAAAGAAAAAGCCCTCCAATTCCACTAGTATAATTATTTTGCCATGATCTTTACAAAACGAGATACAAGGTAAGAAAAGGAGAGTGTGGTCTTGTTCTCTAGCTATTTGTAATCCTACCATCGACACATATAGTGATGAGTCTGATACCGATGACACATCAAAGCAAAGCAGAGGACATGTTTATTACAAATTAATAAATTAAGAAATTCCAAAAATAAACAAAAGGATAAAGTAAACTGTGGAAGACCCCACCACTTGGGGCACACTATATGAGGGAATAAACACGCAACTCCATAGGAAGTTTCTTGAAGCCTAAAAAACCATTACGCAGCTTCTCGATCCTTTTTTTTCTTTTCTTTTACAAATAATAATAATAATACTCTTTGTCCAAAAAAAAAAAAAAATAATAATAATACTCTATTCTTTCTTCTTTCTTTCTTCTTTCTTTCGTTACTTTCAGGGGACACTTTTTTATTTTGTTTTTTCGCTTAACAATTTGATAACATCTCTACTCTCTATAGTATCGATAATGAACTCTCCACCGGTGGACGCCATGATGACCGGAGGAGTCGAATCATCATCTCAGAGATCTATCCCGACGCCGTTCCTCACAAAAACTTACAACCTCGTTGAAGATAGTTCCATCAACGACGTGATCTCATGGAACGAAGATGGTTCCTCTTTCATCGTATGGAATCCTACTGATTTCGCTAAAGACTTGCTTCCTAAACACTTCAAACACAACAATTTCTCCAGCTTCGTTCGTCAGCTCAACACTTACGTCAGTATTATATATATACAATCACATCTTCTAGATTTCATTGTGTTTTTTTCAGAATTTAATCCTCTTTTATTAAACAGGGATTCAAAAAAGTAGTGCCGGATCGATGGGAGTTTTCGAACGATTACTTCAAGAGAGGAGAGAAACATCTCCTCCGTGAGATCCAACGTCGGAAAATAACAACGTCGTCGTCGTCTCATCAACAAGCTGTTGTTGTTCCTTTGTCGGAACAGAGAATCCAAACGACGGTTGTGTCACCGTCGAACTCAGGGGAAGATAATAACAATAACAATAACAATCAAGTGATGTCGTCTTCTCCGACGTCGTGGTATTGTCAAACGACGGCGGGGGATGGTGGTTTATCAGTTGAGTTATTAGAAGAGAACGAGAAGCTTCGGAACCAAAACATTCAGCTCAACCGTGAGCTTACTCAGATGAAGTCTGTATGCGATAATATCTTCAGCCTCATGTCGAACTACGTCGGATCTCATCCTGATCGGAGCTATTCTCTGGGAGGTACTAGTAGTCAGCCGCTCGAGTTCTTACCGGCGAAGCGGTTTTCTGATGCGGAGGTTGAAGAAGAAGAAGCGAGTCCGAGGCTGTTTGGTGTTCCGATCGGGCTGAAACGTACGAGGAGCGAAGGAGCGAAGGTGAAGACGACGACTGCGGCGGTTGGGGAGAAGAAGTCCGGTGAGGAGACGCCGTGGTTGAGACATTATAATTATAATCGAACCAATCAGAGAGTTTGTAATTGATAAAAAAAAAAAAAAAAAAAACCAAGGGTTCAGATTTGGTGTGTAGATATGTGCCGCGAAGTAGGGGATTAAAGCTTTTTAAGACAATCAGAGCACGTGTCCCATCTGTTTTTTCAAGAAGTTTCGTAAATCTTGACTTCTTCTTTTAACTCTTTCAGTCTTTTGTGTTACTACTACGGACCATTATTTTAATAATAAATGCTCTTTTTCTTCAATTTTGTTTTGTTTTTCTTCATAAATAGTTAGGCTGTTTCTAGACTTTCCTTTTTTGACTTTTAAAAAGTATTCTTCTCATCTTTTAGTGTGCTTTTAAAAAAATAAAAAATAAATCTTATACTACTATATGAAAAGACGTAGGGATTAATTATTAGAATGATGCAAATTTGGAAATAGTAGTGAAGCATCTCGAATCTCTCTCGTTTGGTGGGCTCGATTCAGGGAACGTGTTGTGGACCTAGCTGTTTCGTCTGATTATCATTCATTCACAACTACAGTATACTGATATCGTATACGATTATCTTAATAAATGACGTATTAGCTATATGTTTGATTGAATGTGTTTGGGATGATCTATAGTAGATAGGGATGGTTACGTGAAAACTAACTCAGATAACTTCGTTGAGGTTTCACAATCACTCTCGATCGTCGCCCTATGTGAAACACTGAAACCAAAAAATTAAACACATAACTTTGCAAGGAAATTGAGATATCACCATCTATACAGCTTTGATTTTTCACCCCAACCAAAACAAAAACAAAAAACTACCTAAATAAGAACACAATTATAACTTGGATTAATACTATTATAGACTTATTTATGGTATGTAAAATATCTCCAAGTTTGTCTATCTTTTGACTCTTTAGAATATATATTTTTTTTTTTCATTTCTTGTTCAACTCTTTCGAATATATTTGATCGTATATATAATTCGTCAATGTTTAAGACTTTTAAGTTGTTGACAATGACATGTGTGTGATATGTCTATATGCATTTTGTTTGCACACAACACAATTAGAGTAGATTATAGTGACTTGTCTTCTTTCCCCTAATAATGTTGTCTCTGATTTGCAACATTTAACCAGACACACAACAACAACTAAGAAGAGAAAACTAAGAAATCTCACTAATTTCAAATTGTAGTGAACCGATTGGTTATAACCGGTTTGATTATAAAATAAAAAGGATCTGGGTTTTATAACACTGGTTAGACCCTAAACCCTTTCCGTGCTTGTTTGGTCTCTTTCTCTCTCTGCGCCGCGTTCTCTTCTCTCCTGGATTCAGCAAAATCGAACTTATTCGATTTTTTTTTCTTTCATCTTCTTCGTCTGATTTCGTCTAAACGCTACTTCTTGATCCAAGGTTTGTGTTTGTTCTCAAAAACCTTATTTTTATCCATCCTTAGATTGTATAACCCTTACCTAGATTAGGAGGAATCAAAATTTGGTTCTGTATTAGCGTCTGATGTCTTACCTAGGAGCTGTTGTGATGAATTTAGGATTCACGCATCCCTTTTCTCTTATGTTTTAGGCCAAAGTATGGAGCTTTGATTGTAAAAGCCTTACCTAGATTAGTAAAGGAATCAAATTTTGTTCTGTTTTAGCATCTGATGTCTTACCTAGGAGCTGTTGTGGTGAATTTAAGATTTATGCACCCCTTTTCTCTTGTGTTTTAGGCCAAAGTATGGAGCTTTCTGATCTAAACAACGGCAAAAGCACCAAACCAAAGCAGCCTCCAAAACGTTTCATCAAGAACCAAATCCCTGACTCAGTCCTCAATGATGCGTCCCTCAACGCTGCTATTTCAATCCTCCCTTCAATTTATCAGTTTGAGGTCCACAAATGCGTTTGGAGGATCAAATCATCGAATGCTAAACGCATCGCTCTGCAGCTTCCTGAGGGTCTTCTTATGTACGCCCTCACTCTCTCTGACATCTTCACATCTTTTGCTGGAGCCTCTCACTGTTTTGTTCTCGGTGATGTCACTTATGGAGCTTGCTGTGTTGATGATTTCTCTGCCTGTGCTCTTGGTGCTGACTTGCTCATTCACTATGGACATAGTTGTCTTGTCCCTATTGACTCTACCAAAATCCCTTGCCTTTATGTCTTTGTCGAGATACAGATCGATGTCAAATGCCTGTTGAACACTATCCATCTTAATCTCTCGAGTGATGCCAAGAACATCATTCTTGCAGGCACAATTCAGTTTACTTCGGCCATTAGAGCTGTGAAACCTGAGTTAGAGAAGCAAGGTTTCAATGTTTTGATCCCTCAGTCAAAGCCTTTATCGGCTGGTGAAGTCCTTGGTTGTACAGCTCCCAAGATTAAGACAGTTGAGGATTGTAAAGACCAAGTACTGGTCTTTGTAGCTGACGGGAGGTTCCATCTAGAAGCATTCATGATAGCCAATCCGAAAATCAAGGCGTTTAGGTATGATCCATATCTGGGCAAGCTGTTTTTAGAGGAGTATGATCACAAGGGAATGAGGGAGACGAGAAGGAGGGCAATTGCACGGGCCAGGGATGCAAAAACTTGGGGGATTGTGCTGGGGACATTGGGACGGCAAGGGAATCCCAAGATTCTCGAGAGGTTAGAGAAGAAAATGAGGGAGAAAGGGATAGATAGTACAGTTGTTTTAATGTCGGAACTTAGCCCCACAAGAGTAGCATTGTTTGAAGACTCTGTGGATGCGTGGGTCCAAATAGCATGCCCAAGGCTTTCAATTGATTGGGGTGAGGCCTTTCTTAAGCCGCTTCTGACAACTTTTGAGGCTGAGATTGCTCTAGGATTCATCCGCGGTTGGTGGGAGAAGGATACTTCGAGCAGAGGAGATTCTTTGTCTGGCTGTTGCAAAGAGAAGAAAGAAACAAGTTGTGCGTGTAGTAATGAAAACGTGGAAAATGATAAGAAAGACGACGATGGAGCACTCGATGGAGACTATCCAATGGATTATTACGCACAAGAAGGTGGAGAATGGAATTCTTCATATCTCAAGAAGTCATCTCGTCCCGTTCGAAGAAACCCTTTACCTTCTTCTATAGTTTAAAATGCTGGAGGTTGTGACAGAGTAAATTCACAACTGATAATTACCCAAGTCGGCAAATGGGTTTATAACTTTCCTGCTGAAGAATGTTTACTTGGGGAGTAGTTGAAGTGAAACTGTCGACTGTGTTTGAGACTTTGACAGAACTTGAAGAGTGAAGCCTCATGCACAGTTTTGAAACAAGTCGTGAGGATTAAAAGGGATGTTTGTAAAGAGAGGTTACAACACTTGTTTCTCTCATTTACTGAGATTTTGTCTGCTCATTTTTTGTATTGATACAACAAAATTAGTGATAAAAGTGAAAAATTTAGGACCCTATGTTTCTCTGCCTGTAGTGAAAACTGATGATGTTATGTTGCAGTCGGACCAGGTTTGGTTTTGATAATGAAGTTTCTGGTTTGATCGGGGAAGATTTACGTAGGCTAAATCAATCGAATCTCTTGCATCATAAGTTTACATTACAACTTTAATATATGTTTTTGGTTCTAAGAAAACTTTAGCTGTTTATACCCACAAAAACAACTTTAATTGTAATACATCAAAAAGCTGATTTATAAATCATAGTCAACTCTTTTGTGATGTGGTTTCTGTTCATCATCAAATTGGAATCTTCATTAAAGCTAGAAATGGTACGCTTATATGAGATCAAATAGCCAAATGGATACGCAAGAAAAATGCCAATTTACTTGTATATACAGTTTGAAACTGAACCAACTAGTTACTTATTCATCAGTAATTTGAATTAAACTTCATAAAATCCACAAACCATACAAGATTATTTCTCTTTTAGCTGTGTTTCAAAGAAATATAACTAATTTTACCAAATTAACCAGTAACTTTTAGAATAGATTTAACTTATGAAAATCACAATCGAGTTTTAGTATTCTTGCAGTTTGAGCTGAAAATAGAAAAAAAAAAAAAAAAAGTTTTTTAAAAAGGGGTCGTACACTGACAAAAAAGAAAAGATATGGTCGGACACCAACTAGTGTCTTCGGACCTTACGTCAAAGAAGGGATAAGATATTTTAGATTCGCGCACACTTGTACATCCAATTTATTTATTACTTTCGTTGAAAAATTAAAATAATGTTTTGTACTGATTCACACACTTGGATTGTTCACAATGTCACTTTTTCTGTAAATAATTATTCACTACGGACAAACACTACTTGAAATATCATCAAGCAACTACTGATTCTCGAGAGAATTAATTCACATGCAGAAAAAGAAACAAATGTGTCCCTAGAATCTATTTTTTGCATAGTCTGGTCGAGACTCAAAATTCCAACACCATCTGACATTTTCTATGCTATATCTGTAGATGGTTCAGTTATATACATCATCATCCGTACGTGTGTTTTGATTAAGTCAAATCTCAAATCACATGTTTGTAGTTCTCTCAACAGTTTCGACTCCAAATATGCTCAAGATATTATAAAAGTTGAATTTGCTTTATAAATGTTCTAAACAACACGAGGAAACTTTTCTTTAATACTGTTTCGAGTTAGGCTAAAAGCCAATATTTTTACTATGTTAGCACCAATCAAATCATCGACGTGTTAGATTCCATGCAGAGACAAAAACAATTTGTTTGTGGTTTTTGTCGTCAACTAGAATCTACATGCAGTTGCTTATTATATTTTAAGTTTCAAACATTATATTAGCATCATAGCATGTGTTTGAAATGATACTTGAAGATTATTTTTGTAAGCTTCTTCAATTTGATCAGTCCAAAAACTACTGGTGTGTATGGAGAAGACAATATAGGTTTGTTTAATATATGTCATAATGACAAGTATTGTATCGGAGAAATAGATGTGTTATTGTAAATCGTAGGATCAAAATCGATGAGATTAACATGGTTTACCTAGATAGCTAGAGAGATACGATTTGATTGTTACAGAACAAACACACTAAAACATGTCTCTATTCAACGAAAATAGAAGTAGTTATACGATCGATCGACAAAATGGCTACAGAAATAATACATATTTGAAAGAAGAAAAAAAATGAGGTGCCACTGTGTTTAGGCCACGTATTGGATTGGAGCATCAAAAATATATGATGAGAAACGAAACTCTCCATGGGGACAGTGGATTCTATGACTAGAAACTAGAAAGTGTTTATATTAGATTCTGTGTCTCTTTATAAAGCAGATTCTTTTCTTTTTTTTTCTATTTGTTTTATTTTATCTCTTCTTCTTCTTCTTCTTCTTCTTGATATGTATATATATTTATTTGGAATATCTACAAATCAATTCCTAAGCCAATCATAACAGTATCTGGTTGTCATTGTTTTTTATCGACACGTGGGGGTATTCTTTTCTCCATTTGGTCGATCGAATATTCTACAATGTAATGGGGATGAAAGGTTTAGATAATGTACACAGTAGAGGATGTGAAAGGTTTACATTCTTGTTATAATTATATATGTACACAATATAAGATGTCTTAGAAGAAGTTGTAGCTTAACCCAATGTATAAGAATGCAAGTAATATGGTTAGAAATAACACGTAAGATATGTTACATGCAATGTCTAATGATGACAATGTCAAATAGTAAAATAATAAAAGCTTGTATGGAAAACTATCTGACTTAGTGTATTAGAAGATATACACACAAAAATCCACTTTTATCTTCCCAAGATTCTTTTTGTTAGCCTATAAAAATGCTATGACAAAGTTCATTCTATAAGAAACCAGCACCGATCACAAACACACATCGGAAGCAAAGAGAAAATGTCAAGAGAAATAGAACCACTGATTGTGGGAAGAGTGATAGGAGATGTACTAGACCTATTCAATCCAAGCGTGACAATGAGAGTCACTTTCAGTTCCAACACAATCGTCTCTAATGGTCATGAACTCGCACCTTCTCTTCTCCTCTCCAAACCTCGCGTTGAGATCGGTGGCCAAGATCTTCGTTCATTCTTCACCTTAGTACGTTATAACCATTCTTCTAATTAAACCTTAAAGTATCTATGTTAAGTGCTTAACCGTTCCTCTCTTCTATATAACAATGATCTTTTGGTGTTCCTTTTTAACTCGCAAGATCATGATGGACCCTGATGCCCCTAGTCCTAGTAATCCATATATGCGTGAATATCTTCATTGGTACGTCGATTAAATATTACCACATTTATTCCCATATGTAACAACGTACAATGTATAATATGTACTATAATGTTCATCAAATTATCAGGATGGTGACAGACATTCCCGGGACAACTGATGCTTCGTTTGGTAAGAATAATCACATCATATATAAAACATGTCACATGTACATAGACTCTTGATTCACCTCAACATCTTTGGTCCTTAAACAGACACGTTTTTTGGAATAAGAGGACAAATAGTGATGTATGTATGTGGATGGTTTGATTGATTGCAGGGAGAGAGATAGTGAGATACGAAACGCCTAGACCGGTGGCGGGAATACACAGATACGTCTTCGTGCTGTTCAAACAGAGCAGGAGGCAAACGGTGAAGGCAGCTCCGGAAACAAGAGAGTGTTTCAATACAAAAGCGTTCTCTTCTTACTTTGGTCTTTCTCTACCTGTTGCTGCTGTTTACTTCAACGCCCAACGTGAAACTGCTCCTCGACGACGTCCTTCTTATTAATTTATCCTTTAATTTAATATAACTCTACTCTATATGCAATAAAGTTCAGTATACCTACAAGATTATGGAATGGTTTATTCGAATAAATCAAACCACTCCAAATATGTTTAAAGTTATCCAATTTTGTTCAGGTTCTGTTACTTAACAAGACACAAGAGTTGTATGTTATTCAAAATGTTTCTATAAAAACAATATTCTATTCTCTATCTGGTCAAAACAAACTTACAATATCGTTCCATAGAAAAAATCGAAGAAAAACATATAATTTCACTAGAAGCTGCCTCCAGCTTTTTAGATCTCAGAGTAGTTTTCATCAATGATGAGAAAAATCTGTGTAGTAACTAGTTCACTTTTGACTCAAAAGCTTTATTATGGCCGTCTAACAAAAATAGTATGCACCATTTTGGATCACCTCTTCTTGCTGCTGTTCTTCTTCCTTCCCTTGACTTGGCTCTCCAAAGCCTTGAGCCTCTTACTAACAGGACTCAACGATGTTGAAGTGGCCCTCGGGTTTACTGGCGAAGGTGGTAGTGTCTGGTTCTGTGAATGGTCCTGTGTCATGGCTTTCATTTTCTTGAGAGCTGAAAACAGGTCAAATGAAGGTTGTTGACCTGGAGTAGGTGGAGGCAGCTCAGGGATTCGTAACATCTTCTTCACTTGAGGACGCTTAATCACTGTTATTAATCACCACCACATTAACCATGCCTTGTTATTATTTCAAACCAAGAATATGCCACAGTTAGGAATCTTTACGCAATCACTCACCAAGTCCATACATAAGGGAGAACATGTTGGATGTAATCCAGTAGCAAAATATAGCCTACAAATTTTCGCAGATACATTAGAAAATCCACATATCACAAGGTCGATGGGGTTACTTTTACTGTAACAATAATAACCTGAGGAAAACTCATTGTCATGGGCACCGTGAGGAGAGCAAACCCCCGGAAAACATTTTTTATTGTGCCAGCCATCGGATTCCCTTCCATGCCTTCTTGTGCATTACACTGGTAGGTGATGATTTAAGCTTAAGTTAGTAAGTCTGACAATTGTTGAAGATGTCAACATTGTTATTAAGTTAGCAGAAACTGTACCTCAACGGTTATCAAGAATGTCAATCCTGTTATAACCGGCAAAATGTATAAGCTGTCGGGAGTTGTTAGATCTGTAAACCATAATGCCCCTCCTGTTTGGAATGAAGGTACTTTCTCTGCCATATTTCGAATCTGGATAAAATATTAACTCATTTGAGACAAAAAGCCTCACGACAAAACAACATAGCTCAACAAGCATCTTAAAGGTTAAAAGATCTTACAGCAAGAAAAAAGCTGATGAATAGAGGTCCCTGAATAAGCATCCCTTTCATTGGAGTGAACGGAGTGACACCATATCTGTAAATGATAGAAACTGTCAAGAGACTTTCACCAACTCAAAATGTCATATCAACCAAAATACTCAAAATGTCAGGAAAGTCAATAGCCAGAAGAGCAAACAAGCTATAATATGACATATAATCAACGAGGGGTAATTTTGACATCACACTCCAAAGAGATGTTTTAAATTAATTTTTGGCAAAAGAAGTGTAAATTTAAAAAGCTTACTCTTTGAACAAATTCTTCATCTTTTTTTGACCTTCTGCCATCGTAACGGCGTCCATGCCCTGAACACAAATGGAGAAGAATATGGAGAAATTTAAAAGAAAGATGTAAATAAAGAAATAGGAAATTCGGAGCTAAAGCTGAGTGGACATGTAGTCAGTGCCAAAGCTATTGGCAGGGTAGCAAAAGTGAGGAGGAACCCCATGATGTATACCTTGTTTTGCATTTCCTCCCGGATGGACTCCAACCGTGGCTTCATCAGCTGCATATAATCATAGAATAGACTACTGATGGATGCAGCATATAGCACAAAAAAAAAGAGATCCAAGTATAAACGCCAGAAAATATAAGTTTAAGTGCATAGAACCTGAGTATGTAAAGCACAGCAAGACGAAAATGTAATGGTTATAAAATAGGAATTTCCTCATGATATTCACAAGTACCTCTTTATAGTAGTTTATTATTTAATGGAGACTTGTGGTCATTACATACAGCCATGTGAATCTCAATTTCCTATTTTGTCTAGAGTTCATATTCCACATGTAATGTTTTAATATCTTCATAACCGAAAAAAGCATGTTTAATTCTCTAAATTACAGTCACTCTCCATATATGAGATGACTTCATATTTGAAATGCACTATCCTAAATGGTCTCCAAGGTGAAAAAGGACAAAGGGGAGACACATACCGCTAACTTTGTCGTGTCTTTCATTTGTTTGATCAAGAGAGGAACTGTTGCTGAACGGATTAATATGGTTGCTACCACAATGGATGCCCACCTGTTGATAGTCAAAAAGGATATGAGGGAATGGTAATATCTTAAAAATATGCTATGTTCAGAATGTAACTCATATACATCCAGGTTCTCAATGCAGTACTATTCAGCTAATATCTACCGTATGATATACCTAAGATCAACTCCAGATAGATTGATCTAAGTAAAACACGACACAAAAGAAAAAGGAAAAATCCAAGTTCCTTACCACCCAAAGCCTGTGAATGAATGCACCATATCAATGCAATGTTGAAGGGCAGCAATAGGGGGGAAAGAGTCAGCAGCTGCAATTGTAACTTCACTGACTGCAGCGGCAGCCTGAGCTGGCGCATCTTGCAATGTTGATTCGCTTATGACTTCTGCGATATCAGTCATCACACCAATATTTTCCGAACCGACACCAGGTGCACTTGACATATAACGATAGAAAGCAAAACCAGAAGCAGGAGCCAGAGGCATATGTAAGCCTCCTCCCAAAATTTTGGAGAAATCGGAGTTGTTAATGGAGCTTTGGTGAAGAAAGCTATGGTAACTTCTTTGAGATGTTTCTTGACAAAATGATTCCCTTTCATGATCATTTGGACGAGGGATAATATGATAAACTGGTTGATTCCGACGAGCGAAAAGTGTGGACCTTATAGATAAGGTTCGCCTGAAAGCCATTTCAGAATCTAAAGAAGATCCTGCACTAGTAAGGACAGAGTTAATAAGTACATAATAACAACCAGATAGATTGCTAAACTGGTGAAGCTGTAATTTTGGTCACAGACGACTAAATATATGATTTTCGGATCAAAGAGCAAAGAGCAAAGCTTTTGCATTCGATCTTACTAACAAGATCCATAAATTCTTCTTTTTTCAATTTAGAAGAGTCATACTATAGATTGAACTGTGAAATTCGTAAGAAACAGGGCAGATTTGAAAGCAGAGAGATTGCATGAGAGTACCAATCAACTCAGATACTTAAAAGAAACAATATGCAAATGTAAGCTAACCATATGGTATAATCAAACATAAAACCCCAACAGAGGAACAATCAATAGAGGAATAAACCAAACTTAAACAGATGATCTGAACAAATAACAAAACCTGGCAATGGAAGAAGAATACGGTGACGGTGAGATGAGACGGTGGTAAATTACGGCGAAACAAAGACGCCGAAATATTGACGACGATGAAGGGGGTTTTAGAACGGCCCAGAAGTTTACTTACGACATCACTAAAGGAAGGAGAGAGAGAGAGAGAGATCTGGTCAGATCGGTACGGAAAATTAGGGATTTTAGTTAAACCGACCTGGTTTGTGTTTGTGTTTGCGTTTGGTCCGAACCGAATCCGATCGGTTTAGACTTTCGACTTTTTTGACTTGTTGACTGTATTTGTTTCTGATGTCCGATATTTTGCTTATCCCTCTCAATCTAACGGTGGAGATACATTTTCCTTGGTGACGTGCACGTCAATGACACAATTAGGCCTAGACAGTAGACACACACAATTGTGCACCACCCTATAAATCACTTTTCGCGTGATGGCTTGTTTTTAGAGGTAAAACATATCATCTGAATGAACCAAGTCGGAGTTCACACAACCTCTGTTGCAAACCAACTCCAAACACACACAGAAACGCTCTTTAATTGGTCTCTTGTCTATAGAGCATAGCTTGTACAAGAAGCAAAAACCGTTCTAGTTAGTTTGTCCGAACAAAAGATAATATCTATCATCCTCTACAGATATGACGAGAACGAGACCATTCTCTCCGGTGATATATCTCTTTTTATTACTACTGTCGGCGATATGTTCAGCCACCGTGGAAAACGCGGGGGAATGTGCAGCGGTGGGAACACTGGTATCGTCGTGCACGGAGTTTGTGAATTACGGGTACCCGGATCCGATACCAGGGTCCAGTTGCTGCGACGCGATGACTGTGATCGGAACTTACTCTGATTCGTCGGAGAAGAGAAAGTGGCTCTGTAACTGCTTCATGGACCTCATCAATGTAAATAACTCTAACGCCACTGCCATTTCTACTTTGTCTGGCTTCTGCGGCGTCGTTTTGGGATTCACCATCGATCCTAACACCGATTGCAACTTGTAAACTACTGTAACCCTCTCTCTCTCTCTCTATATGCATTTCTTTTATGATACATTCATCACATTTTACTAATTTATATTTCTTTTTAGTATTCAATGAGGCCACTAGGATCTTTCAAGGAGGGAGTAAGGCTTTGAAGGCTCAGTGATACCTATGGATCAAATCCAACAACAACATTATAAATGTTTAATTTGAGTATCGGTTTGTTCAAGCTAAAGAAATATTCCTCTTATGCTAAAGATTATGTATTAAACTCGTCGTTCTTGTCTTGAAATAGAAACGATTGTTACATCAGTTAGTTTTAGTTTTGTTTGATTTCTCTGAGATCTGAAAGTCAAATCATTTAACCATAACAACATTCATTTTTTTCTGGGTTAGCTTGGATCGAAGCAGTTTGATAACGATTCATCTTGATTGAACAATGAAGACTAGTCAACATCGACAGAGAACAGAGTTATGTTCCCTTCTTTTGCAAGTAATCGAAACTTGTTAAAAACAATTTACACACCCCCAGTGTTAATGGAAAATTACCAAACTCAAACCCAAAAAAGAAAAAAGAAAAGAGAATCATAAAATCTAGACAAGAAACGAAGCATGCATCCTCGATTTCGCGCTTTGGTTCCGATTCAATCGATCAGAAACTCCTCCGTAGTAACCGGGGCTTCCAACATCAGTACTCTCCTCTGCAACCGCCGTGTAGTAGTAATACTGTCCATGAACAGATCTCTTGTAGCCACTGGTCTCATTAGAGACATCAGCTCTCTGTTTAGGCGCGCTCTGTGACCTGACTTTAGCTTTGTAAGACTCTGTGTTAGCCATGTAATTCGGGTGATAACCCGAGTAGTAATAGTTATTACACCCCCAAGAATACTCGCTTCTTGACGTCGGGGTAAACGGAGTTCTTCGTCTTGATCCACTAGACCCAACTTGAGGACTATTCTCTGTACTTCTTGGACCCAACAAAGATTGTTGTCTTTTCCTGGGAGACTCATTGTTTCTCTCTGAACGTAGCGGTTTGGGATGAAAATGAGGCTTCCAAGTATCCACTTCTAGGATCTTGTCTTCGTCTTGGACTTCCTCAGTTTGCCAATCTAACCGCTTAGAGCCACCACGGTGGTCCATAGAGATGACTTCAGCGCTTGAAACGCAGCGAGTGTGGAGAGAACGCGGAGAAGAAGAGGAAGATGGGAACAACAGAGCGGTGGAGGAGTGGAAAGAAGCAGAGGAGTGAGAAGAACGAGAGGCTCGAGCACGAGCTTGAGATTGGAGACGAACCAAAGTCTGCATCCTTCTAAGCATATCCGCGGTTTGTTTCCTCACTATGTGTCCTCTCACTAGTGCTTGAAGCTTCACTAATGCTTTTAGTGCTCTTAATGCTCTCCTCGCCTGAAATTTACCACATTAGTTTGCCAAAATAAAACCAAAGAAACTTCAAAGCCGACAGTAATTCAACAAGACACAAGTTTCAATCGAACCTTGACTTGTCTTCCAAAGCCAATAAAGTTTTCTGATTTTTGATATAAATATAAATGTTGACTTCAAATAGAATCAAACCGAAGTAAAAAAATTGGCTCCACCACACAAATAATAGAGATTTGAGTTTGCTTGAGAATGAATAACAAAGACAAGGCGAGTTTAATCATTTGTTAAAGACATAATCATCGTTTTGCCAACTAATGCTAAAACTCAAAGAGAAAAGAGTAGTAGTAAAGGGATTATAGTAGTGGTTTGTGGAATTATTCTTATTTTGCTTTTAGTTTCCCAACCACTTCCACTTGGTACTCCAAAAACTAGATTTAGTAACTTACAGAGCCCACCATGCCCGAAAGTATTATGTCTCAAGGTCAAATGTACACACTCACACACACACTAGTTCTTCTTTTCACACTGGTCGAGATTTGAGAAGATATACAGCATTAATTAAACTCGAATTTAGAGAATCTCCAAATTCCGTGTTTTGAACCTTTTTATTGATAAACAAATTCACCGATAATGATGAACTTGATGGAAAAAGGGTAAAAACAAAAAAAACATGGTCAAAAAACGAAACTTTACCGAGTTAATGATAAAATACAGTAAGCAACTTGTAAAAGTTTTTGGCTAAAGATTTCAACTTTAAAGGTGATGATGTACTAAAGCAACCCAAAAAAAAAGAACCCATCTGTAAAATGTTGATTAATGTTATTTATTTCCATAAAGCTCAGAATTTTAAAAAGCACAAAATAACGTGGAAAGAAAAACAACTTGGCCTATCATACAACTAATATCAAAATGATTCACACTAACAATAATCTAAGTTCAATTTTTTTTTTTTTTTGGAGTGACTTAAAGAGTAAAGCAGAAGAAGATCAAAATGTGAGAACATTATAAAAAAAATGAAGAGGTAGTTCACTCAATCATAACCACTAAAAATAGTGTCGGCAGAATGAATCAAATCATACCACCAAGTTTTCAAAGAAACTTGTTTTGGTTTCACATTTGTTTGTCTTCTTCTTCTTCTTCTTCTATTAGTCAGTTTCTTTGGGACCAAACCCCCCACACAAGAAAATACAAATTTCACCCATTTGTTTCAATCTTTTTGAAAACAAAATTTGAATTTATTTCTGGGAAAAAAGATTTTCGAACTTTCAGACAGCTATTTCACACTTACATGTAAGAGAATTTTAGGAAATTTTTCTTCTATAGTTTAAAAAGGTTAATTAAGGAAAGAACAGAGAGCTTCAAGATTAAAACTTAAAGAGAAATCAAGAAAATTTTAGTACTAAACTAACCAGATAACCACGAAAAGCGGATTGAATCTTCCTAGCCGCGAGATTCTCATGAGCCCACCGACGGTTACTTCTTCCGATTTGAAACACCGACGAGTTTCCGCCGCCTCCCTTTCTCCCGCTAGTGAGTCTGACGACTTCCGCAGCCGCATGAGCAGCGGTGAGAGCAGCTTCGGCCACCGCGGCAGTCGCAGCCGCAACGGCTATCGCATGTTTGTCGGCATCCAAACCGTTTTCCTCAGCCACCGAAGCCGAAGACTTGGACGGAGCTCTCTTGCTTGAACCAGAAGATCTGGTCGCGAAGCTCCACCTCCGTTTATCTCTGGACGAAGAAGATGATTTATCAGACTTTTTACTCCCGAACAGTCTCCCAAAAAAGCCCATCGTTCATCGTCGGAAACTCGCCGGGTAAGATTTAACGGAGATTTGATTCTCCGGTTAATCAGAACTCTTCTTCATGTAATTTGCTGAGACTTTTTAATCTTTTTTGGGGTATGGAGAAAGCTTGAGGAGAGCTCAACGGCTTATATATATACAGACAGATTGTAGAGTACGCATCCACGCGCCAACATGTAACGCGTTAGTTACACGCGTAATTTTGAAAGAGGCCCTTTTGGTTTAATAAGCTTGACTTTGATTAGTAAAAAAAGAGAGAGAGCGTCGGTTAAAGTCAATGGGCCTGACTACTCCTACCAACCGTACCAGATCTGTTCTTTGTGGTTTCGGTTCAACCCATTTAATAAATTACTTTGTGTACGTCACTTTTATTATGTTTTTTTTTTAAATCTTTTATTTGATGTAAATATCTGTAATGTGAACTTGTGAAGTGAATATAATTTGAAATTATGTTGGGGACATTGGAAAATAATCTTTAAAAAAAAAAGAGAATAATTTGGGAAGACGTGTCATTCTATGAAGCCCATAATTTCACTGCAGTCTAGTGTCTGCGTCTTCTGCATTGTGCAGCTTTTTTTTTTTGGTTTATCTTTGCTCCAATGACTGCAGCTAGCACACAAAAGTACTTTTACAATTTTGTGTAGCTACGGAATAGATTACAGCTTGTGTAAGTAAATCAGAATTCTCTTTTCTTTTTTTGTGTGTGGATGATACGTACTAGCTAGGTGTTTGCTTATCTTTTTATCCAGGCCACATTATGTTTCATATGTTGTTGCTTGTTGTTTTATTGTGGTGGCAAAATTCAAATTCTTGTACTTTACAATCATCTCCTAGTTCAGTCTCTCGCCTGTTTTCGTAATAATGTACTTTTAACTTCTTTCTAGACTTTACTACAACTCTAATACTGTACGTATGTTACTAATCAAACCCTTTAGGTTTAATTCAAGCTTTTTATTTCCTTATTTATCACCTGTTGTTTCTTAATTCGTTTGTTTATGAGTCTTTATAAAAAGGAAAATATATAATAGGGGAACATTCGAAAAAAAAAGAAAAAAGAAAAGTGGTAGCTGTGATGTGTGATAACGATCGTCTAGAGTAGATTTAGAACCCCTCCTAATAAATACCATCCCTCAAGTCTTATTTAGCAGCAATCAGCACTGCACTAGAGACTAGAGAGTAGAGAGGATCAGGTATTTGTAGACTTTTTAGGTTTTAAGCACACATACTTGTAGCTTCACAACAAAACAACTTGCATGATTTTCCCATGCATATTAAAAACAACCTACATCTACGCTAATCTAGGACTTAGGGTGCATGATTAAATGCATTTAATTTTCAGACAAGGAAGGTTTATCCTCATAATTAGCATAGCTTTTATTACACTAGTACATAAATATTCAAGCATAACTACCACGACTTTATTAATTGTATTACTATAGAAAATGCAGAAGCCAGAAAAAAACACACACATAAAACTATAATATTTCTATTAAACCAAACAGAAAAACTATAATATTTCTTCATTATTCTTCATTATTCTTGATTTTTTCCAATTTCCCTCGATCGTCTTAGAATTGACTCGTTTAGCTCAACTTATTAAGCACTTATACCTGCACAACACAACCAAAAACCTCAGAAAACATAAATGTAATACGAGTCGATCTATACATCAATTAAGAAGCACATTAGTCGAGTTAGCTCGAGCCTAGAGTAAGAGAATGATATATGAGGTTCGATCCTACTTAATCTACGATTTTCAAATTTGGCTAATCTCTTTAATTTAGCCCACCGAATTTTAATTTGACTATTAATTTTTAACAACATCTCGTTGGTTTTCATTGTCTCAAATCATGTATGAGATTTGCTTTGTTCATCCTCATCTTGGAACGAACCAAACTTTCAAACTTGGGTAAAAATTATAAAGGTGAATATAAATCCTTACCGCAATCCACAGGAGGAAGGTTACAAAGCGAAGGAAGAGAGGTGGCAGCACGGAGAGCGTTGCATAAACAATCTCTATTAGTTGATTGAAGTGCAGCGCAACATTCTGAATTCGGTCTGCCTGAACCCGGGAGCACCATGGCGGCACACACCTGCACATTTGCTAGATCGTTGCCACATTCTTGGGCTTGAACCACCGGTCCAGTTTCTATAGCAGTCATGGCTAGGAAAAGGACACTGAGAACGGCTGCCAGAGACTTGAAAGATCCCATTGATAAGTTTTTTTCTATATATATATTTGATGTAGTTCTTCTATCTATATGATTTAAGATCTCACTACTATATATGTATGTATATTTATATAAGGTTCGAATGTGTATATCTGGAGAGATTAATTTTGGATAGAGGTGAAGAGATGTTTGGCATGGCCACATGGTCTGGTTGGTTGGTTCATAAGATTAACATGCGAAAACCTAAAAATAAAGAAAATCATAATTATTTCATTTTTAGTTACTTTTCATACATTAAATCCACGCTAAGTGCAAGTTTATATATCATGTACGTACTCAATTATCTTATATCTATATATATATATATATATATATACAAAGAATTGACAAGTTAGCTTGAATCTCTTGTAGACTGTGGAGTGGGTCTAGTGGGATGGTTGGTATATGGAAGATGAAAAGTATATGTTTTTAAAGTTCTTGTTGATCTTCTTAAGTGGACTCATGATTCACTACTACATGCATCATCCAACTAGATACAAAACATAATTTATATCATTTTTTGTATAATTTAAAACTAAACATTACATTTTATATTTGTATATATCTGATGCATGGAGACATTTCATCATTTTCCACTTTTTGCGAGTCAGAATTAGCAGACTACATATCCAGTGTGAGGGTGATGTTAAGGGACAGTGGACTAGTGGTGTTTACTACGATATACCTCTTTATGCTCGGGAGATAAAAGTAACAATATGTTTGCGTTGCTTACACATCACACAGCTTTTATTCCTCTACGGCTCCAACAATCAATGTTCTGTTTAGTAGAATGCAGAAAAAAAAGTCTTTATTGAGAACCATATCATCTAATAAATGTTTCCATGTCAAAATATATAAAGTTTTATGTTTTCTTCCCAAATCTTACTACTGAGTCTTTCTCTATTGATCTCTATTCTACATATAGGTAGAGTTTGTAGCATCTGTAAAATGGAATTGAACTTAACCAGCCACTGTGGTAAATGCTGAAATCTTTCATCCGGTTTGGAAGTTTTAATACCCATGTAACTGAAATAAGAGATTCAAAGTGTTTAACTAAAGACATAGTAACGATATTGGTAACTGTATATACCAACTTTAAATAAAGGAGCAAACTAAAATTTCTCACAAGAAAGGCACATATTGATTGATGAGCGATGAGTTCCTTAAGAACAGTCTTCTTTTCCAGAATTATAGTAACAGTATTTCCAGAAAAACCTCTTCATAAAAAGAGAAGCTTAATCTAAGAAGAAAGAAAGAAAGAACCACCACACCAGTTGACAAGTTAACATTGAATCCCCCTCATGAGATTCATATACCTAAGAAAGTTAGTCTTTAGTACTCAATTCTTTACAAAGACAACATTGGAACTAACTGTCAAATCCCAGAAGAGCCTCTTCTCATGCCTTCCAAGAATATCCCATGCTTTCATCAACCTCGTTGCTAAAAAAACCGTTATTCCCAAAGTTGAGAGATGTGTTGGACACCATACCGTCTTGGTTTTGGCTCTGCTCTAACCCCTTACTACCTCTAAATCTATTGGAGGTACTTGGTGTTTCCGCTGTAGGGACATAATCTGTTCGGTTTCTTCCCACGCTGGCATTGCTATTCATCACGTTCTGACCAGAAAGTGACTGCTGTTGTTGACCAGAGCCTCCATTGCTGTTTGCCATCTGTTGCCATATTTGGTGAATCATTTGTTGTTCCAATGTTTGGTTACCACTACTACAGGAAGGTGGTTGTTGGTGGTATTGCTGGGTTGAGCTATTGTAACTGGAGCTTGGCATTTGCCGCTGAGGAGATAAATGTGAAGAAACACCGCTAATAGATGGGCTATGCACAAATTGATAGCTCGGGGATGCACTGCGGTTTCTTGATGGTTCTTGTTGGATCGTGGTGTTGTTTGGGTCTGAATTCAGATGGTTTTGTTTCATGAGCATGGTCTGATAATTGGACAGTGCAAAGGCGGCAGCTTGTGCAGAGCCGGGAAGAGCACCTTGACCGCTCATATTGTTCATAGGTATGTTTATCCCGGAATTGCGTAAGGCCATTAGCTTGTTGAGACTGTTCCTATCAGGCGGAAGACCTCGAGCAGCATTCGCTAGTTGCTCCATCTCCTGCGTCTGCGATTTACCAGCCCTCATTCGATATGGATAGCTCTTCAAAGCCTCTGCAAATGTAAAACGGCATCAAGCTTTTTATAAGCACAGGCACAAAGAAAAAGAATAACAAATGCGTTGGGATGAATCACAGGGATATTTGAAGATTTATGTATTAACTTACCGATTGGACCCACTTTTTGGTCATGGCAGAAGTCAATCATATCTTTCATGCTGCTGACAACCTCAGAAATCTGTTAAAAAGAAGACAAGAGTTAAACCAAACAAAATAAGGAGACAAGCCACAAGGAAGACTCAGAGAAATTAGCAAAATTACTAGCTCAAGAAAGTAAGCAGAGAGATACCTGCAAACACCTAACATATCGTTTGGAGAAGCCTAAGTCATTGAGCGAATGTGACTCCAAGCTTTTTGCTAGTTGACGTCCAGCAGCCATGACCCTGGAGCAACAGACTTGGCATCAGTCTCATTACCATAGAAGATGCATGGAATAATGAAGTTGAATTGATTGAAAGAATTAAAGAAGAAATCAAGGTAAATTTGTCTAGACTCATCGACTCACATGTTGCTATTAGCTTGCAAATCCTGCTGTTGAATCCCATCTGATCCACTTTGATCGATTGTGCTCTGACATTTCTCTGCAACCTGAAGCAGTTGGTTCACCTGCACGACCCAAGGAAACAGACATTGCAAAATCTCAGGACCAGGTATTTCGAATAGATTTACAAAGATTGTAAGAACCATTAATGTTACCTGTGGAGCTACTAGGCGACGAGGAAGTAGCTCTTCATGTCGGCGAGTACAGAACTCCCATGAGAGAATCTGGCAAAAGCAAAAGGATAAGCTAAATTACTCTAACACATAATTGATTCAAAAATATAGGGAATCAAAAGCTCTTGAAACCTTCAGCTCTTGGGAGAATATAATCCGAAGATGGCCTTCACGAACAACACGGATATGTTCATACACACTCTCCTGAACTGCTTTCCCATACTCTAACACCATAATTCCAGAACCATATCTGCGTTCAGACGGTACGCCAAGATAAAGAAGCTCGTCAAGGACACCACTTGCAAATTTGATCTCGTTAAGCCTTGGCAAGACATCAAAAGTTGCTTCTGCAGAATTCATAAGTACAACAACTTATCAAGAGAAGATTCTTTGCTACCATAAACAAATTTTTAAATGACTCCCTCTTCTTAATTAGGGGATAAGTAAACTGGAGCTTACCAAATCCTCTTCCCGATTTAGAACCACAAAGATCACACTGCCATTCGTCCTGCAAATAGCATAAAGACAAATAACAGGAATAAGTTAACATTAGGTTATATCATATGCGTAACTGCACTGTGAGACCAGCATACAGTAAGCTACAAATCAAGAGAAAGAGAGCATGAAACAGAAAAAACGAAATAGTCAGGGAGACAAACCGTGGCTGCCTGAGGAGAAACACCAAGTGCGCTATGCCCCACATTATCATAATGAGAGAGACACCATCTCTTCTTTGCACGGGGAGAAAAATACTCCGTCACAAATTTCCTCCAGTAAACAATACTGCTCTCCTACATAATCAGCAATGACACAACTGGTATCTGTCAAGAGCTATTTTCTAGCACACACATAAAACAAAAATTCTGACTACATGAACACTCACAGAAGGCCTTTGTCGCTGATGATATAAGTACTGCATCAATCTTCGAGCGCAGACGCTATTTTCATAAGGTCGTGGACCACCAGATAACTGCAGCTGCATTCCTTGTTGTTGCAACTGTTGCTGTTGCTGTTGGTGCTGCTGCTGCAACTGTTGTTGTTGCTGCACCTGTTGCTGCTGCTGCAGCTGAACCCGTTGCAATGGTGGGAGGGACTGGAGATATTGTTGCTGTTGCCTCAGCTTTTGCTGCTGAAGCAAAAGTTGGAACTGTGGGTTTTGGCCTTGTTGTTGTTGTTGTTGCTGCTGCAACATATCCTGTCTCTGAAGCCACTGACGTAAAATCTGCTGCTGCAGCGCATCATCCTGCTTCGAATCTAACCTAGGTTTTTTGCGTGCTTGGGTTAAGTTGTTAGGGTCCTGGAAGAAAGATTCAGAAGCACGACGAGCCATAGAAAGCGGGATTTGATTAGTTTGTGATGTAGGCAGTGAAGTAGCACTAGAGCCACCTAACTGAACACTCGGATCATGCCGTTGTACCACAGTTGACCCATCTACAACTGATGACCCAGAGATGCTGATATTGTTAGAGGAGAAGGACATTGGAGACGCAGGTAAACGCATATACGACTCATTATTGATGCTAGCACTACGCTGCAAATTAGGACCGCCTCCAGAGAGCCCTGAATTAGCATCAGTGACCAAGGAACTAGCTCCAGCGCTTGGACCAGGGGTTGAAACACTCATCATGACCGGGTTGTGATAGCCACCAGCAGCAGCAGGTCCACATCCAGGGACAGAGTTAGATGAATTGCCATAAGAAGAGGTCAAGTGAGAGTTGATGAAACTCTGAGATTCATCATCTCCTTGAAAGAAAATCCCAGAGGCTGAAGAAGCCATTAAGGTAGGTCCTCTCAAAGCCAAGTTTCTTCCCAAATGCGACACAAATGTCCCACCTTTTTACTGCGGATACCTACAACATATATAATACATTCACCCAGTTATAAAATCAGATCAATAACATTGTCTTCTATCGAAACATAAACTCGAATCTGGTGTTCCATTAAGGATAAACAGACATTGAACTTGACATCTCTAGTTTTAAGGAAAAAAAACCCCAAAATCAAAACCCTAATTTTTTTAAAGTTCGTTACTTTACATAATTAACAGAGAAACTACCAAATCCCCAAACGAGAAAATAGATTTAATCCCTTAAAAATCTCGAAGTTAGATACTTAAAAGCAACATAAATTAAATTACGAAACAGAAAAAAAAAAAAAACCAGAAGACAAACAGAGACAACATACCAAGAACTGTGAAGTGAAGCTTCGATCAACATAGAACAAAAGCTGAAATCACAACTAGAAATCAAAGATGAAAACCAGCTGAATCGAACACGAAGACGACGATGAGAAATTAATAAACAAACAAAAAAATATTGCCTGGAAATTTCAAGCTATAATAATATATAAAGGCTAAAATAACAAAATCTTTTCTTCTTTTTTTTTTTCCTTTTTGTTGCATAAAAATGGAAAAATCCTGGAGAGAGCTGGAACAAAACAATGCACTTGACGCGCCTTTGTTATATACCTAGTGGAAATCGTAAATACTGAATCTCACCGCATGAACCGGTGACCATCACTTTATGGTTTCTTGCGAGTACTTTTTATTACCCGGTTAGTCAATACCGACACGTGTCTGGTTTCTTGTAACAAGTATCGTTTGATGGATTGGTAACCTTTAGATGTTATGATTACGTGGCAGAATTACGACCCTAGATGGATAAAGTTAACTCTATTTCAGATCGTCCGATCGGACTGAGAGTGCTGATCGTGTGCGACGCGTGTAGTAGATTAACCAAATTATTATTATTATTTTTTTTTTTTTGAAATAACTGTACCAATGATTGCAGCTGTAAATGAGTGGGCTACGACAAATATCCCCTTTTCTTTTGCATGATTACTTATTGACCCCAGTATTATTCACTTTGACAATTCAACCCAAAATATATACATAGTTCGTACCAAGTATCCAATGATGGAGATAATAATCAAATCAAGATTGTTCAGTGGTTTCTAAACCATAAATCTAACAGAAATAACAGAGGAATGGCTCAAGGAAAATTTCAAGAATCTAAATTAGTTCAAGAGCTATGGAGACAATTACTTGGACTTGCCCACTCGCAGCCAATTGCGACCTCAGGCTACGGTTCGATTCAACCAGAAGAAACAACAGCAACCAAATGAGACAAAGAGCAACGGTATCACAAACTGTTTAATGAAAACCGAATTTGAAATCTCACCCGGAAACAAATCGAAACATTATCAGTATGAGACTCTTTCCGACAGGCCAATTTATCAAAAGTTAGACCCATTAATAGCCCATTAAGAAAATACTACAGATACAGTAGTTTACAAACTCTGTTCTCCTACAGTTTCAATTTCAACGCTGTGTTTCTGGAACAGTCTTTTGATGTCAAACCCAACCGTGTCTATTTTTAAAGCACTAGATGATAGTTCAGGAAAGGAGTAAAGAAAGCTTTCGTGTGGTCCGTATGTTATCAGGTCGAAACTTAGCAAGAAGACACAGCACACCGACGATAATTCGAGACAATTTGGATCGACACGAGAGAGAGAGAGAGCACAGTTGCAGAGTTATTGTCAGAGATAAAAAGCGAGTGACGTGTAACGCAAGCTCATGTATTCAGTTGTTTCAATTAGATTACATGTAACTTAGAAATGTAGAACACGACTTATATAACAACACAACAGAGATGACAAGAAAAAATAAAAATGTAAAAAGGATCCTATTAATATCGGGTCATTATTTATCATATGAAAAATAAATACATACAGTAGTACTATGTGGGGATTACAACATATTATTGTTGTAGTAAATATTTATATAATTATGTGTCTGTGAGGACTGATAATGAGACATAACAACAATCACATTAGCTGTCACTCTTTTCTTTTTTCTTTCTGTTTTTTTTATTATAAAAACAATAATCTGCTTTTTATTTTATTTTATGATTCGTCATCTTTCTTCTTCTTCCACGAGTTCTGTCCAGAAACAGAAATACATTAATTTATTAGAAAACAAAAGTTATATTTATTTTTGTTCAGACGTTTCTTTATTCTTCTATCTTCTTCTACTTCTTGATCGTGTTTGTTCATCTCATCATTTCTTTCTTCTCTCTTTTTGGTTCTTTAATTTTTTTTGATTAGGAAACCAAGAAAGAAAGAAAGAAAAAAAAATGATGAAAATGGAAATTGGAAACACAACGGCCGGCGGAGGCGACGGTGAACTGGAGCTCCGACCTGGAGGAATGGTTGTACAGAAACGAGCGGATCAAAGCTCTTCTAACGTGCCACGTGTCATTCGTGTTCGGGTCAAATACGGGTCGGTTCACCACGAGATCAGTATCAACTCTCAATCTACTTTTGGTAAATAAACGAATCAATCTAAGTATATAATTTGTTTTCTCATATGCTCTGTTTGTTTGTGTGTGTGTGCGCGCGTGTGTGGTTGTATATATAATTAATGAAGTTTTCGCTGTAACAATGAATAGGAGAGTTAAAGAAGAAATTGTCTGGTGCGACAAGAGTTCATCATCAAGACATGAAGATTATATACAAAGACAAAGAAAGAGATTCGAAGATGTTTCTTGATCTCTCCGGTGTTAAAGATCGTTCCAAACTTGTTCTCAAAGATGATCCGATTTCTCAGGAGAAACGTCTCCTGGAGTTGAGGAAAATCGCAGTCCGTGAGAAATCTACTAGAGCACTCTCCGACATTACCTCCCATGCCCAAAAACTCGCCGGACAAGTATGTCTATTAACTTAACTGAATATATATATATATATATATATAATTCCTAATTTTCCGAGCCAATTAATTAACACTTCCTTGTTTTTGTCTCGTAAATTGAAGTTTAGAATATTTGTGTTTTTTGTTTTTGGATTTTAGCTGTCGGCGTTTGATACAGTAATTGGTAAAGGAGGGAAAGTTGAAGAGAAGAATCTGGAGAATTTGATGGACATGTTTATGAATCAATCGGTGAAACTCGATGCTATCTCAGGAGATGGAGACATCAAACTGAAGAAGAAGATGCAGGTACTTATTATTAACTCTTTTTTTTTTTTGTAGTTAATAAATGACTCAGTGTTACTACTAATCAAACTTAGAAATTCTATGAAATGACATAACTCAACCATAACCATAAAGTCGAATTGATTAAAAAAAAAAAACATGCATATATATATATATATTTATATATGAATCTAGCTAGTGTGTTTTGTAATGATTTGATTTAAAAATGTTGGAAGGAGGAAAGATTACAGAAGTATGTTGAGGCACTCGACTTGTTGAAGATCAAGAACTCAATTCTACTGCAACCGCAACCGCAGCCAAAACCGCAAACGCAAACGCAACCGCAATGCAAGGAACCAGATTTGTTGACATTTGATGAGGAAGTGCCAAGGAAACCGACGGCCTCCTCATCAAGTCCTTCTGTGATCATAACTACGAGATGGGAAACCTTCGATTCCAACTCTACTTCAGCGGCCACGGCACAAACCGTTAAACCGGTTCAACCAAATCACAAATGGGAATTATTCAATTAAGATAACATCTATATATACACTATATACATAACATATTAAACTATTTTTGCTCTCAGATTTCTTGTAAGTTTGTAACATATATGTCTCTTTCTTTTTTTATGTCTAGTTGTGATTGGCCTTTTCGGTTACATTATCAAATTTTGTTGCCGACTCGTGTGTTGCTTATACTTTATACCCTAAAGGAGAGCTTCAACAAATACTGATGATTGTCTCATGATTGTCATAATCGTATATTTATATATTTGTATATCTTCGTGATCCATTAATACTATCATGAGATTTATATTGATATTGCGGAGAATCATCAGTATTTGTTAACATCGTACTTCTTTACAAGAATCAGCTATAAAACTAAAATTTCCATTTGAATATTTTCACAATTATACAGTTCAAACTTCCAAAAAAATACATCTACAACTACGATCACTCAATCAATGATATATAAAATCTACTTAATACATAAAATTGCATCCAAGTTGAATATGAAGATTAAACAATATCCAAAATATATATATAAACTTAAACTAAAAAAATATCCAAAATATAAATATAATTTTAACCAACAAATATCCAAATTTTAAATAGTCTTAAACCAAAGCAAATATCCAAAACTTAAAACATAGTCTTAAACCAAACCAATATCCAAATTTGAAATATAGTCTTACAAAGAAACATACCAAAGTTATCAGAAATTAATCAAATACTTTTTAATTAAGCGAAATAGGGAGAACCTTGTTTAGATCAAGTCATCAATATCGATCATAAAGTCCATGATGTCTCCACCGGCCCAATCCTATATCAGAAAAATATAAACACAGACCAGTACTAAGTCAAAATCTGATATGAGAAGTTGGATGTAGTTTTCACACGTGAACTAAACTACAAATATTAAAAAGAAAACAACAACTTAATCATATGCCTAAATTTGATATGAAAATGACAATACGGTTTTAGTATCTAATTAGATTTATTTCCCTTCAAAGTGAAATTTATGTATAATTCATTAAAAATCGAATTGGATTAGAGCCAAATTTTATTTTAAAACAAAAGGGTTTCTAAAGGTTTAAAGCATATTACCAGATCATTTGGTGAAAATGGATCTTCAGCCGAATCTGCAACACCTTGTTCCTATGCAATTTAATTTTCAACATATCAATGATTTGACATGACATTTCACATGAAAATAATTTTAAGGTAAGAAAAAAGAAAAAGAAAATGTATAGTTACCTGATTCATTGTGTTCATGTCGGGAGGAGTAGGGGTATACATCTCCGTGTTATCAGCGTTAGAGTTCAGTCCTGGTTCGTTCCCACCTTGCTCCTATGCAATTAACATTCAAATATCAATTATTTGAACATACATGAAAGTGATTTCAAGGAACAATATAGACGTATTACTAAAAATGTTCATGTATAGTAGTTACCTGATTTATAGCATTCATGTGATCGAGACTAGGAGTATACATCTCCGAATTAGCAGCAAGAGAGTTCAAAGCTTCATCATTCCCACTTTGTTCCTATGAAATTGACGTTCAAATATTTCAACAATTATTTGAACATACATGAAAGTGATTTCAAGGAACAATATATACGTATTACTAAAAACGTTCATGTATAGTAGTTACCTGATTTATAGCATTCATGTGATCGAGACTAGGAGTATACATCTCCGAATTAGCAGTAAGAGTGTTCAAAGCTTGAGCATTCCCACCTTGTTCCTATGAAATTAACGTTCAAATATATCAACAATTATTTGAACATACATGAAAGTGATTTCAAAGAATAATATATACGTATTAATAAAAATGTTCATGTATAGTAGTTACCTTATTTATAGAATTCATGTGATCGAAACTAGGAGTATACATCTCCAAATTAGCAGCAAGAGAGTTCAAAGCTTGATCATTCCCGCCTTGTTCCTATGAAATTAACGTTCAAATATATCAACAATTATTTGAACATAAATGAAAGTGAATTCAAGGAACAATATATACGTATTAATAAAAATGTTCATGTATAGTAGTTACCTGATTTATAGCATTCATGTGATCGAGACTAGGAGTATACATCTCTGAATTAGCAGCAAGAGAGTTCAAACCTTGTTCCTATGCAATCAAAGTTCAAATCTCAATTATTTGAACATACATGAGAGTGAACAAATATACATTTTAATAAAAGTGTTCTTCGTAGTTACCTGGTTTATAGCACTCATACGTTCGAGACTAGGAGTATACATCTCCGAATTAGCAGCGAGAGAGTTCATATACATCTCCGAATTAGCAGCGAGAGAGTTCAATGCTTGTTCATTCATTGCTTGTTCCTATACAATAAATGTTCAAATATCAATTCTTGTTTTGTTTTTTCATATCAATTTAAGGTAAAAAAAAGTTATATAAATGCGGTCAAAAACGGTTTACAAAAAAAAAAAAAAAATGCTGTCAAAAACAAAAGGAGATATATAAACATGACTTACATAACCAAAGTTCCAGTTACTACTAATTGCATTTCTTTGACTAAGAACATCGTTTGCCAATCCAACATTCACTTGACTTTGATGCTGCATGCACAAACCATCACATATAATAAATTCACAACAATGCTACGTACTAAGAGCAAGCTATATAATAAACATGACTTACGTTATTAAAGCTCCAATTATTAATTCCGTTCCCTTCAAGAAGAACATTGTTGAACAGTTCAGCATTACTCACTTGACCTTGATGCTGCTAAAATCATAACATATAAATCACACACACACATATATATATGGTACTAAGAGAAAACACTTAGTATAAAAATGACTTACGTTATTGAAGATCCAATTATTATGTTCATTCAGAAAATTCTCGTTGGACAATTCAGTATTTTCTGCACCCACTTGACCTTGATGCTGGTTAAACCATTACATATAAATTATATATATATACTAGAATAGGGTATTTCACAAAGTACACAACTCGATGGGCATTACAACATGAATAGAATGAAACTTGACATGTGAAACTTTAACTAATTTAATTTTGGCATTTATATTTGAATGGCATTTATGTTTTCATTATATTTGACTTTTTATTAAAGAATTTAAAAAATTTTGATTTTTTTTTCCTTTCTTTTTACTTATGTATTTTCTTTAATTTTTTAAGATTATTTAAGAATGAAAGAGATATTTCTTAACCATTTTCTTAAATCTAAATATACATATATATATATATATATTTATATATTTATATATTTATATATTTATATATTTATATATTTATATATATATTTATATATTTATATATATTGGAAATTTCTATATGTATGTTAACATAATGTATAAATTGAAATGGTTGAATTTTTTTAACTTATTAAAATTTTAGCGGATAGACTTGACACTTATCATGAAAAGTAACTTTTGAAATCAAACTTTATATATTTATATAATTAGATATATACTATAAAAATAATATAATATAAACATGCACTTACGTTATCAAATTTCCAACTTTCAAGAACATAGTTGGACAATTCAACATTTCCAGCACGCGCTTGTCCTTCACCCTACTCAAACCATCACATATAAATCACAACATTAGCTTCATATATATGTAAAAAGAATATTAAAAAAGGTTAAAAAGATTAATATCGGTTATATATATATATATATATATATATTTACCATATTCTGATCAAACTGAGAGTAAACTTGATTGCCATTGTCATGATGATCATTGCACACGCTTAGACTCTCTAGTGTAGGAATCAGACCATCCGGTTGCGCATTGTAATTTCTTTGTACTGGCCCCATGTTGAAAGAGAGCGGTGAAAATGGAGAAGAAAGGCTCGACGATGAACTTCCATGGCTAGTCATGTTAGTGTTACTGAAGTTCATGTTCATGGTACCAACATTTTCACCAAGAAAGTCATTAACATTACCACCATAAAATCTTCCTCCACCAAGTCCAGTCAGATCTCCATATCCATTCGCATTGATCCGAGCAACGTCGTAAACATCATTTGTTGTACCATACTGTCCAAATAGAGGAACTTGAGATGCTTGAGATGTCCCAAAGTTGCTTGATCTAGGAACCCGACCATACATTTGTGCAAGTAAATAGCTCTCTGTCTGACCGTCGTTGGCTAAGGACGATGCAAATGTAGAAGGATTTATCGAAGGTGATGCTCCATGGTTACTTATATTGTTGTTATTGAAATTCAAGTTCATGGCACTGAAACTTTCACCAAGAGACCCATAAGCATTATTCCCACCAACTCGGCCAGCTCCACCATGTCCAAATAGATTTCCATGTGCATCTACAAATATCCCACTGTAGTTGCTTTGCATATGGCCAGTACCTTGATTAGAGTACATACCCAAAGAACCATTTGGAGTACCATATTTTCCAAGCTTAACAACTCGAGCCAGATCTTGAGGTGTTGCAAGAACGCTTCTCCCTTCCTGATTCAAAGGCAACAGGCCCGTAGAAAATCCGCAGCTTCCTCCCATAGGCAACAAGTTGGATCTGGTTAGGCTCAAATCATAGACGGGTCGACCATGCAGCATGTAGCTGTTGGAGGTATTCTTGTACAAAAGGATGCTCGACTGATCGTAGCCGACTTGGGATTTAAACAGATTTTCCATGTTCAGCTGTTTGGTTTTGTAAGAATCTAGTGGGTCGCAGCTAGTAGATGATGCAGAAATGTCGTTCCTATTTTCTTTTGCCAATTCGGCTTTAGCGGCCTTTTTCTTAAGCTTTCTCATTTGTCTTCTGTACTTCTGTATAACAATGTAAACAATTCCAACATTAGTCATCTCTATCTTATGAAATTCCTAACTCACATATGATCATGACAAGTGTCAAGTTTCCGCTAAAATTTTGATAAGTATAAAAATTTCAACCAATTAAATTTAGACATTATGTTAACATAAATATGAAAAATAAGCAAATAAAAAGAAAGGGAAATAAATGTAAAACAAAAGTAAATTACTTTTATCTTTTGTTTTAAAAATCAAATATAATGAAAAGGTAAATCTAATTTAAATTGAAATACAACACTTAAATTCGTCAAAGTTTCACATATCAATCAACTATTCATATACAATAATGAAATCTAAACATAACAAATAAGTTAAAACGTGTAAATGCATTGGCGATATTCCGATAACTTAGTTTATGGGGTTGATGCCAAAAAGCAAAAAAAAAAAATGCATTCACGATAAAAGAACAATTCTAAAAACTGTAATTTCAGGCATATAACAAATAGATCATTGGTTATGTACTTTGAAATATGATTAAAGAGAGGCACATGATCCTGACTTTAAGCAATGTTTATAGAAGATCGAACCTGCAGATGGCTGGATATTTGTTTTCTTGATAAGCCGTCCACTCGCATGAACCGTTGGATCGCCTTGGGCAGAGCCTCTACAAAATTATATCAATCACGAAGCAAAAGATAGATCATTAGTTTATGTAAATATATATATAAAATGTTCATTTGACAAATCATATAAAAATAACATTATGTAAAATGTTCAACTGTAGGACCTGAAACTTGTCCAAAAAATAAAAAATCATAATTTATTTAATTTACCTTAAAATGGATTAAAAGTTAAAAACTTTTATAAGCTAAATATATGTCAGTTGTTTAAAAACAAATGACGCAACATTAAAAATGTATGGCCACTCAATATGTAATAAACATACAACCTAAAAGCATTTGGAAACTAAAAACCTTTTGCAAACAAAAGAAAAAAAGAAGATATTATCTAAATAAACACGATCTTAACCCAAGCTAACTTAATAATAATCAACCGAGCAAATAACCAAATCGATCTTAACTATGGACTTCAATACTACTTTTAAACAATACAATAACGACATAATCATATATTTATATAGTAATTGATCTCATATCTATCATATATTGTTCAAGTAGAAGGTGAAAGAGAGAACTTCTAATACTTACTTCGTTCGCCAAGGAATTCAACGGCCTCCAGAAATTTGCTATGAAGGCCATCTTTCCATTTGAGCATGACAGGCCGACGTGGCCCTGCAGGACTGCCACCAGCTGCATTGTTGGTTGATGTTACCGTCTCATCTTGATTCGAACCATCATCAGCTGTGTTGTTGCTTGATGTTACCGTCACATCTTCATTCGAACCAGCATCAGCAGTGTTGTTGGCTGATGTTACTGTCACATCTTGATTCGAATCATCATCAGCTGTGTTGTTGCTTGATGTTACCATCACATCTTGATTCGAATCATCATAAGTTGTGTTGTTGCTTGATGTTACCATCACATCTTGATTCGAACCATCGTCAGCTGAATAGGTTTCCCCTATATATCATGTAGATTCGGATTATTGTATCAAGACACAACACATATAATTTTCCCATCAGTGCAAGAAGGCTAATTAAATAACAAGCTAAAGTTGTCAATTCATTGGTCACGTAGTTAGATTTGTACCGTTCATTTTGTCGTTAAGAGCTTGCTCGCACACAACGTTGAGGTCACGTGAGACAAAGGAGTTCCACTGGATAGAGGCTTCGTCCCCAAATCTCTTCTCCTAATCAGCGGATCTCACTGCATAATAACCATTCAAAAAAAAGGTCGTTAGCATAATCAAATCAAGAATCTTAGGCTAAACACAGCATTAAGAGTAAATCTTTTGTTCTAGCTAGTGCTAGATATCTTTCTTCATCTACACTGACCTGAGATTTTTCTTGCTTGGTGGTAGTAGTAAATTTTCTTATCTCACTATGTTCTTATATATGACATTTATTGTATATGCTTGTATTTTTCTTATTCAACCTTTTTATTATTTCATTTAAAGAAAATAAAAGATTCCCATTTTTTATTTTCCTTTTGGGCATGCATGACCGTTTTAGCACAGGCAGGGCCAGTATTATATAGAAAAACTAGAAAATCCCATTTTTGCTAGTAAAATAGTCACTAAAATGTTGAAAATACAGCTAATTTTAACCATTCAAGAATTAATAATTTTGTTTTTGATAATTACAAGAAAAATAAGTGGTTCTGCATAATTATGTAATTAATTGAAAATCTCTGCGACCAATAGTTATCCTGTTTTCTTAGTCATCGCTTATCTCTTATCAGTTTCATTACAAGGGAACATTTTTTTACCAGCAAAATATTATTATATAAAGGTATTCTATTCTATATATAGGTTCTTTTTTTACTAATATAAAAAAGGCATACAAGACTAAGTATTTACCAAAAAAAAAAAAAGTGAAAAGGGTACTTACCATTAACTGGCAAAAAATCCCAAAATTTTCATCTTATTTTAGTTGAACGATGTAAAGTTCAAACTAGGCATATGTTGCATTGACCTCTAAGCGTAGTTTACTTTTTTCCAGAACTGCTTTGGAACCTCTAAATTCAAGGCCGACTTCGAATGTATGAACATATACAAAGACATACATATATTAATTAAACATATGAACTAGACGAGCTTTTGTAAGTAACATTTCATTTTTATCGAAGCTATTTTCATAAGACGAAAACAATGTTGTGTTGCTTTTGAGTCCAATGAGCCAAATGCAAATACAAAAAGAACTTCAGGAACTCCACTAGATAAAAGTTTATAATATGATTTGCTTGATATGTATCAATTTGTTTTTATGTTACTACTTTGGAATACATGTTATATGTTTAATTGTTTTATGAGTATCCTATACATAGATAAAGGTGATATAGGTCCGTATTTCTTGAATAAATTCTTGAATGGTTAAAATTAGTTACTTGTTTACTTGAATTTATTAGTTTACATTAATTCTTGAATGGTTAAAATTAGAGAATCAATTTTCTCTATGTAAAAAAAAAATATATGTTTTATTATATTTATATCTGTTTAATTTATTTTTCTTTTACTTCCGAGAGTTTACAATATTTATGAATACTTTATTTTTAATTTAATTTTATTAGTTAAAAACAAGTAACTAATAAAAAATGGAATTCAAGTAAAAAAGGTGATCTAGGTCCGTATTTCTTGAATTTATTAGTTCATGGCTACTTGTTTTTAACTAATAAAATTAAATTAAAAATAAAGTATTCATAAATATTGTAAACTCTCGGAAGTAAAAGAAAAATAAATTAAACAGATATAAATATAATAAAACATATATTTTTTTTTTACATAGAGAAAATTGAAAAGGAGTTGCGAGTCAAAGGGCGGGAAAATGGAACTGGTGATCCTAAAGGTCGATTCCTCTCGACGGTAAAACTCTCCGGCCGACGAGCCTAGAGAGCAAAAAGAAAAAGAAAAAAAAAAACCCCAAGAAGAGAGAAAAAGAAACAAGAAATATAGAGAGGAAGACCCGAAAAAGCGAAGAAGATTCACCACAGAAGAACCAAAAGCATTGCTTCTTCTGCGAAAACACACCTAACACAACTTCTGAACACCGGAGATACTCGCCGGAAAAATAAAGATAAAAGAGACTTTTGAGTCGTTCTTTTTCCAATTCACTTGGACTTCTTGAGATGAACGGTGGTTCTGAAAACAGCGTCATCGCAGACAAAACTCCACCAAATGTAAGAGAGGGGGATCCCTGCAGCGCGCCAAAGAGCGTGAGCATCGATGTAGCCTTTGTATGGAGGGAAATCGAGCATTCTAAGGCACGTTGTGAGTATGCTCAACACTACGAAAGATCTTAGCTTCCACTTTGCTGGATGCGACGTTAAAGCAGCCCATAGTCCCCACACTATCATCTCTATTCCTCCAATCCCGAATATAACTTTCCTGTGAAGCCCTGCAAACTTACAGAGTGAGAGAGAGAGAGAGAGAGAGAGAGAGATGCATTTGAAGAAACCAACTTTTTATTTCGTAATCCAAACTATATCCCTGAAAAAGATCATACCTTCGTCGAGGTTGTAGAAATTGAGGTAGAGAATATGAGTTGCTGCAACCGCGAGAATAGGTGCAGTAACCATGATTTTGACAGACTGATCGTGAATACTGAATGACCGGAGTGTTGCTAGAATAAGAGTAAATCCAGCTAATACAGTAGCTGAAGAGTAATCTAGCCTCTCTGTCAGTTCAACATCTCTATATAAAATAGTTCAAAGCAACAACAAAAAAAGATAGCCTAAGTGAGAATTTACTTGACGAATATTGACAATCTTGGTATGGAATATAGATACTGGAATGTTACCTGCTATGACAAATACCACTCCAGAAGAGTGAATTCATTACAATGATTGCATAGATATGCATTAATCCATTGTACTCATAGTACGTTTTACGATTTGGCTGGAGAGGCAATTTATAGTAAACGAGGATGAAATACGAGACCCATCCTTGGAACTGCATCGCAAGGTCGAGAGCAGAGAAAGCAACAGAGACAGGTTCCTGAAGATATACATATATAGATGCACATCAGGAACAATGATTCTTGAAGCTGAGGCTTGCAGAGATATACAGAATTGCAAAAAGAAGATTACCTGGATTCCATAGACATGTTTGAGTGGCCATTTACCGAAATACTTGGTAGGTATCTCCCCATTTCTTCTTCTTTCTTCTTCTCTTGTCATCATGCATTCGTACTGACAATCACTTTGGCAATCCCACTGTTTCCATCTCAGGTAAAGTGGCTCTTGCATGTACCATGGACCGTCAATGGCTTTTCCATCAGCTGAAAATTTACAGTGCTGGAAACAAGTATCCCCCACACATCCAGTTTTCTGACATTGCTCAACACATGACCTGGAAACCAAAGCTAGAAGGGTAAAGCAGCATCTTTCATCCCAACAGAGGGTACACTAACAACACCTAAGGCAACATCAACTGGGCTATAGCTCAATCGTAGTAAGACTACCCTGGTACCAAATTCTGATCTTTTTCATTTCTAACCATGTTCTAATTAGGCAGATTAAGCTGATAAGATGGCATAGAAAGCAAACAACAGAGAAACAGGGAGAAAGACAAGGTTCCACTCAAACAAAAGAGAAAAGAAACACCAAACTCACTAGCAGCACAAGTCCCTTTCTAGTATTTGTCTTTATAATCTTTCCAACAAAAGAAATGACCCTACAGTTATAATGAAGGGCTTGTGGAAACACACAAAGATCTCATCTCTAACGTGTCTCAACTCTCACCACAAGACTCTGGGAAGAAAAGAAAAATATTTGGAAAAGTCAACCACATAGTTGATAGTTGTAAGCTCCTAGTTTGAGCCTTCCCCCACCACCTCCTTTGCTTGTGGCTCTAACTTCCATTCAAACCTGTGAAACTCATCCATACCTTACATGGCAAAAGAAAATATGTACTTGTATCCTAAAAGGCACAAAAATTCGTAAACACACAGAGTTTTTCACAGTTGAAATCATTGCCAAGTTATGCAATCAATGAATCTAACGGTCGACTCTAGACAGTAATCAAATCTTAGACCAGCATTTATAATGTAACAGCTTAGTCAGTTAGCAATAACAGGAAAGCTAATTAAGATAGAAAGACTTTATTTTTTAACATATCACAGAGATATGAAAGCAGAGAAGAGTTGTAAAATTGGAAACAAATCGATCTGAGAAAAAGAGAAAAAGAAGAAGACTTTACTTGTAAAGAGGATCAGAATCTCCCTCACTAGCTTCAAGTGCTGAAATAAGACACGAGAACGCAACAATAAGCAGAACCCATCGCAGATTTCGCGCCATCCGATGATTACCCAAAACGGGAGAAAGAAGAAAGAGAGAGTAGAGCAGAGGAGAAGAAGAGAGTAGAGAAGACGAAAGAGAGGATTGAAAAGCTTAAAACTTTAAAAACTAGAGGAGGAGTGAGTAAGTCGGTGGATGATCGGAGAAATTGAATAGGTTTCGGTGTGGCAGTTTCTTCTTGTCCATCAAATCGCGGAGACAGGTGGATGCATAGAGCGAGAGAGAGAGAAAGAGAAGAGAGAGAGATCTCGCTGCGGCAAAAGAAAGAGAGAGAGAGAGAGAGAGAGAGAGAGAGAGAGAGAGAACCCGTGAGTGAGCGTGAAGGTGAAGGAGGGAGAAGGGGGAAGCGCGTGGCGAAAGAGAGAGAGACGCGTGGGAGCAGTGCCTCACAGACGTCGATTCACCTCTACTTCTTCTTCCGTCACTTTGTGTTGTCTTCTCTTCTTTTATTTTATTTCCATCTAATCTAATCTAATCTAATCTTGTGTTATGTGTAGACTTTTTGAAAACCAAATATCAGATATTTTATTTTTATAGCATATAGTCGTCACACCAACAATTTTTAGCTGTGAGCCTAGTACTAACATATCAAGAGTAATCGTATCAAGCAACATTAATCAAAACCATCCTGCAATCACTATGATTTATCTAAAAATCACTTTGTATTTTTTTTTTTTTCAGGAAAAGTATCTTAGGAATGAGTATTGACTTTGGGATTTAGATTCTAAAACGAGAAAACGAATCAAATAGTTAAACGTGAAAGCAAATATAAAAAAAAAAATACGTGCGTTGGGTTTTGGGGGGGGGAATAACATGACAACACGATGATTTTACAGCCTCACGTTCATTGTCAATGCGCGTGTGAACGAAGGAGGGGATTGAGAGAACTGGTCCCCAAAATTGTTGGGAGGAAGTTTCCTATCGATTGAAACTGTAGTTATTACTAATGTATAGTTTGTTTAACTATCTGTTCTGTCCTGAGAAAACTACACCAATCCCCGCCAAAATCAAATTAAAACAAAAAAAAGGTCAAAAACAAATCAGGGGATTTTCAGATTTGTTGTAGTTGCCATCAATCAGAAATACTATTACTCAGTTTACACACAAAAAAATCGTAATTATCATTGTACTTATTAAGTATTTGATTAAAATCCTAGAAGGCTAGAACGAACGACATATTAGAAGAAGAGAAGGAAATCTTTTCTTGAAACGTATCAAGACATATGATATTATGTTTGCACGTGGTGGTAATTAGTGTGTTAGGCCAGAGTTTTTTCCGTTGATTTCTGAGTACGAGGAAGATTTTATTCCATTTTCCCAAACTCTTTAGTATCTTTTGGTAACAAATTACACCTATAAGGCCATAATTATCGGTATATCTTCGAGGGGCTTATGAAATTATTTAAAGTCCAAAAAATGAAAACAGTACAATTGTAAGATGCATCCGCTTGTTGGGTAAGAAGCTTTTGGACTCGAGTCTTATCCCACGTGGCGCAACCTGATAAATTAAAAAATTGAGTTAACAAAACAATTATTAACAAAACACCTATAAGTAACTTCATTTTTTTTTTTTTTTTGAAATTATTCAACCAATACTATATGCTATGTGCATGAAACACGGGCAAACTGTAGGTGGAACCTTAAAGGCAAACACCGCAAACTGGCAATAAAAAAAAGAACAAAATTATGCATTGCTTTAGTACTAAACTAAAGGAACAATTAAATAAGGTCAAACTCTTCTTCATTTTTTTAAGCAAAAACTCTTATTTTGGTTCATTTTTGAAATCACATATCTTTCTTGGAGCATACTAAAACAAAAAAAAACAAAAAAAAAGAAGTCGACAGAAGACAAGTCATGTACAGTATTCAATCTACTTTCAAACACAAAGTATCATCCATTATTCAAATAACAAGGTCGGTCAAATAAAACAACATATTTGGTAATCACATTTTCAGGAACAAACAAGTGTTCAGATATGTGTCAAACTCGCACTTATTTCTTCAACCTGCAATTTTGTTTTCCCCATTATCTCTTGCTATTCGTTTTCTCTAGACTGCACTCTTGGGGTCACCCATCCATAACAATGTTTCATAATTCAAAAATCTCCCACAGTTATCTAAGAAGAAACATACTAATATTAAGTTTAAGCAAACACTTAAATCAACTTTTACTTCAAAACTCAAATAATTAAGCTCAAGACTGAGGATCAGAGACTGAAATAACAGCTTGTAGATCGGCGAGACACTCCGCCGGAAGAGAGAGGAACGTGTTCATAAAAAAGTCCTCCACGGTCTCAACTCTTGCGACGCCGACGAGTCTACACTTCCCTTCTTTATCCATCCGCTCTCCTCTCCCACTCTTTCTTTCTCCTCTCGATTCCTCCGTCGTCAACACCGTTTTCACCATCAGCCCCGGAGCTCTGTATATCCCTCCTCCCGCCGTGAAAAAGAACCTCGCTTCGAAGTCTAGTTCCACCTTCATTACAAACAAATCCATCCAACCCACGTCAAAACAAAAAGAAGAAGAAAAAACAGAGGATTTATCTTAACAAGACCTAAAAACAGAGGATTTATCTTAACAAGAACTAAGACAGAGGATTTATCAAAAATGACAAGAACTGAAAAAAACAGAGGATTTTATGAAATTTTGTTTCACCTTCCCGGAATCTTGGTCGATAGTTCCTTGGAAAAACTCCGGTGAAATATCGATTTTTAGAAACGGTGGCAGTGGTAAGCCGAGAAATGTAGTGGTTTGGCTAGTCAGAGGAGGAATATACAGAGTTGCCACATTGAAACAAACAGACAACAATCCAGAGCTAGATGCTCTGTTTTCATCCATCTTTTGAGCGGTTCCGGTGCCGGAGCCGCCTTGAGGAGAGTATTCGAAATCGGGATACCTTGAGATGCCAAGCTTACCTGTTCCAATGGTTTTGAAGCTGACACTGTAGAGATCACTGGGGAGCTGTGTTGTGTTGAGTTTCGGGTTTAGTGAATTCGAAACTAGTTTGATTTGGTTTTGGGATTTGTGGTTAATGTATCTTTTTGGAGATTTGAGGTAGATTGTTGTTGTTGTTAATGGGTTTATTTTCGTTGAAGCCATCTTTCTCACTATTATCACTTTGATTTTTGTTGTTGTTTTTCTTTTTTTTTTTGCTTGAATCAGTTTTGATTGAAGAAAGCATAAATCTTATCGTCAGCTAGTTTTTTTTTTGTGTGGCTAGTTTTCTTATGTATATCCTTCACCTCGTAAGTCTACAATTAATTATAGGACTAACAAGAATGTGTGTATGTATCATCGTATAACCCAACGGGCTAAAAGAAGATTTGTATTTGTATACATGGGCTCAAATGCACATTATAGAGATTATGGGTCAATTACATCTATTTTATTTTTGGGCTAAGGATCTCTCTCATATGATGTGAGACACTGAGACTTGTGGTTTAGTCAGCCGGGTTTATCTCTCTCATAAGTTATAACGTTACGTTTGGGCCACAAGCAACTTGACACAACAACGGATGATTGGGCCAAAGGCCCATCTGATTTGGTCATGCAAGGCATGTTTTCAAGTGAGTCTCTCTCCACTATCCTGCATCCACTTAAACCTAAACACCCAACTTATGTTTTAATTTTTAAAAGAAAAAAAAAACACCAAGATATCTTAATTTATAAATGACCCATAAGAACAGAAACATGTGTAAAAACTTTACTAATAAAAGTCTTTTATATCTAAAAGTCTTCTCTTAATTACTGTATGTGGGTTTTATATTTGGAGATTCAGGATAGCCAATTTTACACGAGAGTTGAATATGTCATATTAACTAAAACTTTTACACCGCGATCATGAGTATTTCATTTCTCATTTTTTCGTTTGCGATCACATATTTTGTAATTTTCGACTGGATATTATTTCATAAGGTAATATTAAATTAGTGTGGACTATATTTTCGTAGTTTTTACTGTTTATAGCCGTAATACAGTTTCATGGTTTTGTCTTGTTTGAGGGCACCAAAGTCTTAGGGCGGCCGGCTCATAAAAAAAACACATCAATAACTCTTTTAATCAACCAACTTAACCAACACACCAATAACTCTTTTTTACATAGGTAGTTCACATGGTCGAATGATTGACTTTGTAAATGAGAAACATTTCAAACTTTAGTTAGTATTCGTGTTTTTCGTTGGGAGGAAACTAATTTAGTCTACAGTCGACGGAGACGCATGGACTTTTTCCCCCAAATTTTCAGATAACCAAAACAGATGATTAATGATTGTATTGTATCATTCAAAACTCCCCCGGCTAATAAATTGTATAGTAGTATTATAATGAAAGCCGATATAATGGGATGTCAAAATAATATAATGGACGGTTGGACATTATTAACTTGTCTAAAACTCATACAAAAAGAAACCACAACCATATTTTTAAAAATCATATATTCGATGATATACAGTTTTATAAACCTTTCGTGCGTAAATATGTGCGTATGTGAAGCACTTATTGGATGCTTATAATAAGAAGTAAGACTTTTGGCCTTTGTGGAAAACATATAAACCTATAGAATTGGGACTGCTTTTTTTAGAATGTGGACCGATCTGACTTTGTCATACTCATTTTCCGCACGCCATTAACGATAAAAGATTCCCATTTGTATTTTTCGTCGTTCAATTTTGTCTAATCTCAGCCATATACTTTCACTAACACCATATTCCCTTATCAAAGTGTACATCAACACGATGTACTAATCAAGTATCTAACTAAAAAAAAAATTTGCACAAAAAGATTAAAAAAATAAAGAAGTCATGTGCTTTCACACCGTTTTGGAAGTTTGTAAACAATCTTTTGGGTTTTTCCAACACAGCATCCTAACCAAAAATGTACTTATATATGCTAAACGAAAACGATTATATCGTTTAAAAATACAGTAGATGTATCAGATCCCACCATCTGTTATGTATGTATTTGGATAGATGATTCTTTTTCACTTTTGTTTTGTAAGGTTTTTACAACGTACTTCTTACGTTAATTGCTGAAATAGGATCAAGATTAGGAATAAATGACTCTGCTACGCATTTATCACTCTATGGAAATTCAAATAGATGCTACGGGGATAGGGATGCATCTTTCTTCAAACTTATCAAAACGTATAGGTTACTTAGTTTGCTCACCCATCTTCAATGATTCATAATAAAATTTTAATTTAATAAAGTACTATGCAAATAAAAAAGCTAGTTGAACAATGTCAATCCATTATGGTATGGTATGGTATATACACGACAGGACAACCGATACGATGACAATTGCTTCGAATTGTTTTTATCCAAAACGTATGAATAATAGAATCGATAGATAACACGTTGACAAAAAAAAAATGATAACTTTTTGTAACGAATTATTGAGTAATTTGTAATTTGAGAATTTGAAGATTAATATTTTGAGGTTAATTAAGTAATAAAAAGAGGTAGTTGGAACGTTGGCTTTTGTGGAACCACAATAACTTACGTGTCTTTAAACGGCGGCTATTCTCGAAGGCTACGTTTCTTTTAGACCACATTCTACATTCTCCTTTGTTAATACGATATCCTAATCTTTTTTCTTGTGACATAATCTTTTTGAAAGAACATTATATACTCCGAAAGTTATATGTGTGGTACTTTAATTAAAATTATAGATATTTGGTGTAGAAATATTATAATCCATTGGTCAACTATAAACTCTAATATTATTTTTAAGATAAATATCTATCTAAAATAAACAAAATATATATTATCACCAGAAAAATAAACAAAAATATATATATTTTCAATATCTTAACTAGTACTAAAAGAGGAGTTCATAGATATTCTAAAAATTACTCTATTATATTCTTTTAAAAAAATCATTGCATGTCATCTCTACAATGGCTCTTCCATTCATTATTTAAGAGTTTCAATATTCTCTATTTTTTTTTCTTCTCTTTGTACTAATTTTTTTTGGCCTGTGAAATGTTAGTATTCCCTATCATAATTCTCCATATCTCTGCTTATTTCTATTTTCCTAGTTTAACTTTTCATAGTATTTTAGAAAATTGCTATTTGGCTATAGCTTTTTAATGAGATTCATTTAATCTTATACAATGACATCGAAAAATATCATTAATTTTTTTTATAAAAAAAGGAACAAAATAATAAGGATCATAGGTAAAGAAGAAAGTGCTAAAATCTCCTTTAGTGAGTCACAACCGTTGACCTGCACCACAGGCATAAGAGACCAAGTCTCTCTAATAACCCAACCAACACAACACAACACCTCTAACCCCAAAAGACGAAACAACCCTCACTTCCATTTCCCAATACTATATAACAACTCAGAGGCATGTCATAATAACTCAATTTATTATTATTATTCATTATCTATCAAACGAGAGAAAATTCCAAGAGTTGTTTTATAATTCAGAGACATGGTAAGAGGTTCAAGAACAGGTTCTTCAGACATGAGCGCTTGGTGTTCTGCTGTTGTGTTGTTGTCTTTGATACTTTTGTTATCCGTTCGTGAGAACAACGCTTCTAACTCGATCAGAGGTTCTCAATTCTCAGCGAAGCCTTGCGAGGAGATTTACGTCGTCGGAGAAGGTGAGACGCTTCACACCATCGGAGATAAATGCGGCGACCCGTTTATAGTTGAGCGAAACCCTCATATCCATGACCCTGATGATGTCTTTCCTGGTCTTGTCCTCAAAATTGCACCTTTTTACTTCTCCAGAAAATTGTAAGAAATATTAACAAATATATACGTTTTTTACTTTTTTTTTTTCTCTTTTAATTTTGTTTGAAGCATACTTTTTCCTATGTAAAGTATGGATTTATGTATATACTAAAAGGATTCCATAATAAATAACACAGAGATTTCAAAGAAACAGAGCAAAAACAGAGTATATTGTGAGTTGCTTATTCATGTATTTCTGAGGGCTTTATATGTTTCGTTTTATAACTTTTAGGTGCACATAGTACGCATTGGTAAGTTTCGGGATTAGGGTTGTAAAATTGATGGTCTAAAATAATAATAGTTTGCTGATTAATGCAATAACAAAACGCCAAATTAGAAAATAGGTCAACGACTTTGGACTACAGTAAATTCCAAATAGTAACTTGATTAGTTGATAAACTGTGCTTTATTATGTGATTTACGCCTAAGAAATCTAAAAAAGAATACGAAGTTGATTGTACGAATGATTAAATGATGATGATACTGTAATTGGCCAAGAACGGAAGAGTAGCATAAACAAGAAGAGAGTACGACGTTCGATCAAACTAAGTTGTGACTTGTGTATGAGCTTTCTCATATTACAACCCAAAACGAAAGCTCGATGAAAGTCTCCCAAATTCATGCCCTTCCCAATCCCAATCCATATCAGCTATTGCATAATCAAATGTCGATTACTTTCAAATCCTAAGATATGGTTTCACTCACTAATTAGTAAGTTTACAGGATATGATAACATTACTTTGGAAATTTATATGATGTTGCTTGTAGTAATACGTACTAATCAGAAACTTACGAGTTTGACATCTCACCTAAGTTTTACTTGATACCCTATCTCACTTCTCACACACGTATGTATTAGTATCTCAACTTTATACAGTAGTATCATCTCAACGTTTGACTCATTCTGCCGTTACAAACATATAAATATTATCGAAATATGCTAGTCAAAAATTACTATATTTTTCAATACAGAATTACCAAAATTATCTCCAACTGTAATTTTTGCTTTGCTTTTTTTTTTCTTCAACGTTTTGCAATAAATACAGTTTCCAGAAACTCATAACTACTACACACCTAGACTAATTATGTCGCCATCTCCGAAAACTACTGGTTCTAATTTCAAATAAAAATTTTCCAAAATAAAACTTAAAAAGAACATTATTACTATGCATGTCGACATAATTCCCAAAGAATTACACAAAGTCAATATCTTTAGGGTGTTAACCTACATCAAACGAAATTCAATATTCCCAAAAACCTCTGTAAACAAGAACCTCTTATATATAAGCAATGTGAGTTGTTCACTGTTACAAACCTCACCATCAAAGCCACAAAGGAAGACCAAAAAGAAAACAGAAACCCTAACTTTTTCCAAAAGCCAACGATGGGTAGATTCCAAAAAACCCTAGTTTGTGCTTTTGTTCTCTGCTTGGTTATTCTACCTCTTCTAGTCTCAGCGGCGGAGGAAGAAAACGAATGTGGCGGATCCAATGGTGGAGGCTCTGCTGCGGCAAAAGCATCAGTTCTTAAATACAAGATCATAGCTTTTGTTTCCATCCTATTAGCTGGAGTAATTGGGGTCTCTTTACCTATTTTTGGCCTCAATTCAGAGACCAATATCTTCATGTATGTGAAAGCCTTTGCCGCGGGAGTAATCCTAGCCACTGGTTTTGTCCACATTCTTCCCGACGCTACCGAGAGTCTCACTAGTCCGTGCCTTGGAGAAGAGCCACCGTGGGGAGATTTTCCGATGACGGGACTTGTCGCTATGGCTGCCTCAATCTTGACAATGTTGATCGAGTCTTTTGCTTCCGGGTATTTCAACAGATCTCGGTCGGGGAAGGAGGGTAAGACTTTGCCGGTGAGTACAGGCGGAGATAAGGAGGAACATTTTCAGGTTGACTCTGCTCATACTCATGCCTCACAAGGACATTCTCATGGCTCTCTTCTCGTTCCCCAAGATGATCACATTGATATGAGGAAAAAGATTGTAACTCAAGTAAGTTAAAAAATCATCCAAAATCCATTATTTTTGAACATTCTCGATATTGAGATAAATCTTTATTATTGACTTGTTCTTTATATTACTTATGGTGATAGGTACTGGAGTTGGGGATTATGGTTCACTCAGTGATAATAGGAATATCTCTGGGAGTATCTCCAAGTGTCAGCACAATAAAGCCTCTCATAGCTGCAATTACCTTCCATCAATTGTTTGAAGGTTTTGGTCTTGGAGGCTGCATCTCTGAGGTAAACTTCAATTTCATATTCTCTTACCTTTCATATGATTATATCAGCTGAGGAGATAAATTTACATGTATTTGTGTGTACGTGCAGGCAAAGTTTAAAGTAAAGAAAATTTGGGTTATGTTGGTGTTCTTTGCACTCACGGCACCAGTAGGGATTGGAATCGGTATTGGAGTGGCGGAGACTTACAATGAGAATAGCCCCATGGCCCTAAAAGTGTCCGGTTTTCTCAACGCTGCAGCCGCTGGAATCTTGATTTACATGGCCCTTGTTGATTTGGTAGCTCCACTTTTTATGAACCACAAAGCTCAGAGTAGTATGAAGATACAAGTCTTTTGTAGCTTATCCCTTGTTCTTGGTGCTGGTTTGATGTCGCTTTTAGCTATTTGGGCTTGAATAGATTTTTTGTTAGAAGAAACAAATAATTATTGGATTTTGATACAATGAGATTTGATACATTGCATTCTCTTAAGTAAGTTATTAGGGACAAAAAAAAAAGAAGCAAATCACTCCACAACCTAGGAAAACAGGACATAAGAACGAGATTTGCCAACAGTTAAAAACTGGATAACTTTGTAATGAATATGACACTCTCACAAGTCACAAGTTTGGCTCTTCACAAAAGCATAAACCAAGAGATCAAATTCTTATCAAAACGATCCGTTTTCATCTTCTGGATATTCATGGAATAACCCCTTCAAACCGGATATGCCAATTTACTAGTTTTTATTCCAATTCTTCCACCAGTCTACATTTTAATTTTTTTGAGATTTTTTGAGAAAAGCCTAGATTCTTTTTTTTTTTTATTTTTTTTTATTTTGAGAAAAGCCATGAATATATGAAAAGCAAAAATGCTTCATTAGTAGAGACATTACATGCCTTTGAACCTGGGTGGGTGAAGAAACATCTTTGAATGGTTTCTTTCACTTCCTTAAGCAGTCTACATTTTTCGTTATCTTGAGTCCAAAAAAAAACTCTAGATTCTTTTGCTTTGTAGCTGACAAAATTATCATGATAGTGCTCGCCGCATATGAAAACATGAATGTATAATACATATGGAAACTAAAATGCTTCAATAGGTATAGACATGCTTTCGAAAAACCTGGGTGGGTAAAAAAGAAAACACATCTTTGAATGGCTTCATTAAGAAGCAAAATAATGAGAGAACATGAGAAGCATCATCATCAAAAGGCGAACACTTGAAAAAGAAGAAAAAATGGAGTTGGATATCCATGGGAATAACCTCATCAAAGCATCTCTCCTTTTCTTTTATTTTTGGTCTCAAATCACTCAAATGTCAAAAAGTCACCATTATTATCAAAACTTGTGTATATATAAACTGATCCATGAGTCCATGAATAAACCAACCAACCTTCTCTCAACGCAAACAAAAAAAGAGAAGAAGACACAGCAATGGAGAAGGAGAAGTTATAACAGTAAGCGGAGAAGTAATAGGGCATCTTTCTATTGGCAGGCGGCTCTGTCGATTTGCCTTTGTTTTTTTTCTTGCGTTTGTTCTTTTGGCTGTTGGCTATGTCACTTGCCAAAGGAGAGTTGCCCTGTCACTGCTTCCGCTTAAACACAAATCTTGAAACCGGTTCTGCTAAATTCCAAGTCTTCCTTTTATACATATCCGAAACAGAGATTGATGAATCTATCAGAGTAAGTAGTTTACACTTTTCACCATATTCCTTATTATGATTTACATTTTCACGTGAAAACACACTTGCATTTCTTGTTCTTCCGGTAAATGTAACAAGAAATCATTTATATGTTGTTCTGTTACTCTAATGCAGAAATTATGTTCCTAATTCAAAGTAAAAGTTCCAAGAACCGGAACCATCTCTCTGGGATTATCGTAGACTAACAAATAATTTCAGAAGCGGAGGTTGGAGGAAAACGCCGCTGACGCAAACCTTCTGCTTAAGTTGGAATCTCTCTCTCTCTCTATCTTAGAGAGGAGATTTTGGGCCTTATTTGTGATCATTTATCTAAATGGGCCTTTGTACTTATTTATTCTTTCATAAAGGCCTTATTGACTTAATTGTATAAAGAAGTACATAATAAGTTAACGAAGAAGCCACGTGAGGAACAGTACTAATGGAAACAAGTGAAACGAATCAGTACAAGACACGTGAGAAAGCCACTGACATGTTATAGTACGATGATGTCGATGCCAATATCGACAGACTGTTTCCTTTTGGCGTGCTCCTCTTTCAATACTGTTTTCTCCACCTCTTTAAAAGAAATTAGGGATAATCTAATGTATAAAAGGAACAAAGTTTAATTTTCTTAATTAGATCATAACCATTAGTCCATTCATATATTGACACCTAGCAGATTCTCCAGTTCATATACGTTATTTTAAATTTCTGTTAACGACTCTGTTCACTAGGAAGGAACTACTACTGGTCATAGTGCCATCCATCATCATACAGCCTCGTACAGTAGTCAAGACTCAAGAATCAATGTCAAATTTCGTGTTCATTATTTTAATAAGAAAATTTCCAGAGAATTTGCTCTAACTTGTGTTGCTTCTGTATATCGAGTTAGTTCTAGCCAACGATAAAGCCCTAAAGATTTTGTTCTAGTGACCATAATCCAAATTAGTCCCAGCATGATGATAACAGCAAAATCTTCCAGCCTCATCAGTCATCATGATGCTTAATTGAAACCATCTTTCCTTTTTCTCTTTTTCACGGCAGTCATGTCTTTCCACGCAGTTTTTGACAAAAACTTAGAAACATTGTTTTATATACGCAGTATGCTTACAATATAATCTTGAAAAAACAAAGATGTACGATAGAAAAACTAGACCAACAACATATATATTTTTGCTATGAGCTTTGTCGGTAAACGGGTTTTGTTATTTTTTAATTCTCGAAATTTTTATTTAATCACTAAACTTGTATGATTAATCTAACTCTATTTAAATAAACTCCCACGCACTAAGCATATATAAGTATACTGTTCTCTTGTAATGGTGACATTTTTGTACATAGTTAGAAATTAAAACCCAAAGAATTATTTTATATTTTAGAGAGTCCAATCGCTCTTTTCTCTCTCCCAAAATTTTCTATTTTAGTGAAGACTTTCCAAAATTCGTATTTCTTTCTTTCCTCGTTAATTTTGCCAAAACAGGGTAAAGAAAATGTTTTATTCGTAGACCACAAGCCACATGGATCCTTTCCTAATGCTTAATATCTTTTTTTTTTTTTTAATAAGTTTTTTTAAAGTTATATTTTGTACGGCCATTATCATTTTTAACCTGCCACGATTGTCTTTTTCCTCAATTATTTATCAAAACGTTGAAATACTATAATCGGTTCACCAGTACAATTATTATGCTCTTTAATTTTCTCCCGTCGTTTTGATCCCAGTATGTTAATAATGTTCATGTTTTTGTTCAGTAGCTTGACCGAGATATATCAAATTAAAATGCTCTTTTAACTATACGTACGTACGCTAGTAACTATTTCCTTCAATTTCTTTTGTATATAGAAGTAAGTTGGTATAAATAATCAAGAAACATAATGCATTTAATATTTCAATAATATCTAAGACAATTCTCTATCCTGAAGTACATAGGATTTATCATTTATGTGACGATGACTTATGGTAATGGTTGAAATCCAGAGGTTAAAAGAAAAAGAAAAAAACTTGTATAATTTCATCTTGCTGACAAATAAACCAATTATCATAGTCAAATATGAGGTTCAGATAAATAAAATAAAATAAAAACAAGAATTATCCTGTTTCTTGTTTTGGCATCTAATTATCCTTATGTATGTGGCGAGGAGAAGATATGGACACAAATAAGAAATATTCTATTACATAATTTTTTTTATTATTATTATTAACAAAAATAAAAAAATAAGAATGGCATCATTTTATTGTGTGACCCATGGACAAAAAGAAAAAGAAATAAAACATTAAGAAACTTGCCCCTTCCTTCTCTCACAGATCATTCTAGGGTTCCTGACAAAAAAAACCAAATACCTTTTCCTCTTTCCATTTTTGTAGGATTTTTAAGCTCTTTCTTCTCCTCCCCATCTGAAAAATCTCTTCTTTGTAATCACTCCAAAAATCTCTTACATTGATGATCTTTTCCTAATTAAGAAGTTCTTGAATTCTAATCTAAACCCTCTCTTCACTTCTTGAATTTTCTCTGCCGACATTTAATTACTCTCTCTTTTCTGGTGAGATCCCTCTTTATTTATGACCCTGGGGTTATGTTGACCGGTCACTGGCTGATTTAGGGTTTCAATCTCTACAGATCTTGTGACAGGCACACGAAAAGAAAAGGGTCAAAAGAGAAGAAAAATGGTGAGAGGAAAGATAGAGATGAAGAAAATAGAAAACGCGACGAGTAGACAAGTGACTTTCTCGAAAAGAAGAAATGGTTTGTTGAAGAAAGCTTATGAACTCTCAGTACTCTGTGATGCTCAAGTCTCCCTCATCATCTTCTCTCAGAGAGGACGGCTTTATGAATTCTCAAGCTCTGAGTATGTCTTCTTTGATTTCCTTCTTGATTCTTCATTTAATTTCAATATTCTTTTACTTTTTCAGTACTTTGTTTTGGGGTTTATTAGGCTTTTAGGTCATGTGTTTGTGTCTGGTCTGATTATTTTTTTTCTGAATCGTAATTGACTAAAGCGACCTTATTAGATTTTGGTACTTGAGAGATTCGATCCCTGTCTGAATCCTAAAGATTTCTTTCTTCTCTTCCCCATATTAATATAATTTTAGTTTTCTATGTTTATAAATTATAATATTTCATTGGTTAGAAGTCTATACAGACAAACTCCTTTTCTCTGATCTACCTGAACTTTTCCATCCAAACTAAATGGTGAGGGTAATTATATATACTGATATATTAGTGTGTCTAGGGTTTCCAAATTCTTGAAAGTATGAACAGAAAACAACATTGGAACTAGCTCTAAATGGGACTTACACTATCATTTAGATGATAATTAAGTGTGATCCGTACCAAGTTGCACATATTTTTACCCATCATTTTGGTGATAATATTAAAAAAAAAAAGTTTACTTTTTCGGTTGTGTACTATCGTTTTTGGTTTTCGCCATGTCTTTATTTGGGCTCTACTTTTGTAGCTATAGTAATTATACTTGCTCATCTTCTTTGTTTGATTCAGGTGTGCAGTCCATATCCGTACATAGTTCCCTGTCTATATAATGTATATATATGCCTGGATTTATACTTGTGACTTGTGAGTATAGTACACTACTAATTATTAACTATATATAAGAAGAAAAAGCAATCTAAGATTAAAACGCATCTCATTTGATGTTCAACACATTTACATCTTTAAGCTGGTGCTATAGTCAATGTTGGATTCGAGTAGCTACAAAGTTGTGATAATTTTTCTCTGTACTAATAATATATATCGTTCATTATAGTTTTGCAGTTGGTTTTCATGGTTTTAGATTCAATTATTTGTATGTTAGCAAATAAAATTGCCAAAAACAAAACAAAAATGGAGAAGCAAGGCATTGCAATTCATAGGGCATGGGTTTAAATAGTTACCTATAGAGATATTAACCAACAGCTAAAAGATATTATAGTACAATTTTAAAAAGAACTACGAACCAATTCAGTCAAGTAAAATTTTCATATATCTCGTTGCTAGAAAAAAATGTACCTCTTATTTTAAATATACAATAAAACTAGTTTTAGAGATTAATTAAGAAGCAATAAGTACATTAATTAATTCGAATTTCTGAAAAGATATATGTCTATGTTTGATCAGTATGAAGAAGACGATCGAACGCTACCGCAAGTACACAAAAGATCATGAAACCAGCAATCACGACTCAGAAATTTACTTACAGGTTTGTGTGACCAAACAAATTTTTATTTTTGTCTTCATGTTTTCTTAAACCATACATGATGTTGGTTCCTTGACTTTTCATGGCCTAAGAAACCAAATCTTGAGAGATCAACACTACACTGACCGGTCGATGCTATTTTTAGATTTCAATATATAGTCTTCTAGGATCGGATGGTCACAAAGACTCTACGTTCAGCAGTTTATAGTGGCCATATATATATAAAGATATTACATATTGATCTATTTTACTTCTTTTGCATCCTATCATTTCATTTTGTGGGGGAAATGTAGCAATTAAAGCAAGAAGCAAGCCACCTGATAACAAAGATTGACCACCTTGAGTTTCACAAACGGTATATATATCATGTCTTAGACTTTCTTTTTATATCCTTTTTGTTGCTACGTACTTCTCTTAGATTATAAATCTTAATTGTCATTGTTTTACATTTACGTTATTATTTTCGTTTTATATAAACCCATATCATTATAACCTAAAACTTTTTGTCCAAACTATATTTAGTATACGTAATAGACTGTTTGGACGTTTTTGTTAGCATATTTTTAAAAATATTTTATGAAATCTGAAGCTTTTCGGTAAAACACTTCTTCTTTTTTTTTTTTTTTTGAGAGGTTACGATTAATATTTAATAATCAAAGAGCAAACTACACTAACATTAGTAATGTTAATTGATTTCCTCTTGATCTTTGATACCCAAGTTTAGTCATTAACTTTCTTTTGCGTTTGTGTATAGGAGACTGTTGGGACAAGGTATTGCTTCTTGTTCTCTAGAAGAGCTCCAAGAAATCGATAGTCAACTCCAAAGAAGTCTGGGCAAGGTCCGAGAAAGAAAGGTTCTATATATACTTCATCACTATATTGGTTTCTATGACAAAGATGATCGATATAACGCATTAAATATACAACACATGTTGACACGAAGAATCTCCATCTCAATCATCTAGTTATATATAGTTCTCCTCATCATTTAGATATGCATCTTTGCAACGATTAAGACCACCTCCAATGGTAAGCACCCATGATGGGTGTTTACCAATATTTTTATAAAAAATTGTGACAACTTGTAGTTTAAAGTGCTTATGATTTGCTTAAAATCTCAATTTAACCAACAATGCTTAAAATTTTTAGATTGTTTTTGATTATATTCATTATATATAAAAATAAACAACCCATTAAACATTCATTAAACACCTCCATTGGAGATGCTCTAAGAGACTACATTTCTCAATCAGTATACTATAACATTGATCAAGACACATGTGTATTTTACATATAAGTGCTGTTATCATGGAATTGAAGTAAAGTTGGAAAAAAATGTTTTACAGGCTCAGTTGTTCTCGGAGCAGGTGGAGAAGTTAAAAGCAAAGGTTTGACATTTCTTAACATATACATGGTACATACATTTTTATTTTAATTAGCTTTGTATATAAATATGGTGAGAAACTGTCGGTTTTATTTCAGGAGAAACAATTGTTAGACGAGAACGTCAAATTACATCAAAAGGTGATCCATCTTTCTTTCCAGTTCACATACTTTGATATATACCTGTATATATATAATTACATAATTAGAAATATATACTAATACTAGCTCAACTGAAACTTACATATATATGTTATAAATTACTTATGTTTTCAAAATGCTGAAAATATATATTATCCAAAGACCTTTTATTGGTTTTCCCACAAGTGATAGTTCAATTTGAGATATTATATTATTAGTGATCAACATATAGGGCTTTGTTCGGTAAAATTTGGATCTTGCTAGTTCAAGTTGTAAATTTTTGTAATGAAATATACAACTAGTTTATATGGATTTCAAAGTAAGATGTTTTTTTTTTGGATTGGTTTCGTTTACAAAATTTTTGGAATGTGAGAAAAATAAAACAGTATAATCTACGTGTCATTTTTATCCTTTATCATAATTAAAGATAAAAATTAGAAAATGATATGTTGTGTGGGTTGATGAAATTGCAATATATGTTATGATGAACAGAGTGTTATAGAAACATGGAGAGGATCGAATGAACAACAAGAGAAATGCAGAGTAATAGATCTGAATTTGGATGTTCAAACTGATCTATTCATCGGTTTGCCAAATAGACACTGCAGCTAGTACGTACGTAACATATTGTAATATATTTTATGTTTATTTTATTTATCACGAAATTTGCAAAAGCATTCAATAAAGTTGTGAGGGTAATGACTTGTGATAATAACTCTTTATGTAATTCTAGTCCTTACTCGATTAAAAGAGAATTATAGTATATATCTACGTTCAACATTGGTCAGCTATGATATTACTACACTATTCACATTGTAAGTACTGCAGGAAGCTCATATATATTCCGTACTTGGAATGTCTGCTTATCATCATCATCCACGGTCCAAAACCAATACTATTATAATTACGCCGAAGGTTCTATTTTGCAGCATAAATAATAATATAATACATACACCTAACCAAATATAATTCTTGTTCCTGAAATTTAATGGTACATCTATCCCAAAATATAACTATATCAGATTTAATCATACTGGATGTGAAAGTCATATCGGCTATAATTAATTATTCTCATAAACAAAAAAAATAGAACGAACAGAACCAAAATCTAGAATAGAATCTAAGATTAAACAGTACCTCAAGTTAAAGTTACTACAGTAAACTTAATATTCTTTTGCTATTTTTTCAACAAAAAAAAAAACGAAAAGAGAGGTTGATAATGTGCTTTACCGAACATCTCATTCTTACAAGACTACTTTGCACATTGTTTCAAACTTTTAGAATCTCCTAAAGTTTCTTATTAGGAAATGGTTGTTCATCAAGCTCTGGGCTCCAAGCGGCCCAATAAGTACCCAATGGATTAAACTAATATTTTTCTGCCCGGATCTGATACACAGCCAACCACCCACCTTACCCGTCTTTGTTTGAGACTTGAGTGACTCGTTTCGTGTGGGGTAAACTATAATCAGAAATACACATAGAGTCATAGACACATGATATATATAACTTCAGATGATCATTATATTAATAATCTAAACGTATAGGAGATAAATGCACCAGCGCTCACGGTTAGATCATTACATATTCTGCTGTATTTGAATTTTGAAATTTCACTAATAACTTCGACCGTTGCTTCTGTAAGAATATCTCTACTTTATTCATTAAGATACTCTTTATAATTTTTTAAGTATATAAATGGAGAAGAACGTATTAACCTATTATGTAACCGTAGGTTTCGGATGTCGTATATCCTACAGCTATATATATACGAGATGTAGTATACTTTTATGGATCACCAAATTACATATATTTTGATTTTGACTAACTCGTTGTTATACTTCTGGTTGGATAATAATTAAATACTTGTGTGTATGCATAAGATATATATCGAAGAATTTAATTCTCGTACGTTACGTACATAGGTTAGAGGAGCCATGCATATACATATATGTGTGATTCGTTTAAAAATTGTTATAGTCGTTCTAAGACTTTACATAGTATGCTTTCTAACTTTACACTTTTTCCTGATCTTCTGTAAATCCTTTTTTGGTTTTCTGTTTGGACTATTATTATAACCCAATATGTAATTAGTAGCTAGGCACTTCCAATACTTAAACTATAATAAACAAATAAAGTGTTAATTGGAATAAGTATTTTCTCTTTAAACGAAAAGGTTAATTATTCTATTTTCTTAAAAGAGTCGCCTAAAGTGCAATTTCCCTTCATATTGATACAAAATGGACTATTCTAGACTTTTGCTTGCATAAATGTAAGTATTTAATATTTCTTTTCCGCCAGTTGTAAATGTTTAGTAATCAAATCCCATATATAGTACTATATCTTTAGTTTTTTTATTTGTTAATTTTTCATTAATTAGAAAAATATGCCACTAGCTCTAGCTCTATAAGTCTATATATATATAACATTTCGTTTAAAACACATATAGAACGAAAATTAAGTTTTAATACTAGCAATTTTAGAAAATTGCCAGAAGAAAATAGTCCATTTTCATGTAAATTCATGTAAAATATTTTTTGAAAAATTCATTGTAATTGTAAAGTAGAATTGAAATTGCTAGTTTGCTACGCCCCATAAAATCTAACAGCTTAAGTTTTAGCGAAAATCTATGTTGAGTATGAATCTCTCTTCGAAGAATGTCTTTTTTTTTGTTTTTCTCTTTTAAGTCATACGCACATAATACATTCTCATGTCTAAATATGTGTAGTACTAAAACTAAACTAATTAGCTTTAAAAATCTCAATATCTAAATCTGCAAATTCCTAATATAAGTCTTAATCATGAGGAAAACATTTCCTTCACGTTTTATTGATTTCTAAATTCTACTTTATCCAAAAAAATTATCGAGTCCTGAAAGAGTTCTGTAGGACACTTCAAATTCACGCTATGCATTCTCGAAATCATTCTGCTAATCCAAAAGTAGACTATTTAATTTATGTTACTTATGATTAGTACTATATAATAAATCTCGAATATGTTCATAGATTTACCAACAAGACATTTAATTCCAACAAACTGGGTAAACAATTAAATATTTATTGCAGGAAAATATGCAAAGAGGTTAACTAATTAATATGAACATCATTTAATAGATTTTGGTCAACCCTAGCAACAATAACGGTTAGTAAAAGAAAAACATATTATAATACGAAGAAAAAGAAATTAGATAAACCCATGTGACTTTGGCTCTAGCTAGCTCATCTTATAAGTTTTGCTGCTTAATTTTGAATCTCCCGCTCAACGGTCGACAGATTAGTTGGACACCTAAGCTACGACAAATATAATATGATCATAAGATAACATCTATACACTCGCATACAAACACACGACATTTAAATGTGGAAACCTGATGTTACTCGATCCAGACCCCTTTTTTTTATATATACTAGATGTAGAATTTTGTACTTAATTTACAGCATCTCTTTTATATTAAAGAATAGTTAGATAAATATAATTGTGAGTTATTAGTTTTTTTACTAAGATATATATTCAGCACTACTTCATTAAAGTAATTACATCTGTTTTTTTTCTTCTTCTTATAATTATATGTATATTTAGTCAGGTAATGAGATTTCAGTGCTGAAATTTATGTACTGATGATAGTGTGAGTTTTTAACACTGTCAAAGGAATTCTATAATGATTAGGTTTGTATGTTTACTGAAAGATTACAATCTCGGCCACCGAAGGTCCGTAATTAACCAAACACATAACTAAATCAATTTTATTTGATTTTTAATCTTTAATATAAGTTTTAACAAACGTACACTACATACTATATGCATTGTAAATTGCATGAAATTGTGTCTTCATTACGACAGATGTAGCTTTAATCTTCACGTAAATGTCTCGGGTCCATGCAAAATCTATCTTTCGTATTGTCTTTTTACTACTTTACAAGGTTCTCTTCACCTTTTCTACTTTTCTCTTTTTCTTTGTCTTCTTAAAATTTCTATATTTATTATTTTATATATGTAAGATATATTCTTCTCTTACACTCCGTTACATATAATTATTTTGGACGATCGTCAGAATTATTTTAAGCTCTCTGAGATGCACAAACTCTCATGACATGATAATAAGAACAAAGATACATAGTAAGATTCCTCTTGAAATTTACGTACGTTTTTTTGTACCTATCGTCAACGTCATAATCGTCAAAGGCTTTTGAAAATTTGTTGTGTCTGCCTCTTATTTTTAAATATATTTTTCATAATCTTGATTTTGCCATCGTTTCTACACGTTTAGCATATTAAGAACACGTTGAGGTCGTAAAAAATGACATAGTCCACACTCATAGAGTCATAGTCCACATGATCAAACATATTTGAAGAATTATGTATATTATACTAGGGAAGTTATATACGTATAACACTAATATGTAATTATGTATTGCTATAATATGATATTTCATCAAGCTGATTCAATAACTATAGTGTCATGTACTTTAATTATTTTTATCTTTTTTTGAATGACCATAATTTGATTTTGTCACATCTCCATAACTATAATGTCATATTCCGTTTGGAGTGAATAATTCTTTCTGCAAAAAATGTGTGATGTGTGTCACATCGTCAGAGTAGCTTGAAACCTTTTTTTAACTAGCTATCGCTTTGCGCCAGATTAATAGGGTAGATTTCAAACCGGTAATTATACTTTTTTGTTCTCAATCAATTTATTACGTTATATATGTTTGAATGTTTCGTTTATATAGTTTGTGAAACTAAAATGAATGGAATCATTGAATAAACTTTTTTTTTTTTTTTTTTTAAAGCTTGGATGTTACTGTCCAAAATAATTTATTTTGTATGCTTGTTTGTTTGATCGTATGACATATTACAAATACTGAATATAATGACATGCAATACTTAACGCACATGAGACCACAACACACTCTTCATAACACAACTTTACTTATATAAAGGTACTGCGATGAAGCCTCTGCTGCTCTGCACCACACCGACATTAAAATATGCATTCACAATTCGCAAAATAAAATATATTATCTAGTAATCAAACCATTATGGTCTTTAAACACTAAGCAGTATTTCTACGACATAATTCATAAAATTATTCATAAAGAATTGTCAAAAAAAAAGGGTTCAAGTTAAGGCTAATACGGCAAAAAAAAATATATATATATCAAACAAAACAATTGGGACCAAAATTATTATTTCTTTTTCCCCTACGTAAGATTCCTAAAATAGTATATATGCTTCTATAGTTTGCGTGTAATAATAGTATTCAAACCTATACCAATTTCAAATATTTCCCACTAGACCCCATAATTCATGTTTTTGACTGTTGATTCAGTGTCATCAAGTGCGTGAGATAGGTATATTTAAACACATCGATCGACACATCTTTATCTTCAAATATTCGTTACAAAAGAAACCAAAAAAAAATATTCAAAAGAAAAGAGTACTCATGAGTCAAGTAATACTACTATTCTTTGGTCTACTAGCTACATATATAAGCATAAGCATATGCAAAACCCATGGCATGTTGGAATACGCGGGGGACAAAAACATCTGTGAGATTGACACTTCTATCTCTCTCTCTCTCACATTACGGTCCACACCACACTCACTCTCACTCTCACTCTTTTTCAAAAACAAAATTATTTTTATTTATATAACGGCTAGAAAAGTATTTTGAAAATTAATAATCTTAAAACAAAGAAAAAGAAGAAGATATATTCTATACAAAGAAGAACCAGTAAATGTCTGCCATGTGGAATACTTTTATCCACGTGGAAGTCTCAGTCTCCTTGTGGAAGACGAGTCGTGGTGGGACTCCACGTTTGGTGAGTATCTCGTCACGTGAACTCCCCACGTGCCCCTGACATCATCATCGTTACGCTTATTATTCGGCGCCGTTTTGGTCATCCACGTGGCTATACACTCCGTCGTCGTTTCGGTCACGAGTGTTTCCAAGATTCCTCTCTCGATCTCCGTGACGATTCCTTCCCCGTCCTCTTCGAACGCCGGCTCAACCTCCGGGAAGTCTCCGCCGACGAGAGCGTCGATATCTTCGAGAACCAGACACTTTGCCAACGGGAACCGCTCGATTCTCCGAGATAACTCCTCGATGAGCTCTGATCCTTTTAAGTTCCTCTGAGATTGAACTGAGTAACGGCATACCCAAGGTTTCAAATTGATGTGTGGTTTTAAGATATCGGCGAGGATCTCGTCTACTAAGTGGAAGAGCAGCTTTCTGTTGCATCGGAGCGCGAGATTTTCCGGTGGGTTTCTAGGTCTGGTCGATGTAACAGCGAAATGTTCGAGGAAGTAGAAGATCGATGGATCGAGTGGGTGTGAAGGAGAAAACCATTTAGCGTATGAGATTGGTGTGTCTCTGTCGATCCCTGTTCTTCTCAGTGTTCTTGTAACGTACTCTAACTCGCCGCCGGCGATTGGTACAATGTGGGGTTGTGATTGGCTCGGAAAACTAGGAAACTCTGATGATGCTCTGTTCCTTGGTGTTTGCGCTTCTCTGAGCTTTACGTTTGACTGCGAATATCAATGAAAACGTTAATAAATATTTTAACTTTGGATAAGGGGAAAGCATTGATTTCAAAGAGAGAGAGAGAGAGTACGTGTCGCGTACCGATTTGTGATGAGGTGATGAATCTTTCTTCTTGATGGTGGGAACACTAGTGAAGTTGATGAGATGATTAATGGACAAAGGTGTTTTTTTGCTCGAAGATTTGTCTCCTTGAATGAGAAGAAGACCATTGCTGCTCTTGTTGTTGTTGTTACTTGTTGCTGGTGATCGAACAAACGGCTCTTCTTGCATTGTCTGTGGCGGCTTCACTAATCTCGACTTGAAATTCTCTGGTTTCTTGCATTTCTTTGTACATTTCCTCTGTTTTTCTTGCTCTGGTCCCTGTGGCTCTTCTTGCACTGTTGGTAACCTGGTCTTGTCTTGAACCTTGACTGTTGTTTCCAGAATCTTGGAAGCAACATTATTTGTCTGAGGTGAGGTTGGTCTGCTTTTGGGGATTTCCGTTAACCCCAGTCTCGGGGATGATGATGAAGAATCATGAGTGATGATTGTGATCTTAGAAGATGATTTCTTGGAGTCATGAATCTCTCTTGATTGTTGTTCTTTGTTGGTAATATCAGTTCCCATTCGTCTCCGTCGGCTTACGTTCTCCTTCAACTGCATCACTATCTGTCTAGCGTACTCACGTGGACTCCGATTCTCTTTATCTTCGTGTATCTTCATCTCTTTGACCCTCGTAAGCCTGACATTCTTAATACCAGCTTCTCGTTCAGGCAACACGTTGTTGTTCCTGTTGTCTCTGAGATGAAGCGAAGAACGTTGTTGTTCGTAGGAACAGTTGACGTCAACGGATCTTCTTCCGAGTGAAATCCTCGGAGTCTCGGGAAGAGAACGAGTGCCTCCGTCTACAGAGTTTCTTTGGAGAGAGTAATGTCTGTGTTTCTTGGTGTGAGAAGATCTTGTTGGTGTCTTGAGATCGATAAAGTTAGAAGAAGATGAAGAAGATGGGGTAGGAGATGATCTGTAATTGTCAGGAACAAGATCAAGACCCATGAGTCTAGCAACCAAAGTTGGTGTCTTTATGCTCGGAGAATAAGATTCAGTAGCTGCTGTAACAGATGATCTTGCTTGTGGTTTGGTCTTGATTTTAATACCCATCTGGAAGCGAAAAATTTTATGATTCGAGTCAAAAGGAAGACACTTTTTAAGAACCCAAGAATGTTCACACAAAAAAAAAAAAGACAAGAGTGGATAAATAAGTTATATTCACACTAACAGAGATATTGAGATTTCCATCTTTTCTGGTTGGTGAGAATGGAGTCTCATCCTCCGTTGATTCCAAGCTGTTTCTCGGCGCATCTACGCCTGAATTTGATTTACAATAAAACAGAGAAATGAGATAATATATAATGTAAAACAGAATGAAGAAAAAACAGAAAGAAGAGGAAGGTACCTTTAGAAAGATGAAGCTGGTGATGGTTAATAGGAAACTGTAAATGGTGAAGATCGAAAATGTTGAACACAGCACTCATGCAACCAGCCGCCGTTGCAGTATCACCGGCGAGAGACGACGGCGGAAGCGGCGACGGTGGTGCTTTGATTTCTTCTTTCTTTGACTTGTTTGAGGATTTCTTCTTCCCTCCGCCACCTCCGCCCAGCCAGGACCAGTCTCTTCCCATTTTTTATTTTATTTTCTAAACCGGGTTTAAGAATGAGCTCTGTAAGTCTTGAGAGTTCTTGAATTGGTTTTTGTGACTTGAGGAGGAAGAAGAAGAATAAATATGAAAGTGGGGGAAATGGTTTTTTTATTTTTCTTTTATAAAGATTAAAATTAAAATATAGCTAAGAGAAAGTGGATCCATGAGAGACCGTATAAAATAAATAAACACGTATATATTTTTATTTTTACTCATAGGCTTTTTTCTTCGTCAACTATTTTTGCGTAGGGTTTTTAATTAGGAGAGATTTGTCAAATAAAAAATCAATTAATATTTTGAAAAAAAAAAAGAAGGCTACTTGTAATGAAAATAAGATATATGATTTTGGTTTTGAAAAAAAAATGGTAAGTAGGGGCCTGCAGGGTTTTGGCGTCTTTGAAATACGTAAATGTTTTCAGTATTCCGTCGGAAGAATACAAAATACATCTCAAGGTCTGCTCTGCCATGACGATCGAGTAAATAGCTTGAACAGCTACAACATATATATACCATTCGTTACCATATATAGATTTTACAATACATGGAAACACAACAAACAAGCCAGTTTGAACCGCATTATACATACATACTTGAAGTTTTTAAAAAAAAAATTATGTTCGTTTCTCCTTCGACAACGACAATGACACAGTTTCTGTTGTTTGTATTATTGTTAGCCGATGATATGTCATGGAAAAATATTTTTAAAAATGATTCATTACTAATTAATTATGTGTAGCGTATGTTTTTAGTTACAAATTACTATATATGTCAGAGAGTCTCGCAACTACAACACCACCACTGTTATATAATATTACATAAAAAAAAAAAGAATGCAACAACATAAACAATTCAAGAAGCTCACATTACAATAAGATTCGTACAGTACACAAACTCCATGGGTGGTGTTACCAATTACAAACAACGAGGGGATCTTCAATCGTGACCCTTTTATGTTTCAAACCATGACGTCTTCCTCCTTCTTCCTCCTTTCAAAATTTTTTATCCTTAACTCATTCTGACTTTGCCTTTTCTCGTAATTTAATATATCCAATGACCCATCATTAAACCAAGTACTATGTGATCTTATCCATCAATAAATGTGATGTGATTTACCACTACTTACCTAGTATATACTACATTGTAATAACGAGTAATATACACCCACACGACCGTTGTGTTGGTCATCCCTCGGATACGGATACATCTTCTTATAATTACTTAGTTGTCATTGGACTTGGATAGCGATAGTATAAAGAGAGGTAAAAAGAAGTTAAGCTAGCAGTGAAAGTAAAACAAAAACAGCCCATTTATATATATATAGTGCGCATTGTGTGTACTAAAGAATGATACATTTCTGTACAATGTAAGAATTAATAAAGGGCCGGGCGAGAAGAGAAGACTGGACCATATTTAAGTGAATGTAGCCAATACAAATCACATGAATTTTGATTTTGATTTTTTTAGGTATGGTCATAGTACGTTGTCCTCGTAATTAAAACAAAGAATACAGAAGAAAAATGTTTTATATTTCAAAAAAAGATTGAGCTTAAAAACAAAACAAGAACGAAGAAGATAGGAGGAAAGAGCCAATGAGATTAGTTGTGTCTCCAGTTTCATACTAATTAGGAAAGATCTCAGTTTACACTTGTGGATTTTTCTTTTATAAACATGCATCAATGCAACATCCCTGCAACATTGCTATCATCATATCTATAAAAGGACCACAACTCTCTAATTCATCATCTGGACCATTTTAGATCATGTTTTTGTCAAACATTCCAAGTGGTAATTAATCACATTTCAAATCACATCATTTTTTTATTATTGTTTTTATCTTTATATATCCAACTTGAATTGGACTATTTCTCCATCCGTTTCAATAAAGAGTGTTATTTTAAAAAATAATTTTTGTTTCGCAAAAAATGTCATTCTACATTTTCAATATACTTTTAACACTAAATGTTCTAATTTAACCATAAACGCAAAGCTTATTTCAATTAATTTAAATCATTAATCAATTATTTAATAAGGACAAACATGTATAATTCACAATTTTCTTAATTTGTGTAAAATATGTCAAAATGGCACTATATGAAACAGAGAGAGTATTATATTTTGGTACGTAAAATAAATTAGTTTAGGGCTGTGACACACTTTGGTTTTTGAAAACATGCAATGATTGTTTGTGATATACTGTATTTATAATTGAATGCATAATATAATTTGGATATAGATTTCGAAAGAAAAGTAAAAAAGATGGAATTAATGTTGTTGTTTGTATAATTTTTATTTATTCCGTATTTGCAGAGTGACAACATTAATGTGCTAAATCAAATAGAGTAGCTTCTATAAAGAAGAGTAGGTCCATCATATTCTAATAATGAAAGATATAACTCTTTGCAAAATTAAATTCTAAAAATTTCATGTAAATGTCCCCTCTGAGTCCTGTTTCTAAACTGTTGTGCACACAAGCTGTTTCTTCCAAATCAGTACCGAAATTTAATAATCAAGATTTGGAATTATTTACTGAGTCAGTACCGAAATTTAATTCGAAACCTTAGTTAGATCGACAACATTGGTACAACAATTCCAAATATCAAATCAAGTTACAGCTTCCGTTATATTTGGACCCAGATATCAATTAGGCCTGCTAAGGTAAATATAAAGCCCAAATCCATGGGTATGAGCATGTCTAAACCTGTGGGAAAGCTTTTCATTAGTTGCATCTATTTAAACAAACCTTATATCAGATCAAGATGTGTATAATTACATTTCTGTAAATACAATGTGTGTATCATAAACATATATACACATATTTTGTTTTGGATCAATTTTTAGTTAATGTGCTGAGTGCTAATATGATGTATTCTGATTCGAAGATCTTAACAACAAAACAAAACTATAAATTAGCATTAGAAAGTGGAATATAGCATTAACAAACAAAGTGGAATCTATTACATATTTTGATTGGAATACTATTTATTTATTTTTCTTTTGGTTGGTAAGTGTGCTCGATCACTCGAGCTCGTAAGCATAAGCACTGACCCATGCTTTGAATGCTACCCACAAGCCACTAGCGACAAGCATATACTATTTATTTATTTGTTTTTTTTTCTTAACTTTTTTTTTATAGACATGTCACATATTATATACTTCATAATAATAAATCAAAACTCCGTATTAACTTCATTCTCCATCCCCACTCCTATAAATGTCTCCTCAACTTAATAAGACGACTCAAGAGTCAAGAGAAAGCCTTCAAAGTGTGTATAGTTATTACTACTATATATTTCCAATTTAATTCCACCATAAAGTATATTAACAAACATCAAATATGAAATCCATCTCAAATCTTTCACATATAGGCTTCGATGCAAAACTCATAAATCAGCAACCAAACAACATACCAATAGAGTTCATATGGCCCGACAAAGAGAAACCCTCCATCGACGTCAAAGAGCTCCATGTCCCTATCATCGACATCTCCAGTTTCCTCTCAGGCCAAGACAACCAGATCTTGGAGTCGCAAGCTTCTAGGCTTGTGTCCGAAGCTGCCAAGATTCACGGGTTCTTCATCGTCACAAACCATGGGATTCACGAAGGGATATTGTCACGTGCCTACAAGTGTATGGACATGTTTTTTAACTTGCCGGCTTCTGAGAAACAGAAGGTGAAGAGGGAGTGGGGTGAGATCTCCGGTTATTCCGATAGCTTTGTCGGGAGATTCTACTCGGAGCTTCCTTGGAAAGAAACGCTCTCGTTTAGGTTCTCCGCTGAGGAGAAGCTCAAGAATGGCACCGAAACTGTTAAAGATTACATCTCTAGGTCAATGGGTGACTTAAACCAAGAGCTTGGGTAATTTTTCCTTTCCTTTCTTAACAATCATAGACTAATAATAGTAATGACTAGTGAATATTCTTACCTTTCATTATAAGTGTGGTTTTAAGTTTTCTTTTGACACAAATGAAAAGAAAAAAAATTATGTTTTTGTCTTGCTTCTTATTAATATATTTTATGTATAAAAAAATTGGTTCAGAGATAAAACTAGAAGCTTTATCGATTATTTGCACTCAAACAGAGGGAATATCGTATTATAATAAATTTTGGTTTCACAGGGAATTATATTTTGAAATTTCAATTCATGTTTTTAAAAGACTCCAGTTTTCAATTATTACTTTCATATATAAATTATATAAAATATTAATAACGCCTACAGAAATTTTAATAGTTCTTAGTATGCATTATTAAAAAATAAAATGATATTATAATGAGATAGAGGAAGTATATGTTAAATTATACTCCATGTAAAAATGACAAAAATATGATGTCGAAAGGCACATATTAAAGTAAGTGACAGTGATTTTTGTTTTCAGTGTATAATCATTAATGAGATTCCACGAGTATACATGTAGTACGAATGTATGATCGAACCAAATAATAATAATAATAATAGACAAAAAACAATATTAACTATAATGACTATGCCATGCAGAAGTGTATTTCAAGAATACGCAGAGGTGATGAACACTCTCTCATTAAAGATCATGGAGTTTCTTGGAATAAGTCTAGGGATCGACAGACGCTATTTTAGAGAGTTTTACGAAGATAACGATTCAATACTTAGGCTGAATTATTATCCGCCGTGCAAGCAGCCAAATCTAACATTAGGGACAGGTCCTCACAACGACCCGACCTCTCTAACCATACTTGATCAGGACCAAGTTGGTGGTCTTCAAGTTTTCGTGGAGAATCAGTGGAGATCTATCGCTCCAAAGCCAAGATCATTCGTCATTAACATCGGCGACACCTTCATGGTAAATAAAACTATATTTCTCTTACATAGGGGGAGGGGGGGGGGGGGGAGGAATGTACAAAATATATTTATAGACTGTAACATCTTAGCTAGGGCATACTAAAAACTTATCTATATCACCTAAAGCATTTGACTTTTAAGTAACTTGATTTGTTTGAGTTTGAATATATTAATCCATAAAAAGTTTCATGGTGATGAGGGTGTTATATGTAACATGCGGCTGAAGAGAAAAGAAATAGTGTTTAAAATGTCGGTTGCCGTGGGATGGTGGGAGGGTTATATTATATGCATCTTATATAGTATTATATAATACAAATCTTACCAATATCACCTTTATTAACTATTATCTATACTCTATAGTGCATATGAAAAACTGAAACATCATAGTTAGAATACTTGATTTACAACCCACAAAAAAAACATATGATAATGATAAAGTAGGTTTCTCTACTATGCTGAATTGAGAACAAATTTTTTTTATGTATATAACTTACATGCAAAACATGCTATTATACATAAATTAATATATAATATTTTTCCGCGAGATATTATACAAGAAATGTTGTCAAGATATTGAAAGTTAAATACCTTTGTAATTTCAAGTTTGGATTGTATTATACAGGCGTTGACGAATGGAATATACAAAAGTTGTTTGCACCGGGCAGTGGTGAACAGCGAGAGGGAAAGGAAGTCGATAGCATTTTTCTTATGTCCAGAAAAGGACAAAGTGGTGAAGCCACCAAAGAAGCTACTAGAAGCATTCGGTCAAAGAGTGTACCCTAACTTTACATGGTCCATGTTTCTTGAGTTCACGCAGAAGCAGTACAGATCTGACAAAAACACTCTTCAAGAGTTCTCAGACCGGCTTAAGAGCAACCAAGTTGTCAGCAACAAACTTGTCGAACAAAGTTAGAAGAGATGCAAGAGAGACAATTAATAAGCGTTTTGATCCTTTTTTTTTTTTTATATAAAGAAATGGACTTCTCCAATTTTGTTTACCAAGCTATCCATATATTCATACATATATATGCCTGAAATATCGAATAAATGTTTAATGAACTTCTTAGTTACTTTTTTTTTTAATGTTCGCACGTATCAGATCACACATAAGATACGAAAGATTAGACTCTACAACTCAACATCAACCCCATTAAAAAAAAAAACATCAATATCGTTTTTTTTAATTTCCATAGGAACCACAATGTTAATTAATGGAAAATTAAACTCCGAATCTTGAACATCATTATCAAGAACTCTCGATGAAAAAACACCACCAGCTGCCATATTAATTCAAACATCATATTGGAGACGAGAGTTTCACATAAGTATAGCTATGCTAGATTATATCAATTAAATTAACCAAAGATATTTTTTAGCTAGGTCTTATCGTCTTTGGAGATAAGATTCTGACAGTCATTCACAATAATTGGGAGATATCATCAGAGCAATAAAAGACAAGAGAGCTAGAGAGCTGATCAGAAACAATCTTGTACATTTATGTTGCATATACCCGCGGCACGAAGGCAGTGGCCCTAATGAGTTAACATAACTACGGACCCCTTTATGTTCTGTTCTTTCTATATATGTTATCAAATTATTATTTTTCAATATCAAATTTTGTCGTCCTTATATCAATTTATTAAAAATTTAAGTCGTAATGATTTAGAAATAAAACATTAACATTACGTAGTAAATATATTAAAGTAAGCGTATACACTTGTTAAAATAAAATGTAAGATATGTATATATATATATATGTTTAGAAATAGAGATCCATTGTACACCCTATTCAATTAAACTTTGCACAAAATTAAGATCAAGTCATATAGGCTGGTTAGATTAGTTGTGAAGTTCTTAATAAGTTAATATGTCCTCGCATAGTACTACACAACTACTACACAATTCTAATGCATTGTTTCTAAATTCGACAATCGATCTTAATTTGTATATGACCAAGTGTTTTGTATTAAAGGGTAAAGACAAGAGAAATACAACAAAAAGTATGTCCCATCTAAATAATTTTCTTTAAAGACTCCCACACGAACAGTAGTTGTTCATTCCACCATATCCATTAAAGCTCGATAGACGACACAGTTAATTTCTCGTTCTTTGCTTCCTTCTTTCGATAGTGATTATAAGAGTAGTACAAATCTTCCCTAACTCGCATGTGTGATGGTATGTAAACAATTATTTGGATGTCAATGGAGATGTGCCAACAATAAAAGAAGACATCGTGTGTTTGTCCTGTGTCTTCTTAATTGTAATATGATTCCATGCATCTAGCTATTGTTATCATGAAAAGTTTGATGAATAAAATAGTAAGATGGAGCAATTATAACCTCTTTATATTAATTTATTTAGTAGAACGTGATTAAAACGTTTTTTTGGTTGTTTTCTTAATTGTAGTGTGTGCTTCCATCATACTATAGTGTTACCAATGAGCAGTTCCATGAACAACCAACAAATTGACAAAATATCTAATTAAATAAGTAACTAAAACTACTTTGTCAATCGTTTGAAATTAAAATAAATTGAAGTGTACACACAAAGATACTTTATGACTTCTAATTTATGATAATAATTTTTATGTGTTTCCTCACGAACGGAACACACGTTTAGTGATCTCTAACATTCCTCACGATTCTGATTATCAAAGACACACTATAAAATGATAAATTTATTAGCAAATGTTTTCACTTTAGCTAAGGGTGAATTTAATTGAGCCAAAGATATGCAGCTAGGTCCAGCATTGCGATGGCGAGAGAGCAACGCACGATCGACTTGTCCTTATTTGGATTCTTTCACAATATATATTGTTTGTTTGGTAGTCAGTATATATATATATTTTAATTTTATTTTGTGAAATGGTGACTTTTATACTTTAGTGAAAGAATGAGAAGACAAAAGAGATGCATGTGAGGCGGGTCTCTCTTTATATTTTTTTAAGAAGAAGAGAACTCAATGATGGGCCATTATTGGGCTTTGGCTTGTGGCGAGGGATTGGATGACTTTTAACCAATCTAATTAACCTTCACGTGCTATCGTTTTTTGGCTGTGACAGTGATCAGACACACAATTTATATGCCTCGGCCGACAACAAATCCAAACACGTTTAACGTTTTCTCATTTATGGGGCTGGGGGCTTTAGCATGAATTGATTTAAGACTATTATTATTTACTGTTTGTTGTTATTGTAATCTTATAGTTTCTAAATTTTTTGATTGTGACTTTTATTTGTTTAGTTCAAGTTGTGAATTATTTTTGTTCTTTCTAAATGCAACATAACACAGAAGGAGAAAAAGAAGAAGAAGAAGTCAAATTTGAGTTGTGAATAATATTAGGGATTTTGAGAAAATTATAGGAGAGTGTATTTTTTGGTGGTAGAGCTATTGGCTTTGAAGACTGTATTTTTCTTCAGATGAATAGTAAAAAAAAAAAATTAGTAGGATGTTGGAAACTTGATTGTAAGAGATGAATATGGATATTTCTCTTGATTGATGATGATTTGACATTTGAGAAACAAAACATAATTATCGGCTAAAAATGTGAAAAGGAATAGGTTCATTTGTTCCACCGCACACGACACAATTCTGGTGGAGCTCATTTGCTTAAGGGGACTATTCTTAAGAGTTAGGACCAATCTGGACCAGTTGTTAAGAGTGACTTTACGACTAACGTTCAAGGGGTACATGGGCTTAAAGATATTGGGCTTTCTGTTTTATTAAATCTGCTGGGGGGGTCATTAGCAACTGGGCCTTTAGTACTATTATTTTATTTTATGGAAACCGAAAAACATATCTGAACAAAAAAAGAAAATAACGGTTACTGAGCAGAGGAGGATATGAAACTTGCGATTGAAACAAACATATTTTTACGCTTAGAAGCATCCTTGATCTCAGCACCGTGAACAGCGCCGTCGATATACTGCTCCGCCACGTCAACTCCCTTCTTCCTCATCAGCTTCGCCACGTCTCTCTGCCGATCAATCATCGGATCTAGTTCTCCTCCAATCGACATCACTTTCCATCCCAACCGTCCGAATTTCTCCAGATTCTCTGATCCATCTCCCACCGTTGGATTTGAATACTCGTGATCCCGGTCAACGCCGATGGGAAGACACAAATCCCACATTACGTCGGTGACTGCGGGAGGGCAAACCTGATCGTTGGCAAGCTTGATCTCAGATTCGCATCGCTCTTTCGCGCCGAAGAACGAGTGGTGTAGGATGAATCCACGGATCTGTAACGGACTCAGCTCGGAGACCGAATCAACGGATCTTAGCCCGACGTTGTAGGCCAAGTTCCCACCGGCGCTAGTTCCCATGAGGTACACATTTGAGAGATCGGCGTAAGATTTTATCCACTCGTCGTCGGAGTTTTTGATCCACTCCAGGGCCTCCGTCCCGTCTTCGTACGCCGCCGGTAACCTATGCTCCGGGGCTAACCGGTAAGAAGGAGACACGACGACGGCGTTGAGTTCACGGGCCATCTCGGAGCAGAAATCGTGGAATAATTGCAAGTCGACGCTGCAGATGACGAATCCTCCGCCGTGGTAATACACGACGACAGGGAGCTTCTTAGAAGAAACGCCGTCGATTACGGCGGAGGAGGGAACGTAGAGACGGAGCCACGTTGACTTTGACTGGTTCACGGGAACATCTTTAGAAACGGCGGGGTTTTGTGGGGAAGGATCAGGTGTGGCCGCGGCGCATGGTAAGTTGTTGAGGAGGCGAGTGACTGAACCATCTGGATTCCTTACCATGTTTAGATAAGCGTAAGGATCAGCGCTTGGAGTCTTTTGTTCGGACATTTTTTTTGTTTTTGTTTGTTTGGTTTGGTCTTTATGGCTTCATAGAACTCGTATATGCTAAGTCTTTATATAAGGGCTTCTTTGCAAAGTAATACCTATTCCCATACCAAACGTAATATCTATTTTAGTACAATTACTATTATAAATATGAGAAGGCAAAATAAAGTGTGTTTGATTTTTGTGTAATAGAGAAATAGTGAGATGTGAGGAAGCTTCGAGTGTAGAGATTTGATTTCGTGTAGATTTCGCAGATTCACGTGATTTATTTCAATGAATAATCTCTTTGCATTTAAAGAATCTTAAAGAAAAAGAAAAAAATCTACAATGGTAGCTGAGGCAGATGTCAAAAAGCGGCAAATAATAGTACAACAAATAAGAAAGGGAAGATGTATTAAAGTTTTATAGTAACTATAAATTTGATTTTTAACACAACTGGTGTGGATGATACATCAATTACCAAATCATAAGTTTGTTTTTTTCTTCTTGTGTGATTAGTATGCAAAGTTGCAAACCTAAGTGGAGAAAGAAAATATTAACCACACAATCTAATGACAATGACAGTATAAGTAAGTGCTCTTTGATCTTCTCTCTTTTCTATATGCATTAAACGAGAGACCCGTCTTGGTTTACATGTCGCTAGCACGTCTTATCCCATAAACGATAAAGTTCCAAAAGTTGCTGCTGAGTTATTGTGATTTGTGAGGCAAAAAAAAAAACTTATTTGACGTTTGAAAATTTTGAGTCGATTAACAACATTTTCACGTGAGAATCGTATGACTAGTATATGTTATAATCACGTGAAAATCTAAAAAGAAGTAAATGGTCGTAAGTGAAACTCAAGTCTTGAAAGTTAAAATTATTTCATATATATAATAATCACGTGAAAATCTAAAAAGAAATAAATGGTCGTAAGTGAATTGTGAGTGATGAGTAATAAATGATCATCATTATCATCCAAATTACACAAAATTGATATGAGGATACAAGAGAACCTCTTTAAGTTTGATCAAAGCAAAAATAAAAACAAGAAGAAAACATTCAAAAAACACCTATAATGTAGTAATCATCAGCGCAGCAAAGATAGTAATATGACATAATAAGAGAGGAGCTTAGTTCTTCTTGTCAAGGAGACGTAAGAGTTTGAGCTTTTCAATATTTCGGGCCCCTACCACCTACCTCCTCTACCACCGCCTCTTCCTCCTCTGCCACCACCACCGCCAAACCGATTTCCACCAAACCGGTTTCCGCCTCCATTATTGCGACCAAATCTTCTTTGTGGCAATGGTTCTCTCTCCTGAAGTTTAGGCAACTCCTTAACGACTTCCAAGCTCATGCTCCCAGCACTCTTTTGTGCAGCTGCAAGGAACAAGTCTAGATCCGACTGAACAACATCGAACACTGCTCCAGTTTTATCTGCTGTTAGACTCAACCCTTCAATCCGTTCCACCTTGTCTTCTGGAATATTTCTCCTTAGCATTCCATACACAAATCTGTTGCAACATTTTAGTACTTACTTTTAATGTTAACAAAGACTATAAAAGCAGAATTCATGGAGAGAGAGGAGCTTACGATGGAGAGAATATTGGTTTCCCTGCTTCAAGATGCAGAGTTACATGGTTCTCCATTGATGTAAGAAGTGACCTTTTCTTAATCTCAGTGAAGCCCTGTAGTGATCAAAATTCTAAGTACTTGTTTTGAATTAAAAACAAATTACATCAAAGGGAATTTTTTTTAATGAGACTAACCGCAGTTTTCGCAAGAGCTTTGGCGAGGAGTACTTCAGCCGATAAACCAGAAGTTTTTAATAATTCCGTGGCAGCTACCAAGAATGCAGGAATCACGCTGCATTTAATGTATTCGTAGGTGAATATACCATTTCCTAATTTTTGATTATATTTAAAAGAACAATGAGGTGCAACTGTGAGCATACCTGTCACAAACTTGTTTAATTTTCTCAGCAGCTTCCATACCAACAGCTCTGGCAATATCATCAGGCTGAGGTGCAGAAATGTGCTCAAATTTTATACCAGCTTCTTTTTCAATCCTGGTTACACTCGACTTTCTAGAATCGTAAAGTGTAACTGCAACTCCAGTGTTACCTGCAACAAAAATAAAATAAAGAATTATGACAAGAAGCAAACATTACACATTAATCAAGCAACTGCACAAGTATCACATAGCCGTCTAAATAATGATTATGCTTTTACCAGCTCTTCCAGTTCTGCCTGAACGATGAATGTATGCTTCGACCTCACGTGGAGGCTCACACTGCAACACATTTAAACAAGATATGATGTTAAAACACCAACAAGGCACTATTAACCCAGAATGATTATAACACATGGGCTCCCACTAACCTGGATAATTAACTGCACATCATTGATATCTAGACCACGAGCAGCAACGTTAGTAGCCACCAATGTCGAAAACTTGCCATTCCTAAATCCAGCAAGAGTAACCTATAATCACAGAACTTATAGTTAGCAAGCTGAATATCCTATGTTAGAGCAATATAACAGGATACTAAGAAATTATCATATTTTCCCAACTTAACTTTGCCTATGCAAGAAAGCTTGAAACAAAATTTGATAATATACCTCACGTTGTGATTGCTGTATGTCTCCATGCAAAGCTCTTGACCCAGCTAACAAACCAGAAAGCTGGGAAGCTTCTTCTTTTTTCTCAGTGAAAATAATGGTTTGGCCTCCACTAGATTGTGATAAAAAAATTGGTTAAGAGACTTGCACACTTCCACTCCAGACAATGATGGTTATGGAAAATGCAGCAACATAGATAAAGTACTAAAGGATACCTGCTATAGCAACTGATAATATCAGGAATCAACCGAGACATGGCTGCCTTATTACAGGGAATAGCAATGTGTCGTACACTATTACTGGCCTTCATTTTATCATTACCAACAAGATCAATAGTCTTCTGGTCTCTTTTAAGAAACCTGGTAGAGATCTGGTAGAAGCAAGAAAGGTCTCAGCCACAAATAGAGAGAAAAGGAACAGAGCAGCAAATTAAAAAGCTTAATCCATAAAAAATAGCAAGAAGAAATAATTGAAAGGGACGCACATTTTTCACCCATGATGGCAGAGTAGCACTGAAGAGAAGAGTCTGGACTTTAGTAGCATCCTCCACTTTCCCTGAAGTTATAGAAAGAAGATATAAGAAACTATGGATAAGCTGTTTCATATAAAAAAAAAACAAAAATCCCATTACAAACCTAAAATAAGTTCAACATCCTCGACAAACCCCATCCTCAACATCTCATCAGCTTCATCAAGAACACGGAATTGTAGATGGCTCAGATCAATGTTTTGTCTTTCAATATGATCCTGTAATGAAAATCAATTACAAGGTCAAGAGAGCACACAAGCAAAATTTACCCAGAAACATACGTTTAGAAAAAGAGAGAGAGACAGAGAGAGAGAGAGACGTACCTTAATACGACCCGGGGTTCCAACCACAATGTCAACACCTCTCTTTAATTTATATTCCTGGCCAGTATAACTATCACCTCCATAGAGACAGCAAGAAGTTAACCCAACTGATGCTCCGTATACATCAAAGTCAGCAGCTACCTAACAAAGATAAATATATACATCATTAGAAAATGCAAGAGAGACAAAAATTAATATGCAACAAAGACGGTAATATGTTCAAAATCTTTACCTGCTTGGCCAATTCTCTGGTCGGTAAAAGCACCAAGACACTTGGTGGCCTGCCATATCCATTCTTCTTTTTGCTTTTGGCAGGTCCATTGATCAATGATTCCAATATAGGCAACACAAAAGCCAGTGTTTTACCCTGCATCACACCATATATAGATCAACACAAGCAAGAGATTCACAATATAGAGTCCCAAGTCTCAGAAAAATATCTACCTAAATTAGCAGTTTAGGAACTCTTAATAACAAACCTTCCACACAAACAATCGAAAGCCCCAAACTTAACCAATTAAATACAGAGACAAACAGATCATAAGCAAATAACCCTGAATTCAAAATCAGACAGTAAGCAATACCTGACCAGTACGAGCCCGTCCAACTAAATCAGCACCATCGAGAACCATATCAAACGTTGTAGCCTGAATGGGGAAAAGAGCTTCAATACCCCTCTCCTTGAGCTTCTCCCTCAAGGAAGGCGAAATCCTAAACTTGGAAATAGCGTTAGGGTTATCAACTTCAACATCTTCAGCACCCAACTTGACCTTTTTGCTGCTCTTCTTCTTATCGGAGCTTGAATCACTCTTGCCTTCCTCCTCCTCCTCCGCAGCCTTACGCTTCTTCTCCTTCTTCTTACTTTTCTTCTTCTCCGACCCTTCTTCGTCCGAAGAAGAAAACTTTAGCTTGGCCTCCTTCTTCCCCTTCTTAGAGTCAAGCTCTGGGGTTTCCAAGGCTATCTTCTTCTTCATCTTCTTCTCCTCTTTCTTGTCGGATAACATTAATGAAGGCATTTAGGTTATCGGCGGGGGTAGAAAAATAGAGAGAGGCTTTAGAATCGAATCTCTCCTGCTTTTTGAGAGATTGAGGCGATTTTAAACCAAAGCAGGCAGAGAGACGAAGAGGAGGAAAAATGTTTAGGGTTTACGCCACTTTTTATAGTTTCTAGATTGATCCAAAACCCTAATAAGCGCCTTTTACCGTGCAATCTAGTCCGTTGATTTGTTTCGTTTTGCTTGCCGTTTTTATTTTATAGAAATAGAATGCGCGCCGGTTTTGTCCTGGTGTCAAATAGGTCCTTAAGACTCAAAATATCTTCTGTCTTGTTTTGTTTTGTTTTTTTTTTTTATTCAAAGACTCAAAAAAATATCTAATTTCACTTTTCTATTATAATGGTAAGTTGCTAATTTTCTTCCTTTTCAGAAAAGTAAAAAAACTCGGCATTTGTGTTTTCGATTTGAGTAATAAAAAAAACCAAATCGACGTTTTCTTCTCAACGAACACAAGCTTTAAAACGGAATCTCAAACACTAGAGTTGATGGACTGTCACAAATTTCTAACGAATACACACACACTTCTCATAAAATCTACACACACTCTGTTATTAGGAGTAGTAAACTTTCATCATAGCTTTACGGGTTAATACATTATCTGAGACCCAAGAACGGTACACATTTTTTATTCTTCACAAGTCCTAATTATGTTCATACAAAACCCGACAGTGAAAGAGCTTACAAGAGCAATGTTGTACCGGCGACAATAAACCCTAGGAGTATGAGCACGATCCTTCTGAGACCAATGGCTAAGACATTAGAATCCGAGGCGCTGTTGCAGTAGTTGAAACCATACCATACACTCTCAGGGACGTGCGTGTTATATGAGAAGGTGACCGCTTTGGAGCCATGGCTATATATCTTTACACTCTCAGGAATCCAACCATCTGGACCTGACCTGTAGAGATACACATAGCATATCTGGTATGTACATGGTCCGTTTATCTCAAATGTATCTGATGAACATTGCTCAAACGTTTTTGTAGATGGATCGTCAAGCCTTGGTGCATAAATCTGATTTAGGAAAAGCAAAACTCTGAGCTATACATTTCATCAAACCAAAGCTAAAAACTTAACATCCTTACGGTTTATTAGTAACAGATACATTAACAAATTAGACACTAGTTACGACAAAACCAATCCATTGATACTTGCAAGTATTCCAAAGATGTGTATATTCCTCTAAACCCTCAAATGTTCAGTGAATAGAGAACTATAAGACTCCACATAAACGATGAATTTGTCACTGATACTTGTGTAATCCGGTGTGTAAAACATGAAGCTGTACTCTAGATCAGCAAGAGCAATAGCAGAATTTGAGAAATTTTGGTTGCTAGGTTTCTTCCGTACCAGTGATAATGTTAACCAAGAACTAACCTGACCAGCTAGAGAAATCTAACGGAACCAAATGAGCTCAAAATCTAAGTAAATTCACTCTAACTAAGCTCAATTACAAAAGAATCAGATCAACCCAATGGGCGAAATCAACTTAGTTGCTGGGACGAAACATTCAAATGGAACCCTAAGAGGCTAAGACTATTCGATAAACCAAAGTCTTACCAAAATCAAAATCTAACTTCAGCGGGGGAAAAAGCTAACCTGGTTTCCATATCCATCGCCGAAAGCGACGCTGATCTGATCGCGCGTGTACCTCGTCGACGAGCAGCTCGTGGAGATGATCACTGTGTACGAACAAGTATTCCCCAATCTCTGTATCACCAATGAAATTTAACGGCCGTAGAGTGAAAATCATAAGTTTCTCGAGAAAAATTGTACATAGGAAGACGATTAAAAATTCTCCGGAGGAAAGTTTTAAAAACGGGGAAAGAGAACGAACCTGGATGAGACTGACATTGAAAGATTCAGCGACGTGAGGCTCCAAGACGTTTGATTCGGCAACAGAGATGGATATAAGGAAAACGAAGGAGAAGAGAGTGAAGAGTCGTACGGACGCCATTTTGGAGCTTCTCACAAAATTGTTTCGCAGAGATACCAAACGAAGAGAGAAATCGAAACAGAACTTGAGAAGGTGATAAAGTATCGAAAGCTGAACCGGAATAGACCGGATCAAATTTGATTTTTGGTATAAGAACCGAATTAAATGGCAACGCTCCCAAGTTACAGTCCACACGTCTCTCTACTCATGTCTATTATGTCATTAGGTAGATTACAAATTGTAATTAATGTTTTGTGTATTAGAGAGACTAAACAGATACAGTACATTATTTGTAGGTTATGTCTTAAACTCTTATAATCAAGATAATAATTTAAGACTTTGATTAAATAATTTCACATATCAAAACGAAACTTGCAAACTGATATGTATTGTCTTTTTGATATAGCAAAACTGGTATATATATGATCAACAATTTACAATAATTTGTTTACTCTTAGCTCTAGAATTAAGTAGAAATTTTTTAATTTCAAGAGTGTGTTTGCTCATTAGATTGGTACACAGATGTCGTTGTCGAATTGTATTTTCGTGGTATATATGTAGTTATATGTTAATTAACGTAATCTCATTTTTTAAACAAGGATAGTCATGATAAATCACATACAAAACAGGCAGATACAAAGTTCATATGGAATGCTTATTGATAACTCTAAGTTAGAGTCTCAAACTCATACGTTAACTAAGGAAAGCTTTATGCTTCCACAATATCCAACTACAAAGCTCATTAGTTGTATTTAAGCAAACTCTTAAGTAATAGCTCAAACAACCACAGCCGCAAAGGCAAACACAATCACAGCAACCGCAACAACCGAACCTTCACCACCTCTACGTCCAGAGGCAGCAGACGGACGTGGTGGTGGTGGTGGTGGTGGCGGGACAGAAGGAGGTTCCGGAGGAAAAGAAGGCGGTGTAACGGTGGGGGGAAACGGGGGGAAATACGGCGAAGGCGGCGGTAGACTGGTGTTGTTGCAGTTGTTTTTGCCGGACCAAGTGTTCTCAGGGACGTTTTTGTTGAAATCGAATTTCACGGATTTGGAACCTTCCTTGTATACCTCGACGGTTTCCGGGATCCAGCCGTCGGGACCGGAACGGTAGATGTAGACGGAGCAGATAGTGTCGAGACATTCACCTTTGATTTGGAATGTGTCTGACGAACATTTCTCAAAACCTCCTCCTCCACTTAGCGGTTCGTCTAGTCGTGCAGCCACCTAATAACAATATTAACACAAACTATTAGACTAGAGCTCATGGTTTCCTAATATACTTTCAAATCTTAAATAATTGTTGACATCATTGGTATAGTTAAGATCTTGTTTTTAGTTTTTTTAATCGTTTCCATCTAAAAGCTAAACTAATCAAATGAAGTTTCGTTTTGGTTTGAATAGCTTTGGTTTATACGATTTAACACACTTATTACATGCATCCATTGCAACAAGAAAGATGGAATAAAGTTTAAAACACACAAAAAAAAAGAAAAGGAAGGAAACAAAATAATCCCAAGGTTTGTGGAAATTAATTTGTAAACAAACCTGGTTACCGTTGGCGTCACCCAAAGCGATACTGATCTGATCCCTAGACCAGTCAGGAGAGTAACAGCTTGTTGTGACAATCACGGTGTAAGGGCAGCTTTCTTCTTCATGAAGTTTAAGAGAAGAGATGAATGGCTGAGCAGTGAGAGAGAGAATGGGATTAATGAAGCAGAGGAGAAGGAGAAGGAAGATGGGTGAGAGAGAGAAGTACTCCATTGTTGCCTCCTTGAGAAAGAAAGATGGGTGATGAGAGTTAAAGGGAGAACTTGAGAAGTTATATAGATGTCTAGTGTTACCTTCTTACTTACAGAAATTACGTACACTTGGCACAACACAACCCACAAACGAGCATACAGAGCTACTAGACCAAGTAAAATATCTTTTACTTAAAACAAAATATCTTTACTTAAGAGCTACCAGATAGTTGAGTTGGTCAGTGTTACTATTACTTTTGAGTATTGGGGGACTTTGAGAGTATTTTCTAAGCATAGAATATACACCAACTCTCGGTTTTTAGGCCATGTCATTTGGGTGAACTTATCTTGCTCTTTACTTTTAGTACCCGAAAGAAGAAGAAGAAAAAAAAAAACCAATTAAACCTGATTAGTCTAAGCTTATTTTTCTCTTTACTGATATTGGATTTTTTTGAAATTACATATTTCCCAAAATATCTACAATCAAATATCAAAGTGTCACGACTCACGAGTATTACACACAGTTAAACCAAACCTAACCCCCGAAATCAAAATCTACCTCTCCTACCTACCACCTCAGTTTATATCAACGTACAACTTATATTAAAACAACTTAACCCTTTTTACGTGCCAAGATGTGGACCTCTCTGGTCCATTTTTTAACTTCCCACCTAACTAAACTATCAATACTACATTATATATATAAAGTATACTATCAACATATTAACCTGCAAATCAAAGATGATTAAAAAATATAAACTATACTTATTGTCTCCAAAAGAGAATATATAAAAATGAGAGAACTCCACACATAGAACAACTTCCTTGGCTAACTCCAATAAACAAAAAATTCAACTAACCAACTTATTCATCTCTCAAACACAAAAATCTTAAATTTACAGTGTAATTCATTACTTTACTGAAGCTATTTAAAATTTGAAAATTTTCTTATTAGTAATAACAAATAAAATAATCATCATCTTCCTTTTGTTGTTTTTCTCCTCATCTCCATTTGTACCAATTCTCTTGCTCCTTGAATCTTCTAAAAACTCCATCTACAGCAACATCAAAAGCATCCTTGAAAGTCTCTAAACCGTTCGGAGACTTTGCGTACACCAGATTCGGTATCAAATCGATCACTCTTTCTCTCATCTTCCTCACATCTTCTTTGCTGTACCGTTCCAACACTTCCTTTATAGATGTTGTGCCGTTTTTTACCTCGTTCCGGTCTATAAAAATCGAATAACTATCCGGTTTATCCGGTAAAAACCACTGATACTGCATGTAAGCGGTTCGTCTCCAAAAGAAAACCGGGATCGAACCGGCTAACATACAGTCAAAAATCGACCGGCGCGTGAAGCTGTCACCTCGGGGCTGAAGACAAAAATCGGACCCGAGAAACGTCTCCAGAATCGCCGACGAGCCGTTCGAGCATTTCCCGGCGGTACAATCCACCGTCCGGCAAGCCCCACGTGATTCCTCGCAGTGACGAAGGAGCAATCCTCTGAAATCATTCTCAATCCCGGCGCGTGGAGCTCCGGCGAAACAGAACAAAGTCTCACGCCGGCGGTTTCGTACGAAATCCTGCCATTTCACAACGTCGGAGTCCGATCTAGGGTGGAATCCGGTAGGGTAAGGAACACCGACATCAAAATGATCCCAAGAGTTACGCTCAATAAGGAGGCGCGTGATGTTACGCATCCCGGGGGTGTAAATACAGTTAGATCCCCAATCTTCGTCTTTAGACCTGCGAAAATCCCATGTGATGCGTCCCATGGTAATGAAATGATCCCAACCGTTGGATCTATTCCAATAAGGTTGATCTTTGACCCACTGTGTCATCATTTTACAATGACGGTCACGATCAGCCGCTGCGTAATTTGACCATAGATATTGACCGACCGCGAGTCCAGCGTAGAACGGGATGTAAAACGCCGTGGCTGATTCAGGATCCAAAGTCCGACACCGGTGGTTTAGAATCCGGTTATGGAAGATGATTTCGGTAACGAATTGATCAGTCCAGAACCAAGACTGAACCAAGTCTTCAGGGATCACGTTGCGCAACGACGTCGCTTCTTTACCGAAACCGTCGTTGGAAAGCGCGTCGCAGCGAGAGCTCCACGGATTGAGATTGTCGCACTGTTGTAGAATCACTTCGTTGAAGATCTTTGGCATGTCGTAGACGAAGACTCGACCTGAATCGCATCGTGAGTCTGAGGAGGTGGAGGAGAGAGGGGGATTGGAGGAGGTGTCTGCGGAGATGACGACGGTTGTGGTGGTGGTGGTGGTGACGGCGACAGCGGCGGGGGAAGGGAAGTTTTCAGGGATGTGACGGTGAGGGAAAGGGATGGATCGGAGAGTGAGGAAGAGGATGAGTTGGAGAGAGAGGAGAGAGAGGATTAGCCATGTGCAGTGGCTACGTGAGGCTGCGATGTAGGTTGAGCGGTTTCCGACAGAGTTTAGCGAGTTGAAAGAGCTTTTACGATCAATGGCGGTTGTGTCTGGGGTTCTGGTTTTTTTGAGGAGACGTTCAGGACTGGAAGGGTTTGAGACAGGAAGCATAGTTTAAGAAAATGAGCTTAAGGTGAGATTCGATTCCGTCGCCGGAAATTTTGGGTCCGTTACGACGACGGAGCTAAAATCTCCGGGGAAGAAACAAAAAGAAAAACTAAGCGTTTGGGTTAGTTGCCTTGTTGTGTGGTTCTCGTTGAAGGCGTAAAGCTTAACTCTGAGAGAGAGAAGTCTGAGTTTAAGAGAGTGCTCGAGAAACGGGGAGATTCTGTTTCTTTTTTCCTTTTTTGCAATAATAATTTGGAAACTATATTTAATTTGCTTTGTTTCGCAACTAATATTCACGGTTTTTGTCCCTAAACTTTTCTACATTTCAGAGAAACTATCTTTAAATTGTTGCCTAATAATATCTTGTTCTAAACAAACATGCTTCGTTAAAACTTAAAACCAAATAATGTATTGAGTGTTGAATTTTGTAGACTAAACAAATGCTTCAGCAAACCTAAGACACAAAAGTCCCAACAACAAAAGAAAAGGTTCGACTATGAACTTTGGGTATAAATCGTATATATCAAAACTTTGGGGAACAATACAGAAGATTAACAAGATACGGGATACTGATTAGTACATTGAAATTTATTTAATTGTTCTCTTCTCAAGGCGTCGGAGACATTACGGAGTGGAAAGAAACGGACACGTGCCTGTGTCATTGACCGTCTGTGCCGGCAACCGACAAGGGAAGACCACAGCAGCCGGTGAGTAGTGAACACTTGGACCGTAGTTTAATTGACAACGTGTCGTTGTAGAAGCAGAAACTATTATTCTACTATTTAGATTACTTTTTTTCCCCTTCAGAGTTTGTGTCAGAAACTAACTTAGTATTATTTGGCTCTCAATCACGTTTTCCATCCGATATCTGGGAAAAAAAATAATTAAAAGGAAATCACAATACAATCTTGAATTTGGAAATATGTAAGCGACTTTGCTTAAAATAATCACCGGATTTTTGTGTAATAATTACTAGTATGATTTAATATGGCAATTAATCGATCATGGAAATTGTACAAAAGAAATACAACTTACGAAATGAAGTAAAACCATAAGAAATATGGAAACAAGACGAAACGTGCATATGGAACAAGTGGCAAAATCAATGGGTCAGAAGTGCGTTCAAAGGCGGGGGGATGCGCCGAAACGGTGACGTTTACGTGTAGTTGACAGAGTAGAGTGAACTGGGTTTGATGTTGAGAGAATTAATAAGAGAGCCATCAGCCATGTGAGGTTTTGTGTGGACATCCCCTCTTTAATCCACGAGTCATGCCGCTTGACGTGTCACATACTCCAAGCTTTTGCCGACAAATTTTGTTTTGCTTGTGACATGACTTTGTTAGTTTCTTTGTAATTTCACTTCGATTGGAATGCATACATCTAACCGGAACGAACCGGATATAAATGGTATGGATAACTATTTTTGGTTCGAGTGGTTGGTGTTTCATCTAATTATACCAACATTATCAATGGGATCTTAGCCTCTAATCCATATTTGGACCATCCCTATATATTGAAAAGCTAAAAACATTAACTTTGAATATTAATCGAACAGTTTTGTTGGAGTGATAACTCGTGTAACACATTACAACAAGCGTGTATTTTACGGGTTAATATTAAGACTTTGTCGGTCAAGCTTTCACGAAAGTGAAGACTATACTTGTTTTATTCTATTAAAGTGAATTGAATACTCGAGCATATAAGAAATAGATCGTGGTGTGTATATGATAATTAAGAAATCTACAGAAAAGGAAATAATAATAATAATGTAACGTTATACAAGGTCACTCTCTAATCTCTATCCTTTGTTTATAATAAACAAGACGAATAGGTTCAAAAAGAGTTTGATTAAAGAAGACTTGCGCAAGTGAATCTAATCAGGTCGATGGAACTTGTTTTGTACAACTAATAACAACTTAAATATGATACTCAAGAAACCAATAACGTATTTAAGCTAGTTAAAATACGAAATTAATTAAAATAGGTATCGTCAAACTACATGGATCCAACTCAAAATCATAACTTAAGTTAAAATTACCCTCGAACCGGAGACGAGCTTCGAGTCAACGTTTTAAAAATACGAAAAATGTAGTGACACTGGTTTTAACATAATACATGTTTCGCATGATTCGGGTTCGATGCCTTTGACTTCGAGCAATGTTCAGCTTTCGTTAAATCGGAACGTCGTCATGATTGATTCATGAACCTAACCGTTCCATGTATAAATGTACGGACATTAAGAACTAAATATTTAGTCTAATACTACAAGTCAAACACTAATTTATTCATATCATAATGTACGGAAACTAAATATTTTTAGGTCAATGGAGAGCGATCGAAATAGTAACAATGTAAACAAAATAATATAAAGCAACAATATAATGCCATTTGTTGTACTAATTACAATAAAATGTGAATACAAATACCAAATTAAACATCATGACTTGTATTATGTAACAATGAAAGTCGCATGGAAACACAATTTATGATAAGTTGACAAAAAACAGAAAATTTGCGATAAAAATATTGATAAAACCATGGAAGTGTCGGCGATGCAAATGCGGTGATTACAAATCTTTAATTATTTATTTTATATTTCTCATGAAGCGCGTGGGTACCAAACACGGCGGTTTTGGTGGAGATAATCAGCTGACACCACTCTTACCGGAACGAATATATTCCTATTATCCATTGGATTGTCAAAAGTTAAACCTAAGACATAAGCAATCTTTAATTCGCTAGTAGAATAGTTACTACTACTACTTTATAATTATGTCTAGACTAATAATGTAATCATATGATTATCAAGTCGAAAGAAGAGTGCTTACCAACCAAAAAAGTGGATTAACTTGGTGGAAAAAGTTACAAGACCTTTAATGATTGCTATTGTACCAAGGACAGTGGCAAAGCACTGAGCGCACAGAAACAAAGCTCATATGACTCTACTCAAAAGTTGTAGATTTTCTTAATAAAGAAACGCTAGTAGTGGTCTTAATTAACTGTAAACGAATGTGCTCCAAATATTTTTGTTATGTATGAAATTTTGCATGCATATTTGGTTAGTTGGGTTTGGTGGCGTACCACTCTTATCTTTGCATTGTAAGTTGAACCCTCAGTCTGACAGCATAATAAAGTTCTTGCATGCAAAAATGTGTTGTGGATGCATCTTGGATGTCTTCATATATGGACCGAGCTGTTAAGGTTGCTTAATACCTCAGTGTCAATGATCATGTAGCCCAATTGCTCTAAACTATTAGAATCGAAAAGACTTGTGTGAATCTAAGAGTCTAATAGCCCATCAAAATACAATATTCACATTCTAAAAGGGGTTTGTTTGTTATAACTATATTGGGCCTGACTTGAGATGTAGGAACAAAGCAATTTGCAAAGTTTGCTCTTTGCTGATTGGACTTACTAAAACGCTTTAGTAACACGAAGTTGTAAGATTTGGGTATGTTGTGGTAAGAATTACAAGAAAGTCAACGACAAAACAAAACCAAACTACGCAATAATCAAAACATTCCCAAATCTCACAACTTCCTATCATTAAGGACAAATGGTCCGTGTTTCAGAACCAAAGCAAACCAAACCAAAAAGAAAGGAAAAAATTACAAAAAAATTCAAACAAAAATTGAAAAGAGGAGAGCTCAATTATTGTATATAAAAATAGCAATGTAAACAGAGGACTAGATTGGGAAACCTGGAAGGAACAGAAGAGAGCTTTAAAAACAAAAACTAGTTTGAACGGTTGTGATCAAATGGTACAATCCCCACCGTAAGTTTTTTCCTCTCCATAGGGATTACAAGAGAGGCAAAGCCCAAATCAGTTACTACTTACTACTACAACCATCGTCTCAGCTTTCTTGTCTCAGCTTTTTACTAATGAAGCAATACATGTCTTTGCCCTGTCACATCTCGCCATCTGTCCACTGCTCTCTTCTCTTATTGGTTCCCCCTCCTCCGTAGCCCTTCTGTTAATAGCTCTCTCTCTCTCTCTAAAACTCTTAACAGTCTCTTCTCTTCTTTCTCATTATTTCGTTTTGGTATTATTTTCCTAGTTTTCCGATATTATTATAATTATATGTGTTCCTTTTATAAAGGAGTGGAACGTGAACCAATTTTACCTAATATGTAAAAAGTAGAAAACATATGCCTAAAATGTTTATAACATCAACAAGGTATGCCCACGATCTAGGGGTATGTTGCATTTGTACCACATAGCTGCTGGGAAGCCCGACGAGCTTTATGAAAGTACAAAGTCTTTTTTCGTTTTACAGCTTAATAGAAAAACAAAATTTACATATCATCGATATCATAAACTGGGAAATGAAAAGATTAGTATGAAACCTACTGGTTTATTAATTATTGCACAGCCAAAATGTTTAAGAAGATGGCAAAAATGTGTAACGTTCAGTGAGAAGAGTGGTCATAATTGCTCAACAAATAGGCCATATAGCTGAAGTGAACCCATGCATCTTTCTTTACATTACACGTACAGTCTAAAGAATACTAGAGGCGCTTATAGCTGAACCTACTGCATCACTATTTTTATTCATTTCATTTATTAGTTTTTGTTCTCGTTTATACAAAATTCTTCCAACATTTATTTGCATGATTAAAAACTAGTATCATGTTGAATGATTAGTTGGTGATTAGTTATTACTTACTGTCTTACTGTACTTTGTGGTGGTGAACATATTATCAACTATCAAGTAGTATTAACGTTGAGTTAACTTCAAATTATATTACAGAGGAGATTCTAGTTTTCAAACTATCCTGAAAATAGATTTTGAATTCATCATCAAACATCAAACAAACTTATTTTGTATAATTTACTCCTCCTATTTCTTTTTAAAAAGATTACTATATGTAAAAGATATCAAACTTTGACCGATAGAGGGGCTTAGCCGTCTAGTACAACTGTACAAGAAAAAGGTACTCTGATGTCTTCAAGATCCAAACCAATGCAAGAAAAGATACGGTCGGACCAATTTAATCTACGAAAGACCATACATTAAACTACTATATACCCTAATACATTTCCATATAACACAATACTAATAATAAAATAGTGTACTTTTGAGCATCAATATAGAAAATATGAGCTTAGGCGAGCGAACATTTTTTCAACTACTATATGTTATTCATCTTGGTATATTATACATGTATCAATATGAGTTTTATTTGTAATTATCGCAAGGTACAACGCCACCAAACTTTTTCGTCTCAGTCGTACAACTTTAAATTGTGAAATTAATCCAAAATAAAACCAACATGTGACATGGTCTCTTATAAGTTATATAAGATAGTGAAAAAAAAATCACATCAAAACGAAAAATAAATAAAATTCCTATAAGAAAAAGCGAACGGTCGACTAAGAGGATAACCACAAAATCAAACCGGTCCAACCGGTTTCCCCTATCACTGTCAAAGCATTAACTAACTTTCACAAGGAAAAGCATAGTTCAGTTTTTCAACGTCGAGTCCCACCCTATTAACCATGCACCCGCATTATCCACCGTTCGATGATGCACGCGCTAAGAATCCACAGTGTAATGTTTACCCTGCATTGGAAAATGGCGTCTAACAACAGACGGCGGGTCTTGTCGCCGTCAATCTACTAGTCTATATATTCTTAACGCCGTTACTTCTCCGTTAACTACGATACGTAAATGCATATGTGTGTGACACTGCGAGTGAGATCATGTACTAATTTGAAGAGGTTAATGTTTTCACCGTGATGTTTACATCAAAGTTAATGTCCGATAAGGGTCTTAAGCATATATGTGTTATATGTATATGTGTGCACACATATATACTCACACTCTGACAGATTTGTCGTGGTCTTAGTATTCTCTTTCATGGGGCTCAGCTCTCTAGTTATATAGGACTGTAGTACATTATCTCACTCCTCATATCTCTCTCTCTCTCTCTCTCTTCTTTAACATCTCTGGCTCTGCATTTCTTGCAGTTCACGCTAATCTCCTGTCTTGGTTCCCTTCTCTCTCTCCAACAATGGCAGAACAAGCCTGAACTTTCGTTCTTTTGTGTTTTGTTTCCTCTGCTTTGTTGTTTTGAGTCGTAACTTGAACGAGCTTTTTGGCTTATTACCTCAAAAGGAAAGAAAAAGAAAAAATGAAGGAGAAGAAGATGCAGCGAGTGGTTTTATGTTTAGCAGTGGTGCTTTCTATGCTTCTTGGTGTTGCTTCTTCTATGAACAATGAAGGTTTCTTCTAACTCTTTTGTTTCGTCCTTTCTAGTGATCTTTGTTAAAAATGTGGTTTTTTGTTTTCTGTTCAATAATTTGGGTTTAGGCGCTGTTCTCCATAAACCTCTTGTTTGAATTTTTTTTTTTCTGAAAATTTCGAATCCAAAATCGTTGTTTTTCAGAAGTGATCAGCACTCAAATCTTGGATTTCTATCAAACATTTTGGTTTCCCCGAGAAAGAGAGTTAAAGTTGAAAGCTTTCTTTTTTCATACCCAATACTCAGCTCTGGCTTGTTCTTCATCTAATGCATATAAAAACGCAATCTTTTTCTCCATTTTCCAAGAAATTTGGTCATGATTAGTATACAGAAGAATGCCTGTTCCAGGACCCTCGAAAGTTTGTATTTTTCCAAGCTCTCACTGTTTTTTCCCGAGAAAAGAACAAAGCTTAGTCCCTAATTTGTGTTCTGGAGAGAAAAGTTATGAAATTTATAAGAAATCCCCAGTTGGGTTTATCTAATGGTTTATGTATATTTAACTATTTGACTGATGTTTCGTATTTCAAACGTTTTAATTAACATCCCTACTAAATCGATTTTTCATTTTTAAAAATCTACAGGGAAAGCTCTGATGGCGATAAAAGGCTCTTTCAGTAACTTGGTGAATATGCTTTTGGATTGGGACGATGTTCACAACACTGACTTCTGTTCTTGGCGAGGTGTCTTCTGTGACAACGTTAGCTTCTCCGTTGTCTCTCTGTAAGGATCTTATTTGAGCTCTATAAATTCTTGTCTTGTTGGATGCCTCACTTTTCAGCTCTTGTAATGTTCTCTTCTTTACTTTGGTGAAGGAATCTGTCCAATCTGAATCTTGGAGGGGAGATATCTCCAGCTATTGGAGATCTAAAGAATTTGCAATCAGTGTAATGTGTTCTTTGAATGTTCACTCTCTATGTGGATTTGCATGTTGTAAAAGATTGTGTTTCTAAAGGCTTTCTCCAATTGCAGAGACTTGGTAGGAAATAAATTGGCTGGTCAAATTCCAGACGAGATTGGGAACTGTGCTTCGCTTATTTATCTGTAAGGACAGATTTTTAGATTTTTTTCAGTTTTCAAGTCTTAGATTTTGACTTCCATTTATACTCTTTTGTACAGGGATTTGTCTGATAATCTGTTATACGGGGACATACCCTTCTCAATCTCTAAACTCAAGCAGCTTGAGACTCTGTATGTGTTATACTGTTAACATCTTTTTATTTTAATTTTTGTAATTTCAAGTTCTATTTTTTTCTTGTTCCATTTTTTAAACCATTTGGATATATCAGGAATCTGAAGAACAATCAGCTTACAGGCCCAGTACCAGCAACCTTAACTCAAATTCCAAACCTAAGGAGACTGTGAGTTCTGTAGTTACATCATTTACTCATGAATCAATATCTGGAAATTGAATTTCTTTTATCACTATTAATCTGTAATCATGGTGTTGCAGTGATCTTGCAGGCAATCATCTAACGGGTGAGATATCAAGATTGCTTTACTGGAATGAAGTTTTGCAGTACCTGTAAGTGCATCATAGTCATTTGCTCCAAACCTCTTTACACCATAAAGAAGTTTTTCCTCCTTCTAATGCATTCTTTCTGCAGTGGTTTACGAGGGAATATGTTGACTGGAACGTTGTCTTCTGATATGTGTCAGCTAACCGGTTTGTGGTACTTGTAAGTTGATCCAACTCTCTGCCATATATTGAGTCTCGTATAGCTCTTGCTCATTCTTTGATTTGTGCAAGTCTGAGGTATCTAAACTTGTTTTTTGTTGTTTTCAGTGATGTGAGAGGCAATAATCTAACTGGAACTATCCCAGAGAGTATTGGAAATTGCACAAGCTTTCAAATCCTGTATGTGCCTTCTTAACAAACATTAACTTTCCAACATCTATGTGTACTGTGGTCTCATGTCTTTTGATATTACAGGGACATATCTTATAATCAGATAACTGGAGAGATTCCTTACAATATTGGCTTTCTCCAAGTCGCTACTCTGTGAGTATTCAGACTCTTCAACTTTAGTATGATTGATGAATGTAGACATGCGGTTACTGATACTGTGTATTATCTTTCTTGAAGGTCACTACAAGGAAACAAACTGACGGGTAGAATTCCAGAAGTTATTGGTCTAATGCAGGCTCTTGCTGTTTTGTAAGTTCAATTCATACAGAAAAGCAACGACAAATTATATATCGAATTAAGCTCATCTAACTTTGTGAATCCTATTCTATTCGCAGGGATTTGAGTGACAATGAGCTCGTTGGTCCTATCCCACCAATACTTGGCAATCTCTCATTTACTGGAAAGCTGTGAGTTTTCTTCATTTAAACCAAAGTATGCTTCACATATTCAGCTCTTGCCATATACATAAATACATGTTTTAATTGGAATAGATATCTCCATGGCAATATGCTCACTGGTCCAATCCCACCAGAGCTTGGGAATATGTCACGTCTCAGTTATTTGTAAGCTTCGTTACAAACTTCAAGTTTGCTTACGTAAGTTTTGCATTCTATATATACTTATCCTTTTCCGTATTCACAGGCAATTAAACGACAACAAGTTGGTGGGAACTATCCCACCTGAGCTTGGGAAGCTAGAGCAATTGTTCGAGCTGTGAGTTTATTTCTTCTTGCTCTTCAGTTGTTGGCTTTATTTGTTGAAACATTACATTTAATCCTTTTTTAATGGTCCATTTTTCAACATGAAAGAAATCTTGCCAATAACCGTTTGGAAGGGCCCATACCATCCAACATTAGTTCTTGTGCAGCCTTGAATCAATTGTAAGCTATGAGATTAATGCTTCTGAAATTATGCTTTCCTTTATCTCATTCTCAAATTTGAATTCTGCTTTATTTGCTTTCAGCATTGTTCATGGGAACTTCTTGAATGGATCTATACCACTAACATTTCGCAATCTGGGGAGCTTAACTTATCTGTGAGCTTTAACATCTAATACAATGCAGTAACATTGCATTCCTCTAATCATTTTAGTAATAATATAATCTTGCCTCTACAGAAATCTTTCTTCAAACAATTTCAAGGGGAAAATACCAGCAGAGCTTGGACATATTATAAATCTTGACAAACTGTATGTCTTCCCAACTCTGTTATCTTCTCTGGTTATGTGGTTTAGTTAGGATGTGTCCCAAACTCATCCTATGTTTTTTGTTCCAGAGATCTGTCTGGCAACAACTTCTCAGGGTCTATACCATTAACCCTGGGTGCTCTTGAACACCTTCTCATATTGTAAGATATTAACCCTTCAAGTTGTAAAATTGTAATGTTTATCATGCTAAATTGTTTGTTAACTTTTGAACTTTCGCTTTATGAACAGAAACCTTAGCAGAAACGATCTAAGTGGACAACTACCAGCAGAGTTTGGGAACCTTCGAAGCATTCAGATGATGTAAGGCTCAAAGTTGCTTCTTTTGGTTATTGAACTCACCTCTTTTACTGAATTGGCTGTTTTAATTGCAGTGATGTATCATTCAATCTGCTCTCCGGAGTTATTCCCCGTGAACTTGGTCAATTACAGAATATAAACTCTTTGTAAGTTAATCATACGTTCTTTTCCTAGGCATTATATAAAAACTAAAAGTATAAATCATTACGTTTATGTGCAGGATATTGAACAACAACAAGCTTCATGGGAAAATTCCAGATCAGCTTACGAACTGCTTTACTCTTGTCAATCTGTAAGTTCTATTGCTAGAGACATTCACTTTATGATAAGAGATAAGGAAGATTGTGAATCCAACATTTTGTTCTTCCTTCTTGTAAATGTTTTAGGAATGTCTCCTTCAATAATCTGTCTGGGATAATCCCACCAATGAAAAACTTCTCACGTTTTGCTCCAGCCAGGTATGAAGCTGCTCTCAGTTTTCTATAATGATGATCATGACACATAATCTTCCAATGTAAAACTGATTCAGTTCTTTTGTTTAGCTTTGTTGGAAATCCATATCTTTGTGGAAATTGGGTTGGATCTATTTGCTGTCCTTTACCGAAATCCCGAGGTATCTACTAGATTTATCCTTTAGCATTGTCTTCAGTATTAGATGCTTTTTCTTGTTTATTTGGGCTTACCTGACTTTTTTTCTTGCCCTTTTCAGCCTTTTCAAGAGGTGCTCTTGTTTGCATCGTTCTTGGTGTTATCACTCTCCTGTGTGTGATCTTCATTGCAATTTACAAATCAAAGCAGCAGAAGAAGATCCTAATAGGTCCCTCAAAACGACCTGAAGGTAATAATGATGGCCTCACAGTTTTTCTTAACCCAACTTCTGTTTCTTAGTTGTTAATACCACTCTGATCTGTTTCAGGCTCAACCAAGCTAGTGATTCTCCACATGGACATGGCAATTCACACATTGGATGATATAATGAGAGTAACCGAGAATTTTAGTGAAAAGTTTATAATTGGATACGGTGCTTCTAGCACAGTATACAAATGTGCATTGAAAACTTCCCGACCTATTGCCATTAAGCGACTCTACAGTCAGTATCCGCATAACTTGCGGGAATTTGAGACAGAACTCGAGACCATCGGAAGCATCAGGCACAGAAACATTGTCAGCCTGCATGGATACGCCTTGTCTCCTGTTGGAAACCTTCTTTTCTATGACTACATGGAAAATGGTTCACTTTGGGACCTTCTTCATGGTTAGTTTTTACTACCTTTTTGGTCCATTTTGTAAAAGAATAATTCTGCAGATACAATCTAAAAAAGGATTGTTTTTCTTTTTGGAATAGGAGAGTCACTAAAGAAAGTGAAGCTTGATTGGGAGACGAGGTTGAAGATAGCGGTTGGAGCTGCACAAGGACTCGCTTATCTCCACCACGATTGTACTCCTCGGATCATTCACCGTGACATCAAGTCATCAAATATACTTCTCGACGAGAATTTTGAAGCACATTTATCAGATTTTGGGATTGCTAAAAGCATACCAGCTAGCAAAACTCATGCTTCGACTTATGTTTTAGGAACAATTGGTTACATTGACCCAGAGTATGCTCGTACTTCACGTCTCAACGAGAAGTCTGACATCTATAGCTTTGGGATTGTTCTTCTTGAGCTTCTTACCGGGAAGAAAGCAGTGGATAATGAAGCCAACTTGCACCAACTGGTATATGAATCAAGAAACTCTCTGAATAAACACTAAGTATATGATCTTTGGACCATTAAAGAGTTGAAATTGTCTTTTGTCTTGTTGCAGATATTGTCAAAGGCTGATGATAATACTGTGATGGAAGCTGTTGATCCAGAGGTTACAGTGACTTGTGTAGACTTAGGACATATCAGGAAGACATTTCAGCTGGCTCTCTTATGCACAAAGCGAAACCCTTTAGAGAGACCCACAATGCTTGAAGTCTCTAGGGTCCTACTCTCTCTTCTTCCATCTCTGCAAGTAGCCAAGAAGCTGCAAGAGCCTTCTCTTGATAAATCAACCAAAAAGCCGCAGCAAGAGAGTGAAGTTAGGAATCGTGAGGCAGAAGCATCAGAATGGTTTGTTCAGTTCCGTGAAGTCATCTCCAAAAGTAGCATATAAAATTTCAGCTTTAAAGAGAATCAGGGTTTGTTTAGTTTATTTTATCCTAAGGAAGATAGTGTTGCTGATTGGAAGGTTTTTACAGTGAATGTAGGGTAGTACAAGGGGTATTTTGGGTAAGGAAAAAGAAGGTATGTGAAACATTTAAGACAAGAACAAAGGTTATATGAAAGAAAAGGATATATGAAGTTAATGTTTGTTTTCTCCCAAGAACATGCTCACGAGTTCGTTAAAGTCTTTGGTCATTTGATTTAAAGGGTTATATAAGTATTTGTCCCCACAACAAAAATTTAGATAATCTCTTTATCTATGCATATATCTAAACAAAGTATACACGTTTACATATATATATATATATAGACATAGGAAGGCGTGTGTTACATGTATAAACATGATGAAAACATCTTCCAGGTGAAGATTAAGCAGTGATTAGGTTCCTTGCAACTTCCTGTAAATTAAACTTCCGGCATAAATCCAGGCTCCTGTTCAAATTATATCATCATCAATGGTGTCTGATATAACTATTATGGCTTGTTTTGTTTTGATCTACTAGTAAGATTGGCTTTTAGTTACCTGTTGATATCTGTCCGGCAGGAGCTCTGTTTTCCATATTCTAGGCGGATTGCTTCACCGAGTTCTTCTTTGCTTGATCTCTGTCAAGAAAACGAAGATTTGGAGTTGTTAATATGTTACAAAGGGATACTTCCATAAGTTTTTGGAAGAAAGTTGAATTACCTTTGGGTCTAGAGGAGAAGTTTTAGTTTCATACACTTGGCAATTTATCTTTCTGCTGTGGTTTTCTTTGGCTATCCTACTTTTTGAGGAACCAGTACGCTTAAGCCTGTAGAAAGTGTGTGTGAGAACGTTTCAGGAAAGGTAGATTGTTTATGGAGTTTCAAAGCAATTTCACTGACGTTTTGGAGTTAGTAGCATCAATTTCTTGTATGGCATCGGTTTTAGCCTGCAATGCGAGACATCAGTTAAGAAAATGTGGACATGGACGTTATGAATCGACAAAGAGCAGAATGGGATTTTAAGACTTACATTTGCTGAGCGTTCCTTTGCTCTCAGTGCTGTTCTTAAACGAAATGCCTAATGCAGAACATTCTGTTAATTGATGAGGAACGATAAAATAAAACACTCGAGTTGTAGCTGTTGAAAGATACACTATACCTGAAGATCTTGGGACCGTGGCGTATTAGTTTTAGGCAAAGACGTTGAAGAAGGTTCCAGATTTATCTGCAAGGATTCCAAAACATAAGCTTCTGAGAATGTGCTAATGAAGAAACTAAAGCTGATCTACAAAAGAGAATAAGTACACTCTTGTTCCTAGTTTGTCTTTTAGAACTTGATTTCACAATCTGCTCGGTTTCTGAGTTAACCTTAGACCTGAAACTCTCCAGAGAAAAAGCGTATAAGGATCACTTAAAACATTAAAACATGTAAGCAAAAGGGAAACACACATGCTGAATTCATGAGTCCTTTTACCTGTGTCTTTCAGATCTTTCTGCAGTTCTGAGATTTGGTTCCCTTGGAACAGTGAGTTTAGATCTTCTGCTAACATGAGCAACCTAGAAACATACAACAGAGTTTACAATGACTCATGTAACCTATCAGCACAAAGATTCAAACTCCGTATATTATTACACACCTTAGCTTCCGGTTTTTGCCTTTTGATGTCTTGATTTTGTAACTTAGAGACTAAGATCGGAGGTACCTTATCACCAAACTTGGATAGTGACCTCTGACATCTAAAACAATAAAAACCAGTCATTGAAGCCATGAAAGACAGCAAAACCACAATGGATTCCTCATTGGTTTTATTACCTCGTCAGAAGTTGAACAGAGTAATTATCTAATGGTTTGTTCTGCCTTGCAAGCAAAGAAGCCGTAGGTCTTGTCAGAGTAGAGATTCTCGATTTGGTTTTAGATTTGGGTTTAGTCTTGGAGACATCTTTAACTGTTTGGTTATAATATATGAACCCTGACAACAACAAATTAAACGAAGGGTCTCAAAACTGCATTGGAGCTAGCTTCATTACCTTTGCCGCCTAATCAATAAAAAGAGGAAACAGAACACAAGATTTGAGAATCATTACCGTTGACTTTATCATTGCGATTCACACAGGTATCCAAGGATTCGACTGAGACCTCGACAGGCTTCGATTCTGAGATGGTGCTGGTAACTTGCTCAAGTGGCTCAAATTTCCAGTTGAACTTTGGGCTAAAAGCTGAGATTGAGATAATCAAAAGACACAAGAAGCATTACAATATTCAGCAAACATTAAAACAATTCAAATCTTTGCCAAAACTAGGCATTTTGCGTGTGGCTTACGTGAAGGAGGATAGTTTCCAGCGGATTGAAACCAAATTTCGATTTCTTCGGTTTCTGAATAAAGCTCGTGTCTAGAGAAATCGTAGAACCTAGGTGCATCGAACTCAAAATCAATATCGAATTCAAAATCTTCTCCAGATAAACTCAATGTTGATTCCGGAACCATAATCATCATCAATCCTCGATAATTCTGATCTCCGAAGAAGGAATCGAGTAGGAGAGTTTCGCATAAATCAATGCGATTGTTGTCCTCCTCCTCCTCCTCCCTCCTTCACCTCAAAATCTCTGGAAAAATCTTCTCCAGAAAAATTAGAGCGAAGGAGAGAGAGAGAGAGAGAGAGAGAGAGAGAGAGAGAGAGAGAGAGAGAGAGAGAGAGAGAGAGAGTAG